TGCTCACTCGAACTCCTTGCTAATTCGAATAAATCTTAATTTCCCTTGGTCGAATATATCCGGTTAACTCGAACTTTGCCTTTGGTTTCGAAAAATGTGAGAAGATATCATTTTGACAACTGGAAACTATAATGTTCGCCAATACACCGCGTATACATTACTATAGAAACTATCGAAATAACAACAATTTAACCGGTGTATAATTGCATAAATGATTATAAATCTTAAAAGATTATCTGTAGTGCCACGATCGTTATTGATCTAGCTTTTTCAGTTCTTTTTGTAACATCTTTACATATTAACTTCAATTAACTTTAATGTCCTGTTAATTTTTATGGTGTCGCTGATTAAAGAATCAGTATTTCATTATTATATCAAGCAGGATTTTTGCTGCGGAGCGAGCGAGCCTGAAGCGAGCGAGCGTAGCAGCAGTCTAATTTGTGTAGAAAGGGGGTTCTGAACTAAATTTTATTTAGCGCAAGGAATTGTGGTCGTGCGCGTTTTTTATGCGCAAAACACAAATTTTAAACTCGCTCATATCCATGTACTTTTTGATTTCGACGGACAGGATCTTCAAATTTTGTCAAATATTAAAGCTTCTGATCTATTTTGACTATTCAAGGTAAGATATTTTGTCTTTCGTTCATATGTTACGTTTACAGTTGATTACAAATTTAACTTCTATATATTTATGAAACGCTAAAAGCATATACAATCGATCGCAGCTAAATTCATACTGTTTATATACGATACACTATATATACAATATACACTATCCAATGTGCTAACGGCTAATTCGCTTTGCTTGAGCAGTTGAGCCGTCAGTGCTGTGAAGCAAATCAAGTCTTACATACAGAAGTCTTTTTATCCATTGGCATTTGTATTCTTTTGCTTATTTCCATATTTTGCATCAAGTGATGTTTCAAGTATGCGGCTTGACGCTTGCGAGTCGTGTTAACATGACACAGTCACAGATAAAATATGCAATTGATCGTCTAAATTGCCTGACTGAATTATTCAGATTCGTGCAATGTTTGACCTATTTTATTTTAAAGCATAGGTATATGTTTTTATTCCTATTTTATAATGAGCTAGACGCCTAAATATTTTTGTTATTTAGTGCTTTTACCGGATATTCACGTGGTTTCTGATTACACGTCTTCTCGAGCGCGTTCAAAGTTCAAAATCAAAGTATCAAATGATGTTTTGTCACTCTTCACATGAAGCCAAACATTTACGTGGACTCATACAACAAGACAAATAACATATTTTAAAAACAAATATCCATGTTAAACATATGCGCTACTGCTTAGGGCCTGTATTTTCGCTAGGCGGAATTTTGCCCGAACAATATTTTCCGCGCGGAAACTGGAAAGTACAATGCTGTCAACTTTGTTGCAGTGGAAAATGTCGCTACGCGCGCAAAATTCTGCGTAATATTACTATTATTCTTAACACTCCTGTTGTGATTCGTATATTAAAATATTTTGAAAACTAGCTGCTTCTAAAGACTTTGACTTGAACGAGCCGCAACTCGTATCTCTATCCAACATCGTAGAAATTGGTATTTATGACATTGAAAAATGGCTATTTTCAGACGATTCGTTTTTGCCGACTGCAATCTACAAATCCTTTGGGCAGCAAATACTTTGTTGAACATATATCTTTTTGCTTAACAAATTTACTCGCGAAATCATAATATAAACCAGCAGCCTATTTTAAAACAATTTCGAGATAAAAGTTAGAACTTGAACAGTTGAACTACACAACGATGTTTTTCATACGAACTACATTACATAGCATATATTGACCTATAATGACGTCATTGCCAGTGTTCTCCCTAACAGGTATAAATTCATGTACAGCCCAGCGAGTGAACGCTTAATAGAGGTTCACTTTAGGTGTTTTAAACCTGCTATTGCTATTAGTTAAAGCGGATTTAGTTTACTAATATTTCATATAACAATTTACTTGGACCCTAAAATGCTCGCAGCAATCCCTACCTTGCAGGTAACCTAGTTTAAGAAATAAACGCATGAACTGCGGTAATCCAATATACGTAATTATTATATACACAGGCGCCAGATATGAGGTATGCTGCAATTTCATTGGTTGGCTACTAGTCAGATATTAGTTCATATCTGTCTAGTAGAGAAAGTAAACAAAGTGGCCGAAAGATTTGGGGAGTTGAGTGAAATAGAAATCCAAGCTTTAGTTGATAATAGCACACCAAAACGCACCGAAAGGACGACAAAGTTTGTGTGTGTCACTCTCGTCGTATATGGCCGATAGGCAACTCGGCGCTACGTGCCTCGTCGGCTTTCAGCTCTTATACGACTCGAGTTCGCAGAATAACTGTTAAATATAGACGTAACATAACACCAACCCCGGTTAACTCGAACAGTTTTTCTTTCCCTTTGGGAGTTCGAGTTAGCGGGGAAATACTGTAGTTGCCTATTATAGCGGATTCCGTTTGACTGCAGCAACAACAAGCGTTCGCAACGCGTGTTGGTTCGTTTAATATATGACATTTGAAATGCCACATGCACTGTTTCCAAGGAATAGGCGGCGCGTTCCATTTGTGCTTTGACATAGTTGAAGTGTTGTTGAAAGAAAATGCTTTAAAAAAAGTACTTGTGTTAAAAGAAAGTGCTTTCCCATGACTGTGGGATCGCCCTTTCGTATCGGTATGACTATCCACATTTTAAAATACCGCAAGCGTTTTGATTATGTTTATATGCAAAAATGCGCGCCAAAACCTTGTGACATTTCAAAACGACCCAACATGCGTTGTGAACGCTTGTTATTTTGCAGTTAACCGGAATCCGCTCTATGTATTCTTCATCGTTTCGACGACGGCCTTGTTTAGGAAGTTTAGCATTACCAGAAATTCAGGACATTAATTATCATAATGCCAGGATTTCACAATCAAAGATGGCTGCCTAGTTATAATAGACTTATGTAAGGCACGAGACAAAATTTGAAATTAAAGCAACTGCTATCTTACATATTGCAAATGCGGACTTCGATTCATAATTTTATATTACCTTTAACAGGTTCCCCAGTAATGTCATTTCAGCAACAAACGTTACTAACCATTATATTGCAAGTATATATAATGGTTAGTTGCTCAAATTAAAGCCAAGCGTGAGGTTCGAATTAGATAAAATGTTTATTTGTGCAAAAAGACATGAGAATAAAAGTGGTCTACACTGATGAATATTACAAAGGTGCATGTTTTCCGGATATTCTCATATACACCTTTGCTTCCATTCATAGTATGTATCAATCAGTCATATAGCATATATTTATCAAACCAGTTGTATTTTTTAACTGAATATTCCTCCGTGTTTAAATACTTTGTATTGTATTCTATAGTCCTTTTGGGCTGCATGGGTTTGCAGCTTATGCACCCGATATTGTGGTAGGTTAGTAGTGTCTCTACCGCGTTGTTAATCTAGCTTCAACGCTTTCAACAGCCTTTTTTAACTGTATAACTGGGTGCCCCCCCCCCCCTCCATCATTCAGCGGAAAACGAAAGAATTATGTAAAGTATACCTATAAACTTGAACCTTCCTTGAAAAATCCTTTGCTAGGCCTTTATCAAATACGTCAGTAGAGCTACATGGTTGGTTTACTGTAGTGTTCATTCTTTTCATTTTCTTATTATTATTCTGCGTCAAATTATATTAAACATAATTATATATGCCAAAAATGTGTTTCTCTCAAACAGAAGTAGCAAATAAAATAGACGTACTGCAGCTAGCATTATATCTTAGTTGTTCTTTAACAATTTTATCTCAATTTTAGCTGACGTTTTCTTTAGGAATTACACCACAAAATAAGTTTCTAGACTAATTACGAAACTCTTCTCTAAACTCACCGAGACACAATCACTAGTAGTACGCTAATAGAGCCGCTTTTTTAAACTCACTGAGACACAGTCACTAATAGTATACGCTATTAGCCGCTTTTAGTCAAAATATCTCATCATTCTCATGAACAAAGCACGCCATGACAAAACTGAAAAAAGTTTTATCATAATTTTAAAAGTTGTGTGAACAAGATTGGAAAATTTTGTATACTGAATGGAACACCGACTCATATCAACAACAAATTTTCGCCATAATAACTTTCCTCAGGTAGACATAGCTTGCGCCTACTTTGCATACATACTGATTGATGATTTAAAAAAATTGACAGAACAATAATTAATGATTCCGAAATCGATCCTCATTGAGTCAAATGACAGGCAGACTTTTATGGTGAAAACCAGTGAAAACCTAGCCGTATGTATAATATATGATATTTGCAGCGTCAGAAGGTTGGTTTCTGTTTTTTAGGATACTTTTTATGTAAAGGAATTGGTTTTATCAAGCAGGTAAGTTTTTTAATGAAATAATCTATCTTTCGTCGACGAAATTAAATCCTCGTGTTCCGGAATGTTGATCAAATTGGATCGTACAAGGATATTTTTTATTAGTACAAGCAGGAAGTTAGAACATTCAAGCTGTAATATTGCGTGAACAATGTTTTCATGAAAGTATCACAAGTTGTGAATATACTATAGAGATAAAGTTGATTATTGAACAACACCCCAAGACTAGCACTCATGCCCCCTTGTCCTACGCATTAATAACCGCGCTAGTTAACAGTAAAGAACTAAAAGACTATCATTCTCACAAGGTAATAATCATGAACTGAGAATTGTTGGAAGATTTGTAATTATCTATACGTTCATGTCAATCGCTTTCGTGGCATTTTTTAGGCTTGAGTAACTGCCTGGGTAACTCACAAATGTATAGCTATGCTATGAAATATTTGCAACTTATATGGTGTTAGAGCATTTTTTATCAGAAATCTTTAAAGAAGATGTAATATGATCGAAATTAAATTTTGTACATTGCATGGTACAGCCATATGTTGATCAACTCTTTTTCCTTCCATATTACAGCGCAACCTCGTACTTAGTATAGGGCCTTTTGAATTTGACTTTGAGTATGTTGACCGTGATTGTCTATCTGCTTCTAATAACACCTTTTGTAACGTCATCCATCCATCAAGCAGAAGGTAAGAGCCTAGAGATCAAATGTCATATATGCAATATATCGTTCTTCACTAAATTCACATTACTCGCCCGCCGATGGTTTTATCAATATACACTTAATGTATGCTAAAGACGGAAATAGTGATTTGTTATATATGAACACTTCACCATCAACAAATCACAACCTATGTGGCCTTAAATATAACAAACAAGCCTTCTCAAGCCTTCGCATGCAACCGAAGATTAAATCTCTTACAAACAATATATTTATTGTGAAATCTCATTTTTTTTAAGTTAATGGTCACATTGCTAAAGGCTATAAGGGTGACCACGGCATTTTGACTTCCGAGTGTTTTTCTATCCTTTTTTTTTCTATTAAAAGTTGAATTTCATCACTTGACAAACTTGAGAAACGTTCTTTTTTAGTTTTTGGCTCCAAAGCTGTTTTATATGTTATGAGAATATACGGGCAACAATTTTTCACCGGCAGGAAACATTGCATTTATTTAAAGTCACGTGATTACGAATGAACCAATCACCTTTAAAATACACAGCGCCTATATAATTATAACAATAGCGCTTAGGCGAGTTCCTGGCGTAACACAGCTTTAATATTTCCAAATCTATATATAGCAGAAATGTTAACTCAAATCTTAAGTTTTCTTATACATATATTGCGTGCATGATCGAAGATAAGGCTCAACAATATAATATCGTCAAAATTATATAATATCGAATCCAAATTCATCGACTGAACTGAAAATCAGAAAACAATGAAATTTTTATAAGAACACAACTACCCAAGAAGAACCCAAGTACATGAAATAAGTCACCGCATGAGGTGTTTTAAAAAATTCGGTGGAAAAGATTAAACACGTTTTGCAGGGACATTTCTCCCATGTTTCATGTGGAATATTTAAACATTTCTACAACATTCCTTTTAATAAACCCTTGATTATTTACTGAAGCCATTAATTCCTCTGGCTCTGCATTCATATAATTATTTTTTGCAGTGGTGCAGACGCAATCAGGTTTGATACGAGGCATAATCCAGTCCTCCAGTTTAAATGGAATCAGTGTCCAGAAATTTCTTAATATTCCGTATGCCGAAGCTCCTGTTGGTGAACTAAGATTTGAAAAACCTCGACCAAGAACACCCTGGAACGGTACCACATAAATTCCTTTGAATTTCAAGGCTGATTCGCTTCAAGTAATATTCCAGTTGAAGTATTACCATAAGTATTTCTATTACAGGGGCCTTAAACAGCACTGAACAAATAATCGCGTGCATTCAACCAAATCAACTCGGTCTGACCATCACAGAAGACTGTTTAGTCCTCAATGTATGGACGCTATTTCCTCGTCCAAAGAATGCGAGTGTTATGGTGAGTTTTTTAATTCAGTTTTAATTATTCGGGTTTAGATTAAAACCCAAAACTAGGTCGACCAATAAACATGATTTCTCATGTTACCTCGACCATCACTTTTTCATTTTAAGTAATGTTTACAACACGAGGGGCCATATTGTATTGATTATATATATTCAATGCAACACGGCCGCGAGTGTTGTAAACAACCTGTGAAATGAATTTGTAATCAATAAGATTGGAATAGATATGCGAATCAGTTACAAACACTAGTGTGATATAACCCCTAGTGTTTGTAACTGATATTGCATATTTATCAATCTAATTTTTACAGGGTGCATGTGCATGTAACCTAATTCACGAAATTTAGTTGCATGAGTGTAAACCTCATTATTTATTCACAAATTTCACAATATACAGGTGTAAATGTTCTTTTCGTTTGTCTTAGTTTAGCTTGCAGCTTTTTAATACTTATACTATTATATGCATGTTTCGTCAGGTTTGGATACACGGTGGAGCATTCCGTTTTGGGAACTCCGGCGAGACCCAAGGTCCAAATATGGTGGCTGTTGGTAATGTCATACTAGTCGCTATCAATTATCGACTCACAGCTTTAGGATTTCTTTCAACTGGGGACGACAGGATTAAAGGTCCGTTAATACTCAGTGCATAATTTCATCACTGATAATCCTGCAATAGTGATGATCTTTCACGTTTTGCAAAAACATTAAGATGTTTTCAATTTTCATCAGGAAAATATTGTAGTTAATATCATCTCTTACTATAAACGGTGCAACTCAAGACATGCAGTTTCGCTATTCTCCCTTCTATAATAATCAGACTTTTTCGATCTAACGAAATTTTTCGCTCGATTTTCTTTTCAATTCTGATAATTCGACCGTAGCGGATTCCCTTTCCCGGTCACAAGTGAAAAGAAAATCGAGTGTTTTGATCGATGGATGGTTGCGACCGTTCAGAATTCCGAAAGCTAAAAGTAAGATGTCACTTCACGCGAAAAATATCGCTAGTGGAAAATCATTTAGATTGTCGACAAGATGGATATAATTGACAAGGTCGATATTTTATCCCCAAGACGAAAAATTATAACTAAATGAGTTATTCCAAGTGCATGATTTTTCTTCCGATTCAGGTAATTTCGGTCTTTATGACCAACGTTTGGCGATCAAATGGGTTAAAGATAACATCGCTAGTTTTGGCGGGAATCCTAATTCGATCACATTATTTGGCGAAAGTGCGGGGGGTGTAAGCGTATCTGCGCATACCTTGTCTAAAGAAAGCTGGAAGTATTTCGATAAAGCAATCTTGCAAAGCGGAAGCATGATTATGCCGTGGGCTATTACGACAGATGCCCAGATTAAAGATGGGTTAAAATGGTTCCTGGAGAAAGCCAAGTGTAATAATGATGATAAAATACTCACGTGTCTTCGAAACGTGAGTGAAAGTAAATGGAAGAAGATTTTGGATAGCGATGGTTTCGATGAGATATGGACCGGTCCTGTGATTGATAAAGAATTCATATCCGATCATCCCCAAAAATTATGGGCGAAAGGAGAAGTTAAAAATCAAAGTATTATCATCGGAATTACTAAGGATGAGTGGTTTTATATGGAACAAAAGCTTTTGAAACAATCGAAGAACATTAGCAAATATTTAGAATATTTCGAGATAAAATTGGAAGAACATTTCAAAAATTCGTCTAAGGCGGTGTACGACAAAGCGAGGGAACTTTATCAGCCGAAGTGTATTCCTTCTCACTTGGAGGCTTTGAAGCCGAGCGTAGCATTTGGATCGGATAGTTTGTTCATCTGTGATAGCAGACGCGAGGCTAAAATGAGAGCCAAACAAATGAAATCTAAAGATGTGTATGTTTTTCAGTACTCGCATACGCCGTTGGTACAATACATACCTAACTGGTACCCTTATGGAGTGTACGGATTTTCAGCCCATGGTCTTGATATTGTGGTAAGTCAAGTTGCCTTGAGTGTTTTTAACGTAGCTCGATCCTTTGCGGCCGCATTTTCGGTTCAAGCGAAGTAATACAAACGGTCATGCAGTAAAATAACTTTTGTGGAAAAGGTCCTCGTTGTTATTAACGAATGGCGTGTATAAGCTCATGCACAGCCAATTGCAGCCAGTGTATTCATTTTTCGACTGTTTTATCTCAGTTTATGGATTAATAGTCACACTCTTTTGTTACATATATAGTCAGTATTTGGTGCACCGATTAATAATACGAAATTCCGACCTGACGATCAAACGCTGTCTATGAGAATGATACTGTACTGGACGAATTTCGCTAAAACTGGGTAAGTTCAAATGTAGGTATATATAATGTTTGACGTTTTTATGTTATAACATTTAGGCTTAACAAAAACACAGTAATCGAACCTGCGACGTATGTTGTTCAACTGATTGAGCTATATATACATGTACCACTTAATTTATATATTATAGGTAACTTCTAACCTCTTTAAAAAAACAAAGTGTTGCATTAAAGACATATAAGTCTATACATGCTTCAACAAGCAGACTGGACGGTGCTATCTGAAGCAATTAAGATACAAAATATAACTGAGCACTTTCCGTATTTTGGTATAGACTGAAGAAAGTTCAACTTTTTTTCACTTCCTGCATGCAACGAAGCAGGAATTTCACCACTGACAATTATAGCTTTTAGACAATTAATACTATACACTATTGAAAGAGTTTTGATGCAAGATCAATATTAGAACCAGCATTTATTTTGACAGAGATCCAAACGTTCGCACAAGAAAATTGCCATTCGTAGTAGACAACGTTGACAGCTTACCAGAATGGCCTCCATATAGCGAAGGGAAGGAAAAATATTTAGACATGGAAAGCTTTTCTCAGATGACCGTCCGAGCAAAATTGCGCGAAATGCATTGTGAATTTCTTATGGATCCGAAAGGATTTCTTGAACCACAAATAACAAATGATTCTAGAAAATATTCCCTTGCAGTTCCTGCCTGGTTTATAATTATTCAATTAACCCTGTTTTTTGCCTAATAAACAAAGTCACCTTCTTGTTGTTAAGAATGCTAATCAACTCGAGTACTTGTGTTTGTGTTGTACGTGTTGTTGTTAAGTCAATAAGGTTCATTATAGCAAGAGATTTTACGAATTAAAATATATTCTTGAAATGAACATTGAAGTACCTTATAGTTAATAAGATACCTTATACCTTTATAGTTAATAGTTCTTAACTATATCAATGAACGTTCATTGAACAGTATGAGGGGGGGGGGACATTTTTTTTTCAATGTACTGATGATGCAAAATTTCATTATCAATTTCATAACTCAAAAATTTATCAAAAAAGACAACAAAGAAAACCAATAGCATATATAGCTAGCTCTAGAGCATTTAAAGTTTGTGTCTATCGAGTTTGTGTCTTAAAGTTTTTGTTTGTAACACACAAACTTTAACTGCTCTAGAGTATTCATACATATATATACATATAGGCATCGCTACTCTGAGTCTCATGCCAAGAGTGGCAATCATCAGGTGACTAAATTTCATTTTCAAGTCAATAAAGTGGATTGTAGCAAAAGATTAGAGTTTATATAGCTACTAGAAAAAATCCTATTATCCGACCAATCATTATATTATTAAAGTCATATTTGCATGAATTGATGATAGAAAACTCAGTACTCGTTGCCGACTGATATTGAGCTGGCAAATAGATTAAGATGAGTACGTCATCATATGAGTACTTCAATCTCCAACTTTATATTAGTGTAACATCAAAAATTTTTTGTTAGCCGGGTTTGTACTTCCTCTGTTATGAGCTAAACGCACAAAATTGTGTTTTCGAGCGTTTTACTTGAAGTACTGCACCTAACAAAAATTCAACTAGACTCATGCAAGTCATCAAATAATGAAAGGATTCTCGGCAATGAAAAAAGTGGGGAAATTCGGTTGGATAACAGGACATGCGTGATGTCATGTTTGTTTGTGTACCTAATGGCGCTGCCAGGCCAATAATCGAATATGCCGAGGAAGTTAATATAGGTTGTTATGAGATGATTTTAATTTATTTCTGTTATTTCTCATCGCACGAGGTATAGTTAGGGATCTTTACATTCTTTAAAACAACTGTTTTTTAATGAATCTGATCTTCGTGCTGTCTTCATTTATGTTTCCTTTTCTTAATTTTTGTCATTTACTCGGCTGAGGCCACTCTGGAGGTTAGGTTGTTGTTCCCACCCTAGCTTTTTAAAATAATAGCTGATTGGGGGTCTGTTCGCGGTATGTGGAAAGTAGGGCAGTCCACCACCCCAATCGACGTTGTGGGTTAGTGTGTGTTGGTCGTTAGAAGCTTGGTCCAGCTTTCGTATTTTGCTTTCGTAAGGGTATTAATGCACTAGTCGAGTTGGTCTTTTGCTTATTTGATCCATGTAAAAACTTGTTTACAACTTATCATCAACTTAGGCTATAGTAAAATTATCAAACTATAACTCTGTGAACCATATCTCACAACTTAAACTATTTTCACCAATAATTATATCGAATTACGCTTTTCGTGATGCTTATACGTTCTTCACTGCATGCGCAAAATATAACAAAGAAATGATTGACACAAGCTAGTATCCGATTGGAACTTATGTGTTTCAGTCGTGACACTTGAACTTGGACCTTGGACGACATACTATTTTTTGGCTGAAAATCCCTTGAAATGTCACTAAACGACAGGAGAAGCAATTTGTGCTTGCGAAGGGCTACAATAATAATTTCTTTTCATGTCATGCCAAGTTACATGTCCCCATCCAATTTCCTCATCGATAGTGACCTCCTAGGAAACACCTTAGCTTATGCGTATTTGAAAAACATTAATCGTATTAGCACGAAAACTCGTATTAGTCAGAGTAATTTTGAAAGTATATGAAAATAACATTCAAAGCTATATATGTTATCCATTTTTTTATTTAAATTCAATTAATTACTGAAAAGAATATTTAAAACCTCCTTAGAAGTTTTAAAAGTCGTGCACGTTCTATTTATAACCCCAAATCCCTGGTTTTGTGGTGCAAGGTTTGCATTTCAAAAGCACCGAGCGTTACAATTACTTCAAATTGGCCTGTATAGTATATGCCTACATGTTATGCCTACATGCGAAGGTTTGCTGTTGCAGAAGCCCATAGCTGAATTCAATATACTTGTTTGTTATTACAAATGCACACAGCTGAGAAAAATTACTCGAACACCTTAATTTTATTTATCTATTTTGGTATGTTGGCGGCGGATGTAAAAAACTACCTATTTCGTTGCCTGATTTGGAATATATTAAATACTCAAGAGTAGCTGAATCTTCTACTCAATAAAGATAATATCAGACACATAGGATGTTTGATTAAATGAACTTCCCTTATAAGCCGCGGGCACGAAACCATTTTTAAGTGGTCTATTTCTTCCATCTGTAAGTAAGAGCGGCTCCGGAAACTACTTGCTACGACAGATAATTAACTGGCAAAGACTTCGAAACCACTATATCAATCTTTGATAAAAAGTTATATTTCCTTAGACCTTTTGAGCCGAAAACGACATGCTTTTGTCCAACGACATTGTTTGAGAGTCGAGTCTGATTGGTCAAAAAAATAAACAAACGGCGTGTGTTTGTCGAGAATCCGGGGGGGATTTCATGTCCCGCATCGTCCCACGATATTTTTCGGCAAATAGGCAAACGTTTTGAACATTTTTTGTAAATTTTCATTTGTTTTTTAAAATATTTTTTATGGAATAATGTTGTTCGAGTATCTAAAATATATTTATGATAATTTATTTGAGGGATTCTCATTGTTTTCATATGAAATTTTGCTAGTGAATTTCGTATGTATGTGTATATTAGTACAAGAGTTTCCATCGTTCTCAATAGCTATGTCTTATATGTTTCGCGATCACTGACGTCACTGAACTCACAACGCAACCGGACTAATTTTTTTTTGCTATTTCATAAATGTTTATTGGGATTCCTATGAGTATAGAAATGTTTTTTTTTAAATTGACACATGTTAAATAATTCATAGGTATATATACCATTGCTCTCAGTGTTCTTAAATATGTCAGATTTTTACTGTGGGATAAAATGCTCTAGAAGACCGTGACAAAGAATATTTGAAAAGGATGATAAATATTTCTCCCTTCCGTGTTCAAGGCATTTTTGAGGAAATATAATTCATCAAAAAACGAAAGCGCTGATTGCCACAGGGCTGATTGCCATCGTAGACTGGGGAAGTGAACACACAGGAAAAAAAGTAAAACGGATATTAGGCCAAATATAAAATTTTAAGTACTTGAAGTATCTGTTTACAAGTAGAGATGAAATAGTAATAACAAAGTGCTCAAAGATTACCATACAAAATTGTCATTAGTCAAGCATACATATATAAGTAACTATTTGCCTGTCAGTGTTTTATAGAAGTTTGATCCAAAAAGTGTGAATTAACAATTATTTAACGGTGAGCATCAGTAACAGTAGCGGATTCAGGTTAAGTCAGAATAAATTATACGATCTAATTTCAAAAAGACTTACAAACAAGTGTGAAGTAATAACTTTGACTGGAGCTCGTGTTGTGCATGCAAGATTCATGTTATTTCAGACAGTTTAGATTGTATTTTGGACGCTTGAAATCCTTCGTAAAAGGCTAAAAGTTGCTCGCAAACCGACGAACATTTTTTTCTGCGTTATATAGATAGCGCAATGGTGTCTAAAGTTTACTTTCTAGTAATGTTGTTGGCCGCGAGCGGCGTCATTGAGGCTGTATTATTCACTTGTGGCCACAACTGTTGGCATAATAACTGGAGACATCGGGATTGGCAAGCAAGACGAGCTGGTCAGTACAACAGGAGATGTTCCTACAGGTACGGCTGGGGCGGAAAGTGCTATTGTTACGGGTGGCCAGCGTGCAAATAAACTGCAAGAACGAACTTATCAGCTTTACACAAGTACTATTATCATTTTTCTCGCAAATATGTGCAAATTTAGCTATGTAGCCTATGTTTATTGTTGTGTGTAGAAATGTGTAGTGATTAGTGCCAGTGTAATAATGATTTAAATATCTCTCAAACTTTCTATTTTGTCCTGTTTAATTTTCTGACAATTATTAAGTAGCGGAGAAATAAATTACTCTGATACATTTTATATCTGCTGCATGCTTTATTATTAAATTCGGGGTTCGGATTCCTCAAGCCTGTGAAAAATGTTTGGAACAATCTGCAGCATAAACTGCATTAATATTTTTAACACGTAATATAAGTGTACACATAATAAAGCTTTTGCTTTTTATGGATAGTCCCTCGATCTTCAAAGACAGGTTAAGCTTTGCTGCATCGGCCCAAGGATAGTGATTTTATTATCCATGCTGGGCCTAAAAGCATATATCAATACTTCTTCGGTGCTCACACACATATAGTTAAAGCTGCTGCGATCCTCAATTGAGGGGCTGATGATGAGGGGCTAATCAATTTTGGTTCTATTTTAAATCAGTGCTTCAGACGGAAAAAATCAGCACCCTTCGCTATCTTATTTTCTTTTCTTTACTTAACTTCCTGTATATATACATTGTGTACCAAGGTATTGACGAACTCATCACGTCCATTCTGGTGCCAGTTGTATTAAATTCTTTAACCACAATTTGCATAGCTAGTTAAATCCTATAGTTAACTCAGAAATACACGACTCTGATTGGCCAATTCTGTCCCTATTAATTACTGTTAAGACTTAACTAGTTCTTTATAACTGACCCCTGAAGCTTAATGCAGTGGATGCAGGTGGGGTATTGTAAAGGTGATACTCGGCAGTCGATTTTTTTCGCTATGCTAATATTTTGGTGTTCATGCATTAATAATTGTGAAAACGACCAACTTTCAAAGAAATTCAATCATTATAACTTAAATTTGCAAAAGGGAACTAAATCCTATATAGCTACGCCACATGGGTTTTCGGCTAACTCAGGTTGTACAAAGTGCGACCAGATCTGGTTACCTCTTTGCAGGTCCACCTAATTTTAATGAATACCACATTTAGATCAGGACAGTCTAACTGTATATTTGAGAAGTGACGTAAAGCGACTGTTGTGGACCCCTGTCAATAGTTCACTTGTTGTCCCCCATTGTTCCGCTAAAATATTACGACTCTTACTATGCACAATCTCTATCTTCAGTTACATATTTTGACACGGAATAAACATAAACATAAACTCTAATTCATTGGTAAGAAAACCAGCAACGAGTAGCTGTAGCTATTTGTCTGTGGTGTTGTTTCCGTGTGCTATCACATTTTGTTAAAATTTTTCAGGCGCCTCTAAAGTTCAAGAGCCCCATCATCATGCACCTTGCATATAATTATGGTCACACTGACTGTATATATAAGAAAATGAGTAGAATTTAAAAAGGTACCTCCGACAAGTGAAAAGAGGTTAATGAGGCATGCTTTTGGTCATGTTTGTCTGCATATGTCTGTACATGCGTCAGGTCATGCGAGATTTACCCAAACGTGAGATTTAACTAGTATTGACCCAGATAATGTGAAAGCTTTATTCAGGAGGGCAAAAGTTCATGTTGGTTGCTGGAATCCCAAAGAAGCAAGGCAGGATTTTGCACGTGTTATGGAACTAGAAACGAACTTGGTAAAAACAGTTAAAAAGGAACCTCAGGAATTAGATAAGGAAGAGAATGAGCATAAAGGAAGAATATAAGAAGGAATTAAAAGGATTATTTCCTTCAGAAATTAGTCGAGTTTATAATTGCTATTTAAAATGTTTTATGAGCCTAAGCAAAACATTTTTATTGTATAAGAGGTGGTCTTCTGTGATAAATATGAAAAATTGGGACAAGAAAAAGTCCAAAATTTTAATAATTTAAAATATTTAAAACAACACTTTGCATTTTAAGAATAATCTGAGTATAAAACTAGATCGTATATTTTTTCATTTTATGTTTTAAAGTCACTGTATTTTCTTGTTAACGCTTTTGTTTCTGGATATGTTGGCTTTCTTTCGCAGACATCTGAAGCACAAGACGGTATTGCTGACTCAGCAATTGTGAATTTTTCTTACACTCGTTGATAAGATTTTGATACGTCGGTCTGGGCTCAGGCAACCGGGCTATCTCTGTGCGACCAACGACTTTTTTAACGCTTTCCAAGTCTTTTTTCCTGACCTCTTTTACTCTCATAAAGTGGAGCACCAATGGGCTGTGCCCTAGTATATTGAACTGGACTTTGTGAAAGTCTGGACCGCTTCCTGCAGGATGGGACTTATAGGTCTCAGAGCTTTGTCCAGGGGAAGGGGATCTTGCTTTACTCTTCTCAGAAGGGGATACTCGCTCATTCTCTAAGATACCATCAATGTCGAAAGACAAGGTTTTTGGAATGAGTGATTTCCTAGCTTCCTCGGAATTTTGAAATCCTGCTGGTTCTAATTCCTCTACTGCCAGGTTTCCCATATCATGGGCTGAGGACGGACACCCGATATCCACTCAAAGATGGTGTCAGTCAAAGTGGCTTTGAAAGGATTGCCAAATATTTTATACGAATCTGGGAATGCCTCGCAGAAGCCAGCATACAAAGCTTGTGCCAGGCAATTGCGGTAGTGGTGGAAGAATCGATCTTTGTAAGCCGTTGGGATATTGAAAAAAAGTGCCACAAAACTATCGAAAATACGCGAGAATATCACATCTTTGGATTGTTTTGCTTCAGGCAGTTGGCAAAATATCCACCAAAATGAGTCTTGAAACACTGAAACAGATGCTTCGGATAAAATCGCCTTTTTCCAAACATTCCTAAAAGGTTGTGGGAAGTTTTGAATTTTGGTGACTTTGTTTAGGACTGGTTGAGATTCCAAGTTTCTTGGTAATGGCGTAAGCTCGTTTGGTGTGAAACCAAAATATGTTGTGTTCTCAACTATTTTAGCTTTGCGATTCTGAGCTTCCTTCTCTTGGGATTTCCTTGCTGACTCCAAGACGTTCGATTCATCATTGCTTCTACAATGCCTGACTAAAGCCACAGGCGTTACAACATTTTGAGTCGTTGTGGAGTTGTGGAGTCATTTGAAAATAGAAAAAAAGTTTATCGAAACAATGAAAGTCAGCTGCAATTTATGAAGTTATTTTCACTGCCCTCATGCAATAATGAAAATCTTGGATGCATAAAAGTTAACTTTCTGTTCTAATTCTTCAATTTGTTTCAAGACTTCATCCAAAATGCTAAGGTCAAGCGGTGCATGAGCTGCTAGAGCGTTGATAATATCCTCAAGTGTACCAGTTCCCACATCTTCCGGTGTTAAATTAAGTCTGTCTTCCTCTTCCAATTTTATAGGCCATGTAACATAACCCATTCTTGCAAGCCATTCGTCCGCAGTTTTTGCCAGCGGGCTGGATTCTTCGCTCTCCCTCCTCTAGCTCTTCCCCATTTTGCTGTGCATAATCCGATAAAAAAGCGCCAACTCTGCGGTCCATTTTAATCCAAAATAATTGTACATTTGAAGAAAACTGATTTCCTCGCTCTCTTTTGTGAGGCCATTTTGAATATCGCGAAACACGACATCACCATCACCATGACTACGAATCGCGCACGTCGATTGGTTAGAAATCCCGCTGTTTTTAACCAATAGAAAACCATTTTGGGTTTTAAACAATATATCACAGAGTAGACATTATACCAGAAGGCTCACGCAATCCTGGTGTGTGTAGGAACTTTTTCATGGGAGTACAAAGTTCCTGCACATACCAGGATAGCGCCGGAATTGCGTACAATGACGCGTGCGCTTCTGAAAAATTTCGGACACGAAAACATTAGCAAAATCCAAAGAGTAAGGCTTGTGGTATAATGTCTATTCTGGTCTATGTAAAGTTGACCACGAGGTCTTGTGCTGAACGGCTATGGTTATTTAATTCATCTTTTTCTCACGTTGTTTTAATGGTCAAATTTTTTGTCCTATGTAAAGTCTCCAGCATATTTGGTGCTCATATAAAAACAATCAATATAACCAATGTTTGGTTATAATGTCAAATATTTTGACATGGATAACGATGTTGGTTAAATGGTCTAATTCTGGTCCTATGTAACAAATAACTCCTTCAGATCTATCCAACGATAAAAAAATCGCATATAAAATCGCGACAAAAACGTTAAACAATATAACCATGCTTTGGTTATGATGTCAAATATTTTGACATGGATAACCACGCTAATGGTCAAATGCTTGTCCTATGTAAAGTTTCCAGCATGTTTGGCGCTCATATACAAACATTAAACAATTTTAACATGCTTTGGTAATGATGTCAAATATTTTGACATGGATAACCACGCTGTTTTAATGGTCAAATGCTTGTCATATGTAAAGTTTCCAACATGTTTGGCGCTCATATACAAACATTAAACAATATAACCATGCTTTGGTTATGATGTCAAATATTTTGAAATTGATAACCACGCTGTTTTAATGGTCAAATGCCTGTCTCATGTAAAGTTTCCAGCATGTTTGGCGCTCATAACAAACATTAAACAATATAACCATTACGCTTTGGTTATGATGTCAAATATTTTTACATGGATAACCATGCACGCTGTTTTAATGGTCAAATGCTTGTCCTATGTAAAGTTTCCAGCATGTTTGGCACTCATATACAAACATTAAACAATATGACTATGCTTTGGTTATGATGTCAAATATTTTTACATGGATAACCACGCTAATGGTAAAATGCTTGTCCTATGTAAAGTTTCCAGCATGTTTGGCGCTCATATACAAACATTAAACAATTTTAACATGCTTTGGTAATGATGTCAAATATTTTGACATGGATAACCACGCTGTTTTAATGGTCAAATGCTTGTCATATGTAAAGTTTCCAACATGTTTGGCGCTCATATACAAACATTAAACAATATAACCATGCTTTGGTTATGATGTCAAATATTTTGAAATTGATAACCACGCTGTTTTAATGGTCAAATGCCTGTCTCATGTAAAGTTTCCAGCATGTTTGGCGCTCATAACAAACATTAAACAATATAACCATTACGCTTTGGTTATGATGTCAAATATTTTTACATGGATAACCATGCACGCTGTTTTAATGGTCAAATGCTTGTCCTATGCAAACATTAAACAATATGACTATGCTTTGGTTATGATGTCAAATATTTTGAAATGGATAATCACGCTGTTTTAATGGTCAAATGCTTGTCCTATGTAAAGTTTCCAGCATGTTTGGCGCTCATATACAAAAATTAAACAACATAACCATGCTTTGGTTATGATGTCAAATATTTTTACATGGATAACCACGCTAATGGTCAAATGCTTGTCCTATGTAAAGTTTCCAGCATGTTTGGCGCTCATATACAAACATTAAACAATTTTAACATGCTTTGGTAATGATGTCAAATATTTTGACATGGATAACCACGCTGTTTTAATGGTCAAATGCTTGTCCTATGTAAAGTTTCCAACATGTTTGGCGATCATATACAAACATTAAACAATATAACCGTGCTTTGCTTATGATGTCAAATATTTTTACATGGATAACCACGCTGTTTTAATGGTCAAATGCTTGTCCTATGTAAAGTTTCCAGCATGTTTGGCGCTCATAACAAACATTAAACAATATAACAATTACACTTTGGTTATGATGTCAAATATTTTTACATGGATAACCACACTGTTTTAATGGTCAAATGCTTGTCCTATGTAAAGTTTCCAGCATGTTTGGCGCTCATATACAAACATTAAACAATAATATAACCATGCTTTGGTTACGATGTCAAATATTTTGAAATGGATAACCACGCTGTTTTAATGGTCAAATGCTTGTCCTATATGTAAAGTTTCTAGCATGTTTGGCGCTCATCACAAACATTAAACAATATAACCATGCTTTGGTTATGATGTCAAACATGGCCAGAATTTGCGGACATGGAATATGCAGATTGCCGTAGCAAATTTGCATATCTGTTCAAATATTATTCGTTTGCAGAACTATAAATGATATTGCGCATTCTTAAATTTCGCAAAATTTAAGAATATCATTGCATCTTTGCAATTTGCCCTGGTTGTTTCTTGTAATTCGTGTCATATTAAAGATCCTGAGGTAATATTTTGCTGGTAAAGGTTTATGTCGGCTCTGCATTTTTATTTTATTTCTACGCTATTACGGTTTTCGTTTTATATGGTATTCAACGTGATAAATGACCAAAACTTTGTTTTGAAAATGCAGGATGAATACTGATAAAACACTTTGAAATACTACATAAAAATATTAAGATTAACTTGCTCTGCAACGAGCAATTAAGGCAAATTATAATCGACCTGCCTAAAGGTGTTTTTTTAGCGTTTAGTACTGTGCACATTACAGTTTACTATAAACTCACGAAGCTTTATTTTGACACCATATGCAAATTTAGGCGGAAGTAGAATGTTAATTATGTCCGAATTTTCTGGCCATGTATTTTGACATGGATAACCACGCTGTTTTAATGGTCAAATGCTTGTCCTATGTAAAGTTTCCAGCATGTTTGGCGCTCATATACAAACATTAAACAATACAACTATGCTTTTGTTATGATGTCAAATATTTTGACATGGATAACCACGCTGTTTTAATGGTCAAATGCTTGTCCAATGTAAAGTTTCCAGCATGTTTGGCGCTCTTATACAAACATTAAACAATATAACCATGCTTTGGTTATATCAAATTTTTTGACGTGGATAACCACGCTGTTTTAATGGTCAAATGCTTGTTCTATGTAAAGTTTCCAGCATGTTTGGCGCTCATATACAAACATTAAACAATATCACCTTGCTTTGGTTATAATGTCAAATTTTTTGACATGGATAACCACACTGGTTGAATGGTCTAATTCTGGTCCTATGTAATAATGTAAATTTGCCAGCATATTTCGTGTTGATATAGAAACATGCTTTGGTTATGATGTCAAATATTTTGATATGGTAAACGATGTTTTAATGGTCAAATTCTTGTCCTATCACCGAGGAATGTCTGTAATTGCATCTTCATTAGCTGTGTTCATTACAACATTAAACATCACACGTCTTCTTTATCATGAATTGGACATGAAATGCTCATCAACGAGAAACAATACTCGACCACTTTTGTTGGTGAACTGCCTTGCGCCGAAATTCTGCGGTCTCCAAAGTTCTGCTTTTCTTGTAGTTTGGAATGGGACGAAATCTTCACTTTAGCTTGTCACGTGAAATTAGGTTGAAATGGCTAATAATTATAGATCTTGGCTTTGTTGCCGATGAAGAACAGTTTACCCCGAATGAGAGCAATACAGTGTACCGGGAATTGAACCCAGTAACCGTGTGCACAGTCAGATTCCATCAATTTAAGTTCACTTTGAAGTCTTTACCCACAAAATAAATGCCTGTTGTTTTGGGAAACATTCCTTTAACTTTGTACCGAATGCAGTTATTAAGATCAACGTGAAATGGAGTTAACACGACATTTTGTTACTTTTAGGAAATCAATCCGGGGAGAAGTTAAATTTTGAATGGAAAACCAACCATAAACGCGGTTCCGAACACACGGACACTGTTTTTATTACGAGGGAAACCAGAGTTCCTGGAGGAAAACCCTCACCGAAAGCCGGAAAAAAACACAAAGTACACAAGTTTTTTTAGATTTAATTAAAGCATTGTCATGTGTTACAAAGCGTGTGTGTATATTTAACTATTGAAATCAAGAGACATGGAGACGGATAATTTTTCTACTTTTATTTCACTATTGCATATATAATAATAATGTACAAATATATCAATTGGGATGCAAAATATTTACATATGAAGAGGGTGTAAGATGTTCACTTTGCGTTTGGCATGCTTTATTGAAAGTGTGAAAGTATTTTACACTAAGTTGGTGTATTGACCAGTGAAACATGCACTTGTATATCTATGTGTATAGCTGTATGCAAGTGTCGTGTATATTTTATTCTACAAAGACTTATATACCCAATCCAGTTTAAGAACCGACTTACTAAGACAGAGTATATAACTTAGTTCAATTCAGAGCATTTTGATTCAGGGTATTTCAAAGCCCTCGTCGAAAAACAAAAACTATTCTTTTGACAAATCATAGGCAGTGTTCTCCTAACGGTTTTTATTTTTTAAACTTTGTAGCTTTATTATTTCAAGGATTTATTTGGTTGAGATGTTTCATGAACATTTTGAAAACTTCGGCATATAGCTGAAGGAAACTGCTCCGTGTATGGAAAAAGCAGAAAAAGAAAATTTTTCCTGAAAAATTGACTGTACATTTTTTGAGCTAAGGCATAAAGCCAGAGGACACTGCTCTTATAGAAACAAAATTTGAAAAAAATATTTTATTGACAAATTGACTACATTTTTGGAGGCTAGACATATAAGCCAGGAAGGCGGCCGAAGTGAAAGGTAGTAGTGAGTACAAATCTCTTAAATTCTTTTAAAAATTTCTTAATTTTAAGAGGTGAAAAATATAACCAAATTAATAAGACTTAGCCAAAGCAAGCTGACCATTGAAGAAACAGCACCGAGTAGAATTTTTTTGTCTGAGAAACTGATGAAACACTTTTAGAGCCAAGGCATATCGCAAAAGCAAGCTGCCCTTATAGGAACAGCGATGAAAATAACACTGCAACGTTATTAGATATCCCAAGATACCTGCTAACACTTCGAACCGCCTAGCAAAGTCAAACAGTACAGACAAAAAGTGGCGCCTTACTTTCCATAAGCACTGCTCAACGATGCTAGGTGATTGGAAATCTCACAGAGACCTTGGAAAAATAATAAAGTTACAATGCCACTGCCCATGTTGTCTCTTAATCTGTTTTTACCTAAAGTAAGAATGACGCTCCCTCCCCATTTCAAGTATCAATTCACATTCATTAAGAGGATGTTTTATTTTTCATGTGTATAAATTTTGTTAGTAAGTGTGCGTTAACCAGATTGTATAGTTTGATGTATTTCAGATTTTTAGGAAGACAGTATGTGCTTTAAATATTTCTGAAAATCAGTCTTGTTGATAAACAAGAGAAAAGAGGGAGAACCTAGAAGCCTATTGGATTATGTCTGCCATTAGAGGCTGTTTGCATAGTTTTTGCATAACTGTTTGTTCATGTGTTATATGTATAATTGTATGTAAACAACTAAGTATGGTAATATGTTTTAACTATATACATTCGTACTACAGTATTTATCAATTACAAAATTTGTTAAGACAGTTAAATAATAGTATATTTACACTCATAATTTTACAATCTATATATTTCTGAAAGCCGCATATGGCCGGATAAGAGACTATTTCAATAGGACAAGAGCCGAGAGAGACAGATGGAAGCAAGAAAGAACCTATGGGATTATGTTTGCCATTTGAGGCTATAATTTGTATGCGTGTGCTGTACAAAATAGTGTTTCTCTTATAATATTACAGTTTACATTCGTAGCCCAAGAATAGCGTTCCGAGAGATGGAACAAGGTAAGAACCTATGGGATTATGTTTGCCATTTGAGGCTATAATTGTATATGCGTATATATTGTGCAAAACAGTGTTTCTCTTATAATATTAAAATCTACATTCACAGCCGCAAATTAACTAATAGCGTTCCGAGAGATGGAACAAGAACCTATGATTATGTTTGCCATTTGAGGCTGTGATTAATGTTCGTGTGTCTGGCGTTTTAAGCCATTTCGTATATGAAAATTCATGTTTTAAAGTTGTGACATATAATCCTAGTTTGAACATGCAACTTTATCAACTTAAACCTTAGCGCGTAGCCTAGCGCAGCGCGTATAGCCCTTAAGCGCAAAGCCGAATCCTATGGCCGAATTTATTTACTCACATGCAAATCAATTTACACATGCATCATGCGACACCGCAGAAATTGGTGTTTAAGACGTTTCAACCCGAAAATCTAATCGCTGGTTCACAATTGTGCATTTCTGTATCGCCCTATCAAAGAGAAACCTTTTGAATATCTTAAAAAAGTTCAATTTTTCTTCTGAATACGCATTCTGCAATCTTTCGACAGCTTATCATACACATCTGACCGCTGTGAAATGGCCATTTTGAGGCTTAAAGTATACACAAGGTTATTAATTCAGACGATTCGTTTTTACCGTGAGCAAGCTTCAAATCTTTTGTGCAAGACATATTTTCTTGAATATTTATAAATCTTTTTCCTCACCAAGTTTGAAGTCTAAGTATCGAGAATTGCGGCTAAGCCTATACCAATTTCTGCGGTGTCGCATCATGTATTAGCTATGTTCCTGGTGGCCAGAACCTAGGTAACAGAATAACTATTTGGTTTAAAGAACATCGCGACCCTTTAAGACGAGCAATGAACTTCTGCTTTGCAGAAGAATTGCTCGTAGACCATGCATTTTTCGTGCGAAATTACGTCCTAACCTTAGCATGCACATTTTTTGACCACCAGGCTACTCTAACCTTCAACGATGTTGGGGAACATCGCCAATTTACGCTGCTGTTCGACATCGTATCGTATTGTGTCGTTTTGGCGTGGTTTTAGCGTCGTTTTGGCGTCGTTTGGCGTCGTTTTGGCGTCGTTTAGCGTCGTTTTGGCGTCGTTTCGGCGTCGTTTAGATTCGATCATAGCTCCACAGAGGCGGGTGATTTATATTTTATCAACCTGAAATAGAATTTAAAATAAGAATAAGAAACCAATTTTTAACATATGGGGAAGATTGAAGAATAAAAACTGTATATAATATAATGCAGGAGGGTGAATTACACCCGAACAGTACTCATAGGTACCCTATATGATTGAGGGGGGGAGCGTGGCGAAACTTTTAAAGTGAAGCTCCCTTACAGGAACAGCAATCCAGCCATCGTTGTTCGTCCTAAATCCTAAGCTTCCTATGTTCGCTCAAAATCTAAAATGGGCAATCACTTAATACTTACATTTAAATTTGAACAGGTTAATGGTCATTTCAAATGCCTTGGTCTTGCTCAATTTTTCTCTACCTGAAATAAAACAAAGCAATAGCTACTTGTTATAGACGCGGTGATATCCGCAAGTTATTCAATATAAAACAAAATTAAATATTAGGAGAAAACACGCGTTGATATAGGCTCTAAGCTACTCCTCCCGTGTATGTGAATTAAAATAGAAACGAATAGATTTGTACCTGTTCATTTAGCAACTACCAGACCAGCAGCTTCGGACTTGCTGTCTCATTAAACGAGAGTCATCTCGGACAATTTCAGCCGATATCGATGGCGAATTTCTTGCACACGGTATTTCTTTTAGTTTGACTTTAGCTCTTATAACTCTGCCTGAAAAGAGTAGAAGGCAATGTTAGTTTTACACAAAGCCTTTAGCCTTTAGAACTTAATTGAAAGATATAATTTACTATAGTTGAAGCGAAGGTTGGTGCATGGTTATAGGATTCAGCTGGTTGAGGTGGAGTGTGCGACATCAAAGCGTCCGTAAATTCACGGAAAGCCACGTTGCTGAAATATTCGCCCAAAATTTCTCACTAAAGCAAGCAGATAACCGTAAAGAAAATGGCATATCAGTACCTGTTTTTTACACCAACGACAGCGGCACAGCGCCACAGAGATACTAAACTTCTCTTCTGTAGAAAGACGCTATCATTGATAGCGATTTCAGACGAAATTTTGAGCATTGTTATAGCATTGAGCATTGAGCATTGATCTTTCGCTGAAAGGCTATGGTTATTTAATTTACTTCATCCTTTTCTTTTCAAAGGTCATAATGAAAAAGAGTTCAGCTTAGATTGGAACCATCGACTTACCACTTGGAAGACCATTGTCTTTACCACTAGACTGCAAGATCTGTGCTGAACGGTTATGGTTATTTAATTTACTTTATACTTTTCTCGAAGGTCATAATGAAAAAGAGTTAAGCTTAGATTCGAAACATTGACTTAACACTGGGAAGACCATTGTCTTCACCACTAGACTGCGAGATCTTGTGCTGAACGGCTATGGTTATTTAATTTACTTTATCTTTTTCTCCAAGGTCATAATGAAAAAGAATTAAGCTTATATAGATTCGAACCACCGGCTTAACAATTGTGAGACCATGGTCCTCACCACTAGACTACGAGATCTTGCCCTGAACAGCTATGCTTGGTTATTTAATTTACTTTATACTTTTCTCGAAGGTCATAAGGAAAAAGAGTAATATATTTTTAAGCTTAGATCCGAACCATTAACTTACCACTTGGAAGACCATTGTCTTCACCACTAAACTACGAGATCTTTTGCTGAACGGTTATTGTTATTTAATTTACTTTATACTTTTCTCGAAGGTACATACGGAAAGTATCAGATAGCAGGTAGACACGAAAAAGGAAGTTTTTCTAAGAATGTTTCAGTATTCTTGGGAATTCAGAAAGTACCTTTAGACTAGGGGTATTGTAATACGTAAAAAAATTCTTAGGCATACTTAATGTCATGTTTGTAATCGTACTAAGGGGAAAGTTAACATATAAGACTAAAGACTCAAACGGTCGAACAAGGACGTTAACAGTTGGAAAAGTACTTGCGCACCAGACGCGTAATAGTTTACAACACCCTCCTATATAGCTACAATACATGTAGCTACATCATCATCATCATCTAGGCCTATTGCGCCAATGAGGCGTATGTAGCTACACTAACAGAATAATGGCGAAGAATAAAATTATGATGACCACAATAGACCTTTTTCATAATGACGTCAAACGCGGAAAGTCTAATGTAACACGAAGTTTGATTGGCTCGATAGTTTTGTGGAGCCAATCAAATTTCGCGTAACATCAGACTTTCCGCGTTTGACGTCATTATAAGAAAGGTCTATTAGATTCGTGATGATTATCTAAAATATGCAATTAACTGTGCTTCACTTTGACTTTAAACGCTTGACACTCGTTCCTCGACAAAAAAAAAGACTGCCAGATGGACATAGCTACATGGGCATACATGCATGTCGGGCTGCAAATAGACCTTTTTCATACTGACGTCAAACGCGGAAAGTTTGATGTTACACGAAGTTTGATTGGCTCGATGGTTTTGTGGAGCCAATCAAATTTCGTGTGACATCAGACTTTTCGCGTTTGACGTCATTATAAGAAAGGTCTTTTCACACGCTGTTTGCACACGGTCATTACCATAAAAATATCACATTACACATATCATTATATATAAGACTGGCGCGAATAACCAACTTGGCCTATTGATCGTGTGACAAATGAATGGTTTGAACTTTTAAGCTGTTAGATTTTGTAACAGGTGAGGCAATTGAATGATTTCGTTCTTAAATATTAATAATAATCGTTAAAGCTGTGATCAAAGTTGCACGTTGAAGTTGTTCTGCGATCAGGAGAGTTTGCACGTCGATCGTGACTGTGCAAAATATATTGCAACACTCAGTGATAAATATTTGTTCGATTTTGTTTGGATTTACATCATTAAACTCGATTCACAGCACTAGGATTCCTTCTAATTATGAATGCACACACATTTAACTTGTACTCACCTTTATTGCCTTGGTTTTTATTGGAGGAAAGACAGCTAAAATAAAAAATATAAACGGGCTTTGAAGCGACTCGACCATGCATTAATAGTAATATGACCCATGCATTGTGTAAATATATACATAAGGGCGCTTTCCCTTATAGAGTAAAAACGGCCAGACCGGTCCTTGTTGTATTTCAGTACAGACATATTACTGGTATACACTTTAGAGTGTTCAAATCTTTAGAGTGTACAAATCTGCATTCACGTTTATCGTTATTTACATCTGCCAAGCACGGGAAATGCAGTTTCACCGCTATATTTTTAACGAAATACTCTACTTCAGTTTAGAGTGGTCTGACCATTTTGGCTGCTATTTAAGTGGGAAGCGCCCTAGAATGTAGGTGTATTGTATTCGGCGATTTATTGCACTCCGAATAATTATAGGATATTTCTTTAATATATAGGAGAATATAGGAGATGTTTTTCGTCGTTGTAATTTTTCTTCTCTGCGAGCCTTTCCTGATATCAGCTAACCAAGGAGAAGGTATGTAATTTGTATGTCTCTGATGAGTTTACCGAATGATTTTTAGATCACTATGCATGAAGTTTTGTAAGGTTTATCAGTTAACTTGCGCGGTAGCATGCATGAGCGAGTGTTAACGCTAACAATTTGAACCTATATACATGTATTATATATAAGGCTCTGTGTGTTTACGAGGTAACGAGAGCTTGTTCGGTTAAGGCTGGTTTTGATGTGACATAATTCGTCGTAACTCCATGTCGTAATTTGTTGTAATTATAGTTGAAATTCGGTTTTCATTCTGTATTTTTAAATTTTTTATCCGGTGAGCTAAACTAAATGGTATAGAAGACTTTTGAGTTCAGACTTTAGAGGATAACGAATGGAAAACTGAAGGGCGAACCGGTATTTCAACATCAAATGCAGATAAAATGTCGCGGATTTAAACGTAATCAGGATTAGTATTTTCATTAGGTTCGGTGCACGAAAAGAGCGAGTTTGACCTAGACCTCAGAAATTCAAAGTGAAACTGTCAGACTCCATGATTGTTTCAGGTTCACAGAATTCGGTATTTTTTATACATTTTTATACATTTTTTTTTAACCATTTTGCTTATTAAGCAAAATCCTTTATGTCATCGTCTGTGCATGATAGATAGATAGATAGTAAGAATGTGACGTAACTACGACATCTTCCGAGGACTCAAAAATTCGCGAACCGTCGGAAACTATTATCCGCCATTACCGTTGAATCAGTTTGTGAATATTTGCGATTTTTGGGCAAAAAAATACCGATAAAATAAAAATACCGATAAAAAACGCTAAAATATCTTCAACAATTTTAATATAACTGAAGAATACAAGCAGGTTGAACGTTGAGGAAATGGCTTTGAATGTTCGGGAATTGGTTTTATATACTATTATATAACTATCACTACGCCATATGTGCCCGTGCGCAGGCGACCATAACATTGGGCTGCCTATGTTCATGCAATCGCCATTCGCAATAAACAAAACATTGGTTGAATACATTGCAAATCCTTATGCACTCTTTGAGTGCCTATTTTTGTATTTTGCAGTAATCCAAACCCAATCAGGTTTAATACGAGGCAAAATCCAGTCGTCAAGTTTAGCCGAAGTCAAAGTGCAAAAGTTCCTTAATATTCCGTACGCCGAACCTCCAGTTGGTGAACTAAGGTTTCAAAAACCTCAACCTAAAAAGCCTTGGAACGGTATAGTATTTATCTTAAGTGGGTTTTTTTAATAAAAAGTTTTTTAAAAGATGTAAGGGCTTTTGATAAATGAATATATACTCTTTTCTCGAATTGAATTGGCTAGATCATGCAATTACTGATTTCTCAAAAATCAGCAAGAATTAAATACGTGCATGTTTATAAAAATAATTCAAAGGTGCATGTGATCCTCACAATACAATTCTGAAAGCAATATTTTTACTGCATGTGTGAATCTGCATGTATCTGAATATGAAGGTGATAATAAATAACGGTTATATACGTATCTATACAGCGCTCCTATTCTGCGCTTCTATTTTAGGCACCTTAAACACCACTGAGGATATAATCGCATGTATTCAACCAGAAAGGCCAGGTCTAACACTCACCGAAGATTGCTTAATTCTCAATGTTTGGACACCATTTCCACGTCCTAAGAATGCTAGTGTTATGGTAAGATGTTCTCTATTTTTAGGCCCTGTTTTTATTTTTTCGGGGGTTCGACAAGCTTAGTTTTACAGTGCGATAATTATACCATCAGCCCCAGTTACACAATACCGGATTAGTTTTCGTATCGGATTATCTACATTAATTCGATTTATACATATTATGGTATCGGATTTGTCTTGATTACACGATATCGAATTCATTCAAAATACAAACAAAATGACGGAAAACGAAGGGCAAGCAAATAGTCCAAGATACTATTCCCGTGTACGGCCAGTGAAATAGAACTTATTCTGGAATCGGTAACTTTTGCAAGCGTTTGATGTCCATTTATTTTTATTATATACCATAATAACATTATTATATACCGGTTACTAGGAAACAGAATTGTACCGGATTTTTTTTCATGTCACTTCCAGAGCGGAGTGATTTTTATTCTGCGGACTCTCACCGGATTGCTACATCCTCGTGTAACTGCAACGCCTATCTGATGTGAAAAGTAACCGGGTACGTTACTAATCCCGTATCGTATAATTGGGGCCTTAGTGTTTTGTTGTGCATTTTGGTCGTATATATTGGTGCTGCTTCTCTTTTTGTTGTTATGAACTACTTTCCATAAGGAAAATCTCTTTTGAATCAATACTTAAACCAGGATATGAGTCGAAACATGATTAATATTGTGAAAGGTTAAGATCGTTGTATTCTCTAGCTTGTTTAATCTTCACGCCCCTCATAGAAATTACTCTGAAATGAGCACGGCTCCCACCCGCTATGGATCAGGCTAGCGTGATTATAACCAAAGTCTATATGTGTTTGTCTGAATGAATGTGTTTGTTACTATGGTATTACCGCATTATCGATCGATTTTCTTCGCTGCATGTTGTCTCCTTCCTTAATTACGGATGTTGCTCCGCTGATAGGGCGGTTGTGGTTGTTTTATGCGCGGTGCAGACGTGGTATTGAAAAAAAAATTGCACATTTTGAAACTTATAAAAGCAGTGCATAAGTTTTTAAATCTTGGATCTATAAATCATTTTCCTTTTTTGTGATTGGCATTACCGGTGTCAAATGTTTCCTATAAGTTGAATATAGGCCTACTACAGATATGCAAATACATGCATGTACCGTACTGTCTAGAAATAATGATAATCACGAGATATTATGAACAGCTGTGAGCGACAACACGAAAAAATCGAAAGAAAATGTCTGTCACCCCGAGTTTGTCCAAGGTTTAACTTCCGTCTCACCGCGGTTGAACCGAGAACAAACCGAGGTTAATCAGAGCGATGTCTTACCTAGGTTAACCGCGGTTTTTGTTAGGTTACTTCTGGACAGTAATGTAGCTAATCACCTCTTCTATATTATGTCGCGCGTATTAGCAACTACCTAATTAGCCTTTCTCACGATGACGAGTATGCAGGGCCGTAACTAGAACGATAATTGGGGGGGGGTGTTTATTCATATATTCAGTTCTGCCCGTGAGCGTATGACTTCGTAACGGCGGCTGTCTTTCATTTTAGGCTGCAGTTGTTTTTTAAATGGTCTGTTGATCCTAAAAAAATTGCTTTTCATGTTGTTATAATTCTTTAAACACATTTGAGAAAATTGAAAGTACCCCAAAAACGTCATAATGAGAAAGGCTAATTTCCTCGTGTATAATTGACCATAACAAAAAAGATGGCGAATGTACATTTTACCAGAATGCATTGCGGTCGGAAATCGTTAAAAAAAGCGAACTGACGTCTTTTAAAGGACAGGCATAAAACAGGAAGTTATTTTCTTCGCTGTGTTAAAATTTCACGTCATTAGGAGTTTTTCTTGCCATCTTTTTTCAGTCAATCATTCTTAATGCCCGCAATGCATTCTGGTAAAATGTACATGCCGCCATCTTTTTCGTTACGGTCAATTGAGTCGTGCATGTTCCATCATAACTGAGGAAATCGTCGTTTATTTCAATTCAATTCATCTCCTGACCGGGGCTAAAAGACTAATACTGGTTGTTAATTCTGCTTTCCTATATGAATATGCATATATTACGTTTCTCGGAACAGTGCTAAAATTCACTGTGACCCGCTTTGGAAAGAGAAAATGCATTCAGATGTACGATTCTACACCTCTCAGGTTTGGATTCACGGTGGAGCGTTTCGTTTCGGCAGCTCAGGCGAATATCCTGGTACAAATTTTGTCGCCGTTGGCGGTGTCATTCTGGTTACTATCAATTACCGACTTACAGCTCTGGGATTCCTTGCAACTGGAGATGACCGAATTAAAGGTTCGTCATCAATCATTTTTCTTGGAGCTTAAAATCACGTTTCGTAATTCGTACATTGCCGTGAGAAAAACATTCAAATTCAGCAACATTCAGTGGCAGGCGTATCCAGCCTGACAATTTGGTCATGCTTAAAGTCATTAGAATTATTAATCATTACAATCATTGTTTTCACAGTCAATGAACACCAAAATATTAGCAGAGCATGACTAAATTGTCAGGCTGGCTACGCCATTGGCATGCAATATTACGTCCACGTACGTCAAAACCATTCCATGCATGCATGCACTTGAATGGGTTGAAATCAAGTTGCATGCATGCAGAAGTGAAAATTATTTGATTATGATTGATTATTTCATATAATGCGTTTAACCGTATAGTAGCAAGTATATTTTTCAAATTTTTAATACAAGTTATTTGCAACAAAGTGGTTAAGTTTACTGACATCATGCGCATGCAAGGCCTGAAATCGTAGTAGATCTAGATGAATAAACTAGCTAGCTAAGAGGCTAGCGCAGTTATAAGATAAATTGAAAACAGATGCTAAAAAAATTGTTACCAAAAGGTATAAAAAACCAAAACCAGCAAACAAATCTTCCCAAAAACAAAAACGCCAAGTTAGAATGAACCGTTCGCCTTGAATCAATTAAAGTGGTAAAAATTTATCAGGCTTATTGCTTTACAGTCAGGAAAAATCTACTTTGGATCGGAACGGACAGGAAAATTTTCTTTTTCGGTGAGTTCTCAGGCGGCGTTTATACAAAGGAAACCTTCCTGTCCTGTCCCATCCAAAGGAGAATTTTGCTGACTGGAAACTAGCCTTGAGAAAGCGAGTAAAAATTCGCACGGAAACTACCAGGTTTTAAAGATGTTTCAGTTTTAGCAAAGCATACAGGAAGCGACGCAAATACGTAAGCGCAAATGATTTTATATAAGACAAGTACTTTTATATTTTATTATTTTATATAGAAGCACATTTTAGATAAGAAGCAAATTTTATACACTAGGTAATATTGGAGACCTGTCGCACGTACCCTTTTCACTTTACTTTTATCTATTTGTTCATGACCTGACTTGTGCATGCCAGTGTAACGCTCGATCGTCAAACCTCATGATATTCTTTTAAAACGAAGTTTGTAGAGAATATCTTATTAATTTCAGGTAATCTCGGTCTATACGACCAACGTTTGGCGTTGAAATGGGTGAAAGATAATATCGAATATTTTGGCGGGAATTCAAATTCAATCACCCTCTTTGGTGAGAGTGCTGGAGGTGCCAGCGTCTCGGCGCATACCGTATCTAAAGGAAGCTGGGAATATTTTGATAAAGCTATTTTCCAAAGCGGAAACATGCTCATGCCTTGGGCGATTATGACTGATACTCAAACCAAAGGCGGTTTACGATGGTTTCTGGAGAAGGTTAAATGCAGCGATGATGATAATTTAATCGAATGTCTCCGAAATGTGAGCGTAGACACATGGAAGAGAATCTCCAATCGCAAGGATTTTTGGACAGTATGGACCGGTCCTATTGTCGATAAAGAATTTATAACTGATCAGCCAAAAAAAATATGGGAAAGTGGAAACGTTAAAAAGCAAGATGTAATACTTTCCTTCACCAAAGATGAAGCGTTTCTAAATGATCAAGAGCTATTGAAAACGTCCAAGAACATTAGCGACTATTTGAATTGGTTCGAGCACAAATTGAAAGCACATTTTAAAAATGCATCAGAGGCGGTGTACGAGAAAGCGAGAGAACTTTACCAGCCGAAGTGTATCCCTTCCTTTCTAGAGGCTTTGAAACCGAGTGTAGCATTTGGAACAGACGAATCGTTTATTTGTGCTAGCAGACACGAGGCTAAACTAAGATCCAAAATCATGAATACTACACATGTGTACGTATTTCAATATTCTCATGCCCCATTGGTAAAATACGTGACGTACTTGTACCCTTATGGAGTGTTTGGATTTTCAGCTCATGGACTTGATATTGTGGTAAGCATGCATTACACTTGAAAATGCTATCTTCTATTTCGCTCGCTTAATTTTTCCTGTGCGGATACGGTATAGAAACATGCATGCATGCGTGAAGCTTAATTTGAATTGGTTGCCTCAAGCCGATGCAATAATTTAACCCAGGTTTCAAAAGACCAAAGGATTCTTTGGTTCTTTTGCATAAATGAAATTCGTATAGAAGGTAAATCTGTCAGGAACAACCGACTTTGACCAAAACCTTAAAGGGATATGACGATGAAAAATATTTCTGTTTTGTTGAAAAAAAAATTTACGCTGCTCATAAAGCCTTTTTACAAAATTTGTTTATCTTCCTTACTTCGCAAGATATTGGCGATGAAAAACATCGACTATCGCGATATATCCGCCATCTTGTTTTATAATGAGATCTAATTACGTGACGTCAAAAGCAGGGTTAACCGTTAAAAAATAACAACTACATGTTTACGCTTTAGTTTAGAACTCTTACAATTCAAACGTTATAATTTGAGATATACGTGCGGTTGTATTACAATGAAACTATCACTTCGCTAGATATTTAATTTGAAGTTACAAAACGAATTTGCAGTCGATCACACGGCGTACCACATACGGACATGCATTTTTGTTTACGTTCATTTTAGTCAGTCTTTGGTGAACCGGTTAATAACACGCTGTTCCGGCCTGACGATCAAACGCTCGCTATGAGGATGATAATGTACTGGACAAACTTTGCTAAAACCGGGTATGTTATAATATATCACAGTCGTTTGGAGCAATATAAAGCACGTATTTAGCACTTATGATACATCTATAGGCTCTCCGGCTGGATGGAATTGATCATATATATTTATCACGCAAGGGACAGTGGTGAACTACTGTATAATTGAGTTTACTTTGCTGAGCATGGCGTACCTGCTTATCATGCATAATATATCTACTCATATACAAAGGCCAAAAATAATTAAAATTAATACACAGGAACAAATCTTAGCCGCGCCTAAGCTATATGTGTGTGCGTCCCGGTGCCATACCGCAGTACATTGCACTTTTGCAGGATGGAAGAACGTTGATGTGCATGTGTTTTAAAAATCAGTGCCATTTGAATAACTCTTACTTTTTCAATGCAATTTGAACAACAACACAATGAAATTTCAGTTTCTCTTCCAATTACAGCAATCCAAATTTAGGCACATCACGATTACCGATTGTGGTCGGCGATGTGGATAGTTTACCAACATGGCCTCGATATAGCAATGACAAAGAAGAATTCCTAGACATGGGTAGTTTCTCTCAGACGACGGTGCGAAAAAAGATCCGTGAAAAGCATTGTGATTTCTTAATGGACCCGGAAGGATTTCTCAAACGACAAGTAACCAGCGCTTCGACAAGGGATTTTCTTACATTTTATGTTTGGCTCATCATAGCGCAAATGACCCTATTTTTAGTCTAAAAAATTTAAATCATTGTCTGCATGAATGTGTGTATTCGATTTTGATTTTGATCCAAAAGTAGTATTGAGTTGAGTCATCAGCATAACATCGATCCTAGCTATAATCCTAGGTTAAACGTCGCATTTTGGTCGCGTCGAATGCAATTCAAACAATAGATAATGAGATGATAATGAGGCTTAATGAGGTGTATCATTTTCAATTCCCAGAGGTGCTTATCTATTGCGCTTTAGAGCTGTATTAATGTTCTGCATATTTAAGTGGTTGCGTTTTTTTTTGAGACACCCTGTATTGCTATCCAAAATGTCGTTCCCCTTGATCGGGAGAACAGTTCGATCGTATGATCGGAGTACTCAAGAGTGTATTTCGAAAGTCTGTCGATCGGCAATGGAATTTTGGGATAGGCGCAACTAAAAGAGGTAGAACTAGATATTGAGATAACCATGAACAATGTAGAAGCGGACGATCGCGATGTCGAGTTACCCATCCTAACTCCTAAAGCCTCGTACAGACGGACAGGGTTTCCTTGTCCAGTTCACTTGACCAGTTCACTTGCAAGTTATACTTGCTCGTGTGTACGCGAGAAAATTGACAAATTTTTCTTCACAAGTTTTCCTTGACGGCCGTAAACACGAGCATTTTTCCTTGTTGAAAAGCTGGCATGACTAGCTTCTCATTTTTCTTTTAGTTTTAGGACTACATTTGTTTCCGAAAATTAAAAACATCATATGTCGACTCATTTGAGTCATTTCATTATAAAAGATTAGGTCTGGCTGGCTTAGGAAATTATTTGTTTCGTTTGAAATGGCGAGAGGTTGCTGCATGCATGTGTATTTCTAGTAATGATTAAAACAAACAATTTACAGCATAAGAAAAAATTGTAAACTGGTTTGAATATGACTATGAAATAAAGTCGAGATAACGCCCCCAAATTAAAGTGCTATATCTATATATTATTTAAAACAATGTGTGATAGCTTTTCGTAGTCGGTTTTATCTTTGCAAAACATACCAAGCTCAATAATACACAAAACAATACACTATAGGGAATTCATTCCCCGATCAATAATTATCATCACTCATAAATTCTGTTTTTTTTAGGTTTCTATTCGCGATTTCTCTTCACAGGCTGTTCGTCTACTCTCCGCGCTGTCTCGCACTACTCTGCCCTCACTCTAATCCCACTCCTATACTTATCTTGTCAATCAGCTGTTGTTTTACCTTGTTCACATTACTCGCGCATATGTCGCAATGTCTGTTATAAAAGTTCTGCAATTAAAAGTTTAATTAACGCTAATATATATAATGTCACTAATTAATGAATAAGTCAACTTCCCAACAACACCAAACACAAAACCATTACACAAAACAATACAAAAAATACAAAACTGTCACACAAACAAAACACAAAACATTCAACAATACACAAAACTATCCAACGTCGACCGTCCATGACATAGAATTTGAACAATATCACAGAATAGACATTATACCAGAAGACTCACTCTTTGTATAATGTCCTGTGACAATACCGCTATGTTCTGTCAAAATACCCGGGTGTATTTAATCTCCCAGCGGAATTAGTAATACCCACGCACGGTGCTCCGCACCGCCTTGCATTATAATTACACCATTTGCATGATCTTAATTTTGATCTTTAGGCTACGCCATGATTACGATGGCAATGTAATAATACTATACGATCTGAAAGTCCGGGTGTACTTGTATAAATTTAAGTTTCCTCTATAGTTGCTAAGGTTTAAATTAAAGAATGTGCATGGCCCATTCTGAAAATTTGCCGCACCCTAAACTGCTTCTTCCGGCTCTTTTTGTGCTATTATTGTCGCGATTACGCATGCAGATGCAATGCTGTTCTAACTAGATATTGAGATATTGTTATAACACATCTATAACACATGCATGCAACTCGTCTCATCGAAACATTTATTCATGCGAGCACAATAACAATTAACAACGCTTTTACAGTTAGAACTGAAACGTTTTAACTTCTATGTAGCTGTGTCAAACACTGTTCGTTCAAGACTGACTAGTGACTATGCATACCAACTGAACCAATTATATCTAGTTTATAGATGACGCAAGAGCTATTTTAAAACATTGAGCTATTTTAAAACACATCGGATGGCTGTAAAAAAGCATGAATTATTTGACAGCTTACTGGGTCACTCTTATACGACTTGTTGCGTCACTGCAAAATACATCAAGTCATTTCACTTGGTCCATACGAATCAGTTCAATAATAGCCGAATTAATACACAGTGAAGTGAATCGTTTCAACTTTGAACGAGTCATTTCTTGTTTTGTCCAGTCATATTACTACAATATGTTCAAGCATTTCTAAACACATTGAATCATTCGTGTTTGTTATGAATGATTTCTGTTTATGTCCATTCATTTCACACGTGTAACATTTTTGGTGGTAACGGCCGCCCATATATTTCATCAATCAGCTGATTACTGAACAAACAAACTGCTGCTGCGAAATAAGCGCGTAAGCAAGATATTTTACACGACAGACACTGCAGAGAAAGCAGAAGAATTATATTAATACTACCATACTGAAAGGTAAGTTAACTGATTTAACCTATGTTATAGCACAGAAGAAATTAAATTCGAGGTCTCAATGAGGTTAATTGGCTACGCATAGCTACAATAAAAGCTACTCGGCTCTGCATGATCTGCATATATCCGTATACAACGTAGATAAGTTCCAAATACTTCCAATATAACCAAGGAGCAGCGTGGCAGCGTCTTCAAACAACTTAGCATCAAATGTGGTTTAACAACTGCCTAAATAGACAAAACACTTCTCGACGTTTCGACCTGAGGGCTTTTTTTCATACTAACTCTCCTGACGTAGGCCCTCAGGTCGAAACGTCGAGAAGTGTTTTGTCTATTTAGGCAGTTGTTATACCACATCGTATACAACGTATGTATACTTTAATTTTTTGATAAAGTCGAGTCGATGGTGATAAAGTCGTGACACACATAACTTTAGAAATATACGAGCGCAATCTCTCCAATCTCTCATTTATCTCTGTATAAGTTATACTCAGTCTTACTATGTAGGCACGTAAGATGCACTAATTCAGTCCATGGACCACTATGCGGTAATGATTAAGACACGGTCCCGTACGAGGAGAGGCAAGTACACATAGTCCGTGCTTATAAGCTCTCCATTATTTTACATAAGGACGACATCTTAAGTGAAGACAAAAATTTTACGTTACGATATCATGTTGCATAGGTTTTGTTTACCTAAAGAAACCCTTCATTTTGCGGGCAGCATTCCATCGTCGGCTAGTATTACACTTCGGTGTCTGTAATAGTGTTACTTCAAACTTTATAAGGTGAGAAGCTTCAAACATGGTGCTGAACTATTTATAGTGTGCATGCTTTGCTTTCGTGTGTAATATCAAGCGGCATACCAAGTTAAACAAGCAGCTTGCTAAGCGTTTAGCGGAGAAAGTTTAGAAATAAAAGCAGAAGATTGGCAGGCACTACAAAACTATGGCAGGTTAACGAGGGCTATCTTTAAGGGTGATAAAGGGGAAATGGGAGGGAAAAGGCTTAAATGAAGTACCTCGCAAAACTTGGAGCGCGAGGATATTGATGAGAAGGTTGCTCCCTGTCTTAGCGATGCTAAAAAGATCTTGTAAAAAGCCTAAATACTAAAGCGCCTGCCGCCTGCGTAAGAGCTAGGCAGTTATTATTGCGCTTTTTGCTAACGTAACGTGTCGTATATCAGAAGCAATTCTCACCATCAGCTGATGTTAAGCACAAAGAAGCTGGAAGTCGAATGAGCCACTGAAGTTAGCACGAAGAAACAAGTTGAATGCACCACTAAACGCCAATAAGATGGTCACAAATATGTCACATGCGACAACGATTTATTTCGATTGGCCGAAGATTGGCCGCGTGGGAGAGTCTTGCGCGAAAAAAAATACTGACCGAATTTAATTTAAGCTCGAGTAAAAATACTTCTGCAGGTGTAAAGGCTTCAAGTGGGCTAAAACGAGTGCGTCGTAAAACGTCTGAGGGAACAAAATTATGTTTTTGAGAGTGCTGCGACTTGTCGTGAGACGGGACTTGATAGGTGTTAAACTATGCTCTATCATATTCTGATGATCGATTGATTGTAAATATTCTATAAATTCCGTAGATATATATGTAAGCAAAGGTAATTAAATGAAAGAACAAATATGGCTATATAAAGTGAAATGTTATACGTCCTAAACATATTACCATGTAACTTCTTATATATTGATGTAATCCTGTCCTGTAATATCAGAGTGAATAAACAGTCACTATAAAGTTGTCGTGTAAAGTTGTACTTGGTTGAAGCAGTGGCAAATGGCAACGCCTCAAAACCTAACAGGTTATGGGCCCAAGAGAGGACTTGTACTCAACGGAGATGAATTAAAGCAAGTATGAACTCTGGAAAGTCAAGTTCCTCGCATTTATGAGGATTCAGAAACTATACGATGTGTTTGTTCCTAGCGAAGATGAACGGGAGCTATAGATGCGGGAAGGAATGCAAATGCCTTCGCCGAGTTATTCCAATGCTTGGACGATCGTAGTTTATCCCTGATCATACGAGAAGCAAGAGACGATGGTTGAAAATCCTTGACCGTGATCACTACCAAGATAAAGGAAAACCAAGAATCATCGCTTTGTACACCGAGCTGACCTCGTTGAAAAATGGCGAGAACGAGAACACAAGCGACTATATATGCTTCGCGCGGAGACAGCTTCTACGGCACTAAAATCAGCCGAAGAAGTTATTATAGCGACGGCCTACTCATCGCTATGATATTAAAGGGGCTTCCGCGGAGTTATAAAACATTTTCAACCGTAGCCATAAAACGAGAGAAGCCAATGACTTTCAGTGAATTTAAGACAGCATTACGCAACTATGAAGAAAATGAGAAGAGTTGTAAAGCGGAAGATCAAGACAACGTCCAGTACCCAAAGCCAGCACAGAAACGATTCGAAGGAAAATGCTTCAGGTGCGTTAAAAAGGGCCACAAGAGCTCGGATTGCTGGTGTAGTAGCTGTAGAAGCAAGACACACAACACGAAGGACTGCAGAAGAAAGGACAGCAAAGACGTCGTGCATGATGTTATGTTTTATAACGTGATCTATATCCCGTCCTATAACCAAGATATTTTTTCAGTCTCGGACGAAGTAGGTAGAGGAGGCTCAATAAGTCTTGAAAAACAGGTAAGTGAATATACCACACAGGAAGGCAACGTGTTTGAGATCAGGAAGAAAGGGCGTTTGTATTATTTAAATAGCATATCATCGTCAGATAATAAAGCTAGCTCAGTAGGAGAATGGCACAAGATTCTAGGTCACTGTAACTACGGAGATATTCCTAAGAAACTAGAGAAGGTAAAGGCATGAAGATTACCAACCACAAGGAGCCAGAGTGTGAAGTAAGTACTCAAGGCAAAATGTGCCAGACGAGAAGTAGAGAGTCAGACCAGAGAGCAAAAGCACCCTTGGAGTTTGTACATTGTGATCTAGCAGGGCCGATAGAGCCCACAGCAAAAGACGGGTTTAAATACGCTTTATTATTTGTAGATGATTTTACAGGCATAAATATGATATACTTCATGAAACAGAAGAGTGGACACTATAGAAGCTACTGAGAAATACCTAGCTGACATCACCGCTTATGGAAACGTCAAGTGCCTACGTAGCGACAATGGAGGTGAGTTTATTAGTTATGGATTTAAAAGTTAAGTCTCTTGAGGAAACGCTCAATCAAGCATGAGACTAGTGCGCCTTACTCATTCAATCAGAACGGTACAGTAGAGAGAGCTTGGAGAAGCTTGTTTAGCATAGCGAGATCATCTCGGCGAGATGTCTTTTGTTAGAGGCAAAATTACCAAAACGTCTTTGGACGTATGCTGCAATGGCTTCAGCTTATATCCGAAACAGATGTTTCAATCCACGTTTAGGGAAAACACCCTACGAAGCATTAATTGGTAAGAAACCGAATTTAAGTCATATGCATGTATTCGGATCTACATGTTATGCGTATAAACAAGATGCCAAAAAGCTAGATGCGCGTAGCCGAAAAGGCACTTTTGTCGGATATGACAAAGGAAGTCCGGCCTTTAATTATAGTATTTTATCCAGAAACGAACAAGGTAGAGGAAGTACGATGTATAAAATTCTTCGACAATATACAAGCTGAGCAAGATGATGTTGATTTAATTTCTAAGAGAGTACAAGGTGAAAATATTCATAAGCCCGAGGCCAAAATACCAAACATTGTTGAGGAAAATCAAAACACTCCGGAATTTCAAATTGAACAAGTAGGTGATGACAAGGAAACACATGAACAACACGAACAAGGCATTAACGATTAAAGATATCCAACGAGAGCACGCAATAATTGCCAATAAACCAAATTACTTTGGACAAAATAAGTTAGATGACAACACAAGTTGCACAATTGATTATTGTTATAGGCTTGCAAACATCCCAGTAAGTTACAAGCAAGCAGTAAGCGCACCATATGCAAATAAATGGCAAGAGGACATGAATACAGGGATAAAAGCTCTCGATGAAAATGAAACATTCGAACTTGTACCACACCCCAGGGATAGGCAAGTAGTGGGGGCAAAATAGGTATACACAGTTAAAACGAACCAGAACGGCGAAGACACGTATAAAGCCAGGTGTGTAGCAAAGGGTTATTCGCGGGTAAAAGAAATAGATTACCAAGAGACATTTGCACCCACCGCACGTATGAGCACAGTCCGCACTTTATTGCAACGCACGGTTCAGTATGGCAAGATTGTCCACCAAATGGACGTTAAAACAGCTTATTTGCATGCACCCATTGATCGCGAAATCTACATTGAACAGCCCGAGGGTTTCGAAAAGTCCAGTAACAATGGCGAAGGATTAGTGTGTAAACTAAATCGTTCACTATACGGACTTAAACAGACCGGCAGAAATTGGAACAACTTATTACATCAGTTTTTGTTTTAATACGCAGTCACTTGCAGCCCATGTCTGCATGTTCGCAAAATTGACAACGAGCGATGTGTTATTATCATCGCATGGGTCGATCACATCATCATCGCAGCAAGCGATTCCGATTTACCAAACAGCGTAAAAGATTCATTGAGCAATAGATTTAGAATAACGGACTTAGGAGAATTGAAATGGTTTTTAGGTAATGAATTTAAGCGCACCGGAGATTGTATAAAGATGAATCAAACTCGATACATTCAAAAGATTCTTTTGAGATTCGAAATGTCTAGCTCTAAACCTAAGCCGACCCCATGCATTTTAGGCCACGAGAAAGATACAAAAGAAGAGTCACCAAAATTGACGGACTCGACATTATATAGAGCAATTGTAGGAAGCCTAATATATACGTAATGAGTGGAACAAGACCGGATCTGTGTTACGTTGTAACAAAATTGTCACAAAAAAATGTCAAATCCCAAACAATCCGACTTGAGCACGGCCAAACATGTTTTGAGATATTTGAAAGGTACACAGGAATTAGGATTAAACTTTAGAAAAAACGAATTCACCACTATAACTCTTAAGGGGTTCTGCGATTCAGATTGGGGAACGTCTGTTGAAGATAGACGAAGCGCCGGTGACAGGCTATAATTTTCAGCTCTCACAAAATGGCCCGATGTATCATGGAAAAGCCGAAAACAACCGACCGTGGCATTGTCAACATGTGAAGCAGAATATATAGCTCTAGCCAACGCGATACAAGAAGCAAAATTCTTAAGGCAGCTTTGCACAGACATGATGGTAAGTATAGAAGGTAAGTCACTCATTATGATAGATAATCAGGGAGCTATGAATTTAGCCAGGAACCTAATTCAGCATCAGAGGTCAAAATTGACATAAAGTACCATTTCATTAGATCAGAGATACAGGAAGGCAGAGTTGATTTAGAGTATATTCCAAACGTTGCAGACATTTTCACAAAACTAGCCAGTAAGATAAAATTACATAGTTTCAGATGTATTATGTTAAGAGAATAAGAAAAGAAGGTAAGTATAGTCAAATAAGTGCAGGATAGAAATGTAAAGCGCGCGTATATACTGCATGATGGCCCGCCATGCTGCACGCCATCAATTATAAAGGGTCAGAACATAAAGAGCAAGTAGGAATGTTAAACTTTCCCCTTTTATATTCTGATGATCGATTGATTGTAAATATCTTTAATTCTATAAATTCCATATAGATATATATGTAAGCAAAGGTAATTCAACGAAAGACCAAATATGGCTATATAAATGTAAAGTGAAATGTTATACGTCCTAAACATATTACCATGTAACTTCTCATATATCGATGTAATCCTGCCCTGTAATATCAGAGTGAATAAACGGTCATACACTAAAGTTGTCGTGTAAAGTTGTGCTTGGTTGAAGCAGTAAGTGGCAAATGGCTACGCCTCAAAACCTAACAATAGGATGCATATTCTTCTAGGTCTACTGTGACAGCGTTATCGATCATATATAGGAAGACAGGAGGCATGTCCATATTTACTTCTGGTAATCACGTGCATGGCATCAGCTAATCAAATGGGGGAAGGTATGCCTGTTGACCATGACTATACGGAAGTTCAGAATTAGCTGTTGTCGGTTTGGAGTTGACTATGAATGTTTATTGCTTGTATATTAGATGTTTTATAAAATTATATACCTAAATGTTTGGTGAAGCTTTTTATTCCATTGATTCGATGTCAATTCTTCATTAACTTGACGCCGTTTTATTTATTTTTCACAGTGATCCAGACTAGAACGGGTCTAATACGAGGCAAAATCGAGCCCTCCGGTTTATCTGGAAAATATGTCCAGAAATTCCAAAATATTCCGTATGCCGAAGCTCCAAATTTTTATTTAATTGAGATTTTGCTATTAATTTTATATTTGTTAATTGTTTTATCAATTTCATCGTTGTTAATATAAACGAATCGACAGTGGAAGCTTCTAACATGGTTACAATATATGATTTTAATCCTTGGTTGAATTAAATAAATATATAAATACTATAATACTATCAGGGTAGTTTTCCTGTTTAAGAAAAACTTTCCTAAGTGACAACGTATACCTTAATACGCGAACATTTCATCAGTAGCCTTGACGATGAAGGACTTATTTTACTATTCTTTAGGCACATTAAACAGCACTGAACATTTAATCGCTTGTATTCAACCAAAACTGCCTGAGATTGTGATCACTGAGGACTGTTTAATCACTGAGGACTGTATAATCACTGAGGACTGTTTAATCCTGAATGTGTGGACACCATTTCCACGTCCTATGAATGCGAGCGTAATGGTAAGATATTTTGTTTTCCGCGTGAGGTTCAATTTGTCGTTGTTCCTTTTTAGGCTTTTGCTGTTTTGTTCAATATATATTTAATGTTTTTTTGTTCGCAACGAATTGAAGCTAATAACTTCACGGCAACCAGGTATATATAATCCATCGTATATGGTAGTAACCACATAAAATTACATAATTTATATACCACACAAAAATATACCACACAAAAATTACATGTAATCTTGGTGCGGTGATTACTTTCATTTATTATATTCATTTTGAAATCAATGGTGTTTCTTGCAATCTGATTGGTTAAAAATAGTGTGATTAATTCCGAAATCGCACTATTTTTGAGCATTAATCACATAATTTATAAGCCAATAAGATTGCAACCTCGTACCCAGGGTCTTCTGCGTTCACGGGGCGCGGAACTACGCGACGAAGACCCTGGTCGGGGCTGATGACGTCACCCCCAGATTTTGGGGGTAAACGTACAATTTTACCATGGGTCGGGAGGTAAAGTAACATGCTTGTCACTTTAGGAAATTTCCAAATATTTTATGTTTTGTTTTCAATAAAAAGCTATTTATATTGCGCCAAAATATGGAGTAAAAAAGTCGCAAGAGTTCACAGGAAAGCATCATGTATTATGTATCGAGTCTCATATTGCATACCATGCGTCGAATAAAGCTCGAATTTCAAAGAGCACGCTCGAAACCGCTCAGTTTAATCGAGTCGATGGCTAGCAAAGACACGCCGAAAAAATTTTACAAGAAACAAACCGATTCGACTGGTAGTATTTCTCGCTGTAGACTGTGTAACTCTGTTACTAACCCGAAACACTGCAGGAATTTGTTTCGTTCTCAAAATCAGGCGGTTCTACGCAACGCCGAGCGTATTTATGGTGGTAAATTGCCACAAAACGATAGCCTTCCTCACCTAATTTGCGCGCCTTGTGATCGGAGACTACCGTAATTATTCGAATAAACGCCGCGGCGTTTATTAAATATTTAGCAATTAAGATGCGGCGTTTATTCGAGGGCGGCGTTTATTCAAGGGAGGCGTTTATTGCAAACTCGTAACAACTCTCAATTTATTGTGTAATTTTAAACGCCAATTTAACCAATACAATCAATCCCCAAAAAAACTAAGTGTAAAAGTTATGTGTCTTTTCTATTTATATAATTATATATGAAAATTGAACTGTGGTTATAAATAAATGCTTCGAATAAACGCCGCAATGACGAAAAGGTTGCGGCGTTTATTTGAGGGCGGCGTTTAATGATATTTTTGCTTATCCCTGCGGCGTTAATTCGAGGGCGGCGTTTATTCGAGGGAGGCGTTTATTCGAGTAATTACGGTAACCAACGCGATAAAGTTCAAGACCGTTATCGAGGAAACTCAGCGCGTGTTACAAGAATCTATCCGAGCAAAACGTTGTGTTGATGTATCGCCTTCGGTCAATAAACCGCCTGCTAAAGTTCATTTAGTTGGAACTCCGCGACGTCGCAGCATCGACTTTAACATCAGCCAAGGTGAATCAGAGTCGAGTCTCACTTCATCGCCACCACCTTTAACTGTAAGTTTACTTTCATGAAATATACATGTATTAATGATAGTCAATATTAGTATTTATTGTTGAATATTTAGCGCTGTAATAATATTTAAAAATTAATATTCATGATGACTTAGGATGCCACATGCGTGGCCACATGTTATATCGTTATACTCATGTTTTCCTGTTCCTCCCTTCCTCTATAATAATATCCTGTATTTATAATACTGTGTGTTTATATACTAATCAAAACAACACGCTGAACGTCCCAGCTTTAAAACATCTTGCCTATTCGGAACTTGTTTATTTTGCTTTATTATTAAATACACGCAGTATAATACACACAGTATACAGGTCATGACCTTGCAACCTGCATCTGCATGTCAAAGCCTACACGGCCAAAAATTGATCAGGTTGTTGCATCAGAGGTGAACAATGTTGTGCTGCACCCAATAAACATTATTGTTAACAATGTTGTTGAACCTTGTTGAATCATCAGTGTTGATGCAATATTGTTGTAACAAGCTGCAACAGCATTGATAGTTCAACAAGTTTCAACAACATTGTTAACAATACTGTTTGCAGGGTGCAGCACAACATTGTTCACTCCTGTTTTTAACAACTAGCATCAACATGATGATTTTTACACATGTAGATCACAGGCCTAAATACTTATTTAACAGTAAATTTGAAAAGCTGGGAAGAAATCTCATATTTAAATATTATTATATATTAAAGAGTGATGATCAAATCTTAGCTGTGGCAAACAAAGAACTGATTCATGTTGCCAGAAGGAGTCAGCCATCTGTCCTTAGACAAAGAGGCTTTGATGGAATGTCTGCAGACACCTGGATGTCAGAGGTGCTAGGAGAGTTGTCAACAAGATGTCCAACTGTGAACAACATCCTATGTACTCTGTTGGAAAGCTCCCTATATCCTGCAAAGAAGAATCCTGGCTATCTGCCTTATTTATGGCATTATTAACTTCCTGCGGTGCCATGAATCAAGCAGAATTCAACGCATTAATTCAGTTTTGCTAATAGAAGGCCAGGCATCTGTAAATGTGAGTTGTTTTACTTATTTACCATTTTTTTTACAAATTGCAACCAACTATTTTGTTTTACTGCCTGATGCTTGCAGCTAGCCTATAGCATTGAACCTTTGCTACGTAATAAATACACCAATGTGCATTAGTGACTAACATGTCATATGTGGTAATTTTAAATTGTATTACTCTCTCCTTGACATGACTTTGTATTTGCAATGCATTAGACAGGTTCTAACTTAGGACAAAGGAAAAGGTAGCGGAGATGACATATTGAGCATTGTTCATTGTAGCTTGCCTGTCTACATAAATATGGATTATGCCTGGAGCCGAAAATGAAATACCCAATTCTGGAAGACATTGGCAAGCACTTCATCGACCGAGCAGCAGAATTAGTTAAAAGTGGACTTTCCTTTGTTTATGTTTTGGACAATATTGATTGGGAAGAGAAAGCCCATGATATGAGGCAGGATGTCCAAAACCGAAGTGTCCATGCTGTGGCAACAAGTATTGTGTTCAACCGGGTTCCTGATAAGGGATTGCTTGATTCTGGTCCACAGCAATTTCTGAAAGATTGCGATGTCCATCAACTTGTGGAAATCAATCAACTAGAATCTGATGCAATTCGGAACCGGTACAAAATACTTGTTGCCAACATTTTGTTTGATCAGTTCCCTGCTTTTGCAATGTTCAGAGACTATATACCTGCAAGAACTAACTGTGAGTATGAAAAGGAGATGGCAAGAAAGTCAGAAGTCTTAACAATGCCTGTAGTGATGAAAGACGTTTTCTGTGTGTTGATGTCTTGGATCAACTTGAAAAGTGGACACACGAGATCTATGCAGCAGCTGGACTATGTTCCCTAGACCCTGATACATTGGAAGATGTTACTCCCACAATTGGAACCACATCCAGGCCGACCAACCTGCTTCTCATGTCCCACCAGTTTATTCTAACAGCGATTTGCATGGGGTGAAAATCCCATGTTTTGGTGATCAACTCACAAGGGTTCGATTTGCTGGGGCAAAAGATCTAAGAGCTGGGTGCCATTCCGCAAGGCAGAGGTTGGACCATTTATACCCTTTCTGCATTGTCGACTGGCATACAAAGAGAAGTTTTTTGAAGGTACAGTATGCTTACTAATTTAAATTAGAGGGGCAAGGGACTGAAGGGAGAGGTATTTAATAGGGTAAACCAACCAGTAAATTTTATTAATTTTCCCCAAAAAAGTTGTACTTCTTCTGGGACAAAGATGATATTGTTAAAAAATCATAAATTGTTCATGTAAATTGAGTACAAAGAGTGTATTTGTATCTACAGTAGTTATTCTAGTACTGCAGACTCTCTAATGTGATGCTGTGTCTGTATTGATTTTAGCCAATCCTATTTCAAAGAAGGCTAGAGGTTGTAAAATGTTCCTAAACAGTATCATAAGTTTTTATGAATAAGTTTTTTACTTCTTTGGTAGACCACCTCTAGCCTCTGCAATATCCTATATTGCTAACATTTTATGGTACCCTATTGAAATGAGGTTTAGTTCCAAAAATATAAAACAAGGTTATTTTATTTCTTCAGACAATTTTCAAAAAGCTGTACAAGAATTCAGGAAGAGAAAGGGGAACACTTCGCTTTTTTAGAGAGAAGTTGAATCGCAGAAATGTGACGGTTGACGTTAAACACTATGAGGACTGTGAGCAGCTGTTCTTCAGTGTTGGTAAGTGCTTTGTTATCGAAGCCCTATTGGAATTTTTCCAAATGGATGATGCAAAGTGCAAACCAACAATGAACGGTCCTCATAGTGTTTACGTCTTGGAAGAAAGCTACATGAAGACATACATCAATGAGACTCTGGACAAGTTTCTCGATGAATATATTTTCCATGGGGAAATTGAGGTGACCGATGGTGTTTGGTGCTATGGTGTCAACATTCTTAAATCTTTCATGTTGCTTGCTGATTTCAAGAATGCTGTTTCCTCTGGCAATGGTGAATACATTTCAATCCTTAGGAAGCAGCTGTTGACCCATTTCTTTGCAACACCTGGATTTAATGAATTTGCCATTGAAATGTTGATCAACATCTTCCAGGGTGAGGTGTTATTGTCGGAAGCTGAGGCTCATCGCTGCAAATGGGCTGCCACAGTTAACTGGAGAGGTGGCATTGGTCGCAACATTGAGATTGATCTCTTTCAGGAGAATAGAAACTGCGAGATGAAGAAGTTGATCAGGTCAATGGGTGCCAACAAGACAGAGAGAGCAATTGAGAGAGCAAGTAAAGCATCTGGAGGTGTTGCGAAGATTGTTGAAGCATTTGAAGAGCAGGTGAATATTTCCAAAAAATCAGGATCCCACACCCACAAATCATCCACTGAGGATGAGAAAGTTATTAGTAGGGACTTGAGAGGCTTAAGGCCTTTTAAGGAAGAAGATGGTCGATCATTTGAGAGCTTTGATGGCATCTCACATGATCCAATCCATTCATTGGATGAAATTAAATTTAAGGAATGGATTGATCGCCACAAGAAAAACATTGCAATGCACTATCCAGTTGAACAATCTAGTCAGGATGAGTGAACTGCTTGAAAGAGAATTGTTTCAAATTAGAATGTTTGTTTAACCCATGACTGGTGAAGTGACCATTTATTAATTCACTATATATATATATATATATATATATATATATATATATATATATATATATATATATATATATATATATACATCCATTTGCAAAAACATTGGCCGCAGATAGATATGTAGATAGATACTCGAAATCTAATTAGAATTGCATATGTTGTGTAATATGATTGAAATCCCATGCAAATGTAATCATATGCAATTCTAATTAGACTTCGAGAATCTATCTATCTATCTATCTATCAGCAGCCAATGTTTTTGCAAATGGGTGTATATATATATATATATATATATATATATATATATATATATATATATATATATATATATATATATATTAGTTATGCCAATTAAGCTTCTAGCAATGGCGATGCCTAATGCTTAATCTAACTGACAACAAATCTTACCAGTTTATGGGTAGCACTGAGAGAAGTATGCTGGGTTTTTATTGGCTTTTTTTTGTGTTTTTTAAAACCATTCATGTTGTTTGTGAAGTGCGCATGAACTTTAATTGACAAATATGTACAAGATAATGTAATAGAAGTACCATGATAATTTTGTATATATTCTTTGTATATAATTCATATAGGTCAAAAGTGCAAAGTATGGTACTAGAAAACTATTGTTTCATATTCAACTATGATTCAGTAAACACATTAATTGCAATCTCAATTTAAAATTTGTGCAAATTTTGTCTGCTTAAGATTATATTACATTGAAAGAATGCATGATCAGTTACATGAACACTTTTATCATAAGGTTTCGACACTGTGATTTTCTATTCCATGTGCACTGTTTATTGAATTTGCTGCACAACATAAATTTTATTGAAGCTTACAGTTTCTCCATAAGAAGGTGTAAGCAAGTTGAACACTTGCAAAGATTTTCACATACACAACAACACAAGTGTAATGGTTTATGGACTGTATCTAATTCATAATCCAGTGATCTTAATAATAACTTTCTTAAGCATAAGTCAGTGCTTGAGCAAAAATCACGCATGTTGTCTTGCATTCCAACTCTGTTTTTGCCAATATCCCTGTTGTTGTAATACAATACAGCAAATGATGACCTCCCATCCCTACCAGCACGTCCAGTTTCTTGAAAGTATTCTTTCACAGTGCAGGGGGTCCAACATGCACAACCTAGCGGATGTCAGGTATGTCCACCCCCATCCCAATTGCTACGGTAGCAAAGACCACACGAACTGTACTTTTTCCAGAACAGAGCTGCTTCAGGATTTCTTCTTTCATTTGATTAGTCTGTGGAGAATGATACTGTGCAAATAGCCTATTTGCTGGAATTGCAGTTGCACCAGAGGGAAAGTATTGCTCGATTCCAAGAACATGTTCAAACAGCTTATATGCAAAGCCGCACAAACGTAATGAAATGTATATAATAGTTAGAGGGTATGCAATCTTTTGCTGCAAAAGATCACTTGCAATTGGCATCAGGATTGATTCAATGGTGTCAACATCATGCCCGGTTCGAAGTACTTTCTATAGTAAATATTTTTTCCTATCTGGATTGCCAATGACATTCTTACATTTCTTTAACCCCAAAGAATCTTTAATACACTTGACATCTGCATGAGAAGCAGTGGCAGTCATTGCAATGACAGGTACGTGAGGAATAAGGCACATAAGACACCCAACCTTCTGTAGTCCTGTCTGAAGTCACTCCCCCTAAAAAATGTAAATCAAAATACATACCAGGTAGTGTTAAGTATTGAGTAGTAACAAAGTAAATGAATAATTTTAGATAAAGACAACAGGTTTAAACAGAATTGAACTTTTTGAATTGTTTACTAACCAGTCAACTATGCAATGAGCTTCATCAATCACAACTGCCACAACATTCTCTTGATATGGCTTGCTCAAAAGTAAATTACGCCCATATTTGCTCGAGATTAGTGTCTCTGGATGGGCGAAAACAATTTGATAGTAACCATCGCGTAGCTTTTCCTCTTCGCAATGGCTTAAATCGATTTCAGCGCTAGTTTCTAAGTCATCACTATCCTCTGAACCGTACGTTATTTGACCTTCTCTTGCTTCCTTCACGTTTATAATCGACGATCTAATGCCGCTCATGCTCAGGCGAGATACTTGATCACTCATTAAAGAGTTCAATGGCGACACAACGATAACAATTGAGTTCACTACTGTCGCAGAAAGGCCTCGTGATCTCCATGAAAAACGCAAATCGCCAAGCAACTTGAATTTGGCGAACAACAACATTGGCAGCAGATGAAAAATCAACGACTTCCCATAGCCCGTTGGTAAAACACACATCACATCATTTTCAAGATAGACGTTCTCCAGACAAATAATTTGTTTTGGTTTTAGAATAGTGTTTTGGTATACACTATTTAAAAGAGCAAATTCCAAGCAAGATAAAAATGCGATGTAGTCTAACATGGCGGAAACGGGAATGAAAGCATGGAAAGTGGAAGCATGTAATATTATATCTTTTCTTACACCCCCTGAGGCGATAGATTCCCATGCTGTGACGTCATCAGCCCCGACCAGGGTCTTCGTCGCGTAGTTCCGCGCCCCGTGAACGCAGAAGACCCTGGGTACGAGGTTGATAAGATTGAAGCTCTGCACCACAATAACCAATCAGATTTAGTATTTCAGTGTAACTATCCAATCAAATTACAGGGGAAAACGGAACAAAATTTTATTATTTTGAATTTTTAAATGCCCCGCAAAATTTCTTGACAAAAATAAATGAAAATTACTCACTTTTACACCGTTTACGGTTCTTTCAGCCAATAAATCGTTTTGAATTTGTTTTTAAAATCTTTTGTATGATTTCAAAATGAATATAATAAAGTGGAAATTGCACTTTGTGTCGTGCAATTTTGGTGTGAAATTAAACTTTTGATTACAAATCGCGTTTAGATTTTGTAATCACGCGTTTGATTTCACACCAAATTGCACTCCACTCAGTGCAATTACCATTATTAATTAAACCAGAGTAGCGATAATTGCGATGGTCTTTCTTGCTGTATATTCTTAATTTCTTTCTTGTTGACGTTGTTGTTACAATTGCAATTTTTGTTTTATGTTGCCTGCTGCGTTTTTTAGTTCATCTCTTGCATGTGGTTTCGGCAGAACTCGGTTTATTTTTCCAAAACGAAAAAGTCTCGAATAAGTTGGTAAAGGAGGTGGTAAACTAAAGTACTTTACGGTCCTTTAAAAATAAATCACTCATATAGACCGCTTGTGAGATTTAATTTTTTATTGTTGCAGCAAATCAAATGAACCCCATGCAGGTTGTTCAAAAGCCGGTTAGCTTAACCCTGGGTTAAAGCAAATTTTTACATTATTTTTAATCTCTTGTTTATAAATTTGAACATCTTTTTTCATAAATATTTGCTGGACCAATAGAGGTGATATTTTCCAAAGTTTTAAAACGGACAGTGGTTCAGAATAAAAAACTAAAACACTGGATCGTAATTAAATCTGGATCTTAAATTAATTTTTATCTTTTTATTTTTGATCTTTTGTTGACAAAAACGATTTCTGTTGGAGTAACTTCGCAAATGCTGATATCATGCAATTAAAATAATTTTTACTGCCAGGTTTGGATACATGGTGGAGGATTTCGAAACGGACAGTCCGGTATATACCGTAAACCTCCGACTATAAGCCCCCCAAATATAAGCCCTCCCATCTATAAGCCCATCACATTATTAACAATCCCGTCATTCCAAATATAAGCCCCCCGAATATAAGCCCATTATACAGGTCGAGATACAGGTATATATTAAATACTCTTGCACTAAAACAATTCTCTATAGCAGTAACTAAGCAAAAACATTCAAGCAGTGTGTGTTTTAATGTTTTAATTTTACAAAACATGTTCGTCCTGGTGATGTTTCAAAGCGGCACCGACGAATCTTTTGTGCAGCTTAACATGTTAATATTTGTTTATCTGTAATTCTTGTTTATTTTCGTGTTTATACCTTAACAATAAATACGGCACTTGGTTTATATAAACCCGAAATGTTGTCCATGTATAAGCTCCCCCGTATATAAGCCCTCCCGTGTATAAGCCCATCAAAAAACGCTTACGAACTTATATAAGCCCAGGGCTTATAGTCGGAGGTTTACGGGTATAAAGGTTCAAATTTTGTAGCAGTTGGTAATGTCATACTAGTTACAATCAATTACAGACTTTCAGCTCTCGGATTTCTGACAACTGGAGATGGTAGAATTAAAGGTATGCACTTTACCAACAAAAGAATATAATATAATATTGATAAATATAAATTGCAAGTGTATAACACGGACGGTTTCAGGAGTGTTATCAAAAAGTTAAATTAATGTTCACAATGTTAAGTGGACCACACGCCAGCATGTATGTACACATGAAACGAAAATCATAAGAATATATGCATGTATTTTCTGCTTTTACAAGATCTACCCAAGGCATTTTTCTTTAATTGATAAGAGAGAACATGTCTATTAGAGTCAAATTGACTGTTATGCGAGATAAGCTTCATATCTTAAAGCTTCATAAAAATAGTACCCTACGTAAGAAACGTCAGGTCATGTTCTATGCAAAAATGTTCAACAATAACAAAAAATGCCTAAAGTTTATTTGCTGGCTCGAGAGGATTTTGTTAGAAAAACTGTGATTTCTTTTAGCGGTAAAAGTTAGCATTCCAGCGGTTTTTCTTTTCTTTCCCTTAACTCTTTTGACTGACCAGTCTCCCGGCGATAGTCTCACAATCGTTTACACGCAAAAAGAATTTTGATAATATATAACACTGAAAAGCTCTCTTTCTTCACATTCAGGTAATTTTGGCCTTTACGATCAACGTTTAGCAATGGCATGGGTTAAAGATAACATAAAAAATTTCGGTGGAAATGCGAATTCGATAACAATTTTTGGCGAGAGTGCTGGGAGTGTCAGTGTCTCAGCACATACGTTATCGAAAGGTAGTTGGAAATATTTCGATAAAGCTATCTTGCAAAGTGGAAACATGCTAACACCGTGGGCGATTATGACAGACGCCCAGATCAAGTATGGACTACAATGGTTTCTGGAAAAAGTTAATTGTAAAAATGATGATCATTTAGTCAAATGTCTTCGGAATGCCAGCGAGGAAGTATGGAAGGAAACTAGCGATGGCTCTGGGAGTATACGGGCACGCCCTGTGGTTGACAGAGAATTCTTTTCTGATCAACCAAAAAAATTATTTGAGAAAGGAAACGTTAAAAGTCAAGATATAATTATTGGAATCACTAAAGACGAAATGTTCTTTAGCGAACAAGGGCTTTTAAAAGTGAAAGCACATTTTAAAAATTCGTCAGAGGACGTGTACGAGAAGGCGAGAGAGTTATATAAGCCGAAGTGCATTTCATCGTATTTGGAAGCATTGAGACCGAGTGTAGCATTTGAATCAGATAAAATGTTTATTTGTGCAACAAGAAATGAGGCTAAACTCAGATATAACCTGATGAACACTACAAATTCATATGTATTTCAATATTCGCACACCCCGTTGGTACCATATCTACCAGACGTGTATCCCTATGGATTGTATGGATTTGCAGGTCATGCACTGGACGTTGTGGTAAGACAATTCTTTCTCATTGATTTACTAAATAAACCACCTGAACGACTTTTAAATATATCTATTCTATATATTACGCTGCTTGTTCAGGTCAATTATGCTGAAGATGCGATCTTAAATCCCGCTAGAGACAACGAAAAAGTTCTGAGTGCAGTGTCGAATTATGAATATAATTTATTGTTTCATGACTTTATTCTACCCGGGCGTAGAGGGAGGCTGGTGAATACTTATTTTTAGAGCAACCGTTGAGAAATGCCTCTCAAAATGCGGGCTCAGCTTTCCTCTACGCCCGGATAAAATATAGCTTACGCTTCGCGATCATGTTGACGTCACTGAACTGACAGCGCAGTATATGGTATATTATGGCCTGTTTACATGCACTAGCAATTTTAGGTGCAATTTTATGTGCGATTTTTTTCTTCTTTGGTAGATGTGAACGAGTGACTAGTTACGAATGCTCTGATGACTAAGAGCTTTTATTTGAACGTCCGTCACTAATTCATTCGTTCACATCTATCAAAAGAATAAAATCGCACATGAAATCGCAGCAAAAATCGCAAGTGTAAATGGGCCTATACAACTATACTCGCCCTTGGAGAAAAAAAATAGTGCAGGTGAAATATACCGGTATATGGTTTACTCGACCCCATTTCAAAAGAGTTTGTAGTTTTTCCCCGTATTTCTAATCTGCGGGGACTAAATTGCGATATTTTGTCATACAAACTCAATTTTGTGGCACGAATCACAAAAGATATCGGTTTGGCCGCTGCAGTTAAACTATAGGAATATTCACGTGAAAAAATTAAAACGTCCACCAAAACTTCATTCATTTCTGCTAATAAAAACAAAAAAAAACAAAGAAGCGCTTTCCGTTTACGCTCGTGCATGTTTGACCTGTTGTCTGTACAACAGGAAATGTCTTTGACAGTGTAAACGTCAGCAGTTCTGGTCAAACACTGTAGGGCTGCTTCATTTACTGTTCGGAATACTCCAGATTTCAGGAGCAGTAATGGAGTGGAACAGAACGCTGTCACGTGAAAGTTCAGATCTGTTCTGATTGCCCTTACTTTTAACCTTTTAAGTAGAGGCAACTAGAACACAACACGTGACACGTACAATTTTCACGTGTTTAAAAGTGATGGTAATAGATAATGTGTTTAACCAGGATGTTATGTTTGCCTCATTTTAAGACTTTATCGTCATCCATAGACATGTATCTATTTTCAGGTGGTGGCAATATATGCAATGTGTAAAAGTGTCTATAAAAAGTGCATTTCCACATAAAAATACATGAAATCATTATACTGTGTATCATCCGAACAATTATAAAACGCATGGTTTACCGCTTATGTAATAGACTGAACACTGTTCCAGAACAATGTGTAGACACGCCTCTCTCACAGTGTTCCGAATTATCCCGGAGCAGCCCTTGTGCTCACACACGATGACGTCATTGTGCGCACAGACATTTTGCTAGTGTAAATCGGTCTTAAATGTGTGCGTGCTAAGTACACCAATGTGTACGTCCACGGGTACGTCAGACCTTAAATCATATTACTCTGTGAAATAAATTTTATTCCAATCTCCCCAACCTCAACGATATACACTGTACTTCCCTGCGTCTTCCTGGACACAATTGAATTGTCCAATTGTGCCAGTCACAAGTGCATTCGGAAATTTTTGCAATATGAAAGGCATCAGCTTTTTGTACTCACCCTGTAGTTCATGATGCATTATTGGTCGATCCTTTACTCTCAGTCTCTGCATATATTTTAGTCAGTCTTTGGTTTTCCAGTCAATAACACGAGGTTTCGACCTGATGATCAAACACTGTCGATGAGAATGATCTTATACTGGACCAATTTTGCAAAAACGGGGTAAGTCCTAATGTTTTCAATCTCAATTATAATATACATTGATGATCGATGTTGAACGATGCCGATACTTCAAGTAAAATCAAGTAATAGCGACTTGGAGAATGCATGGAGCAAATTGGACAACAACAAAACAAAAGTTGAGTTGAAGTACCGGTTTAGTATGAAGTAGAATTATATATCGTTATATACTGGACCCAATATTCGAAGTAGCACTTACCGCATCTTGAAATGCAGATGTTGTGCACTACACGCTAGTCGTTAGAACTCGAGACATGCAGTTGAAGATAGAGCAGTTGATGCTTGTTAAGTCGCCGTCCTACCTGCTGAGAGTACGTGACAACCAGCAGGGATTGATTTCCCTCGGCTGGAATGGCCCGATTTGGAGTTAACCGTTTATTCGCGCTGGATCGATAATACAGTTATTCGGCCGCCATCTTCGAAGCCTATTCGTAGGTGCATGATTTGTTGAAGTCAACTCAGACCACTGACCAGTGGTGTGGCAGTCGAAAGCCCCATTTACACTACAGTCAATTTATCGGCACGGCACGGCTAAAATACCCGTGCCCAATTTTACTAGTGCTCAGGCTACCAAAACAAAGGCCGGGCACGGATGAAATGGGCACGGGTACCCATTTTAGCCGTGCCGTGCCAATAAATCGAGTGTAGTGTAAACGGGGCTGAAGACCAGTGCCAAGATCGTTTATGAAGACCAAAACAGTTAAAAAATAGGCACTGGCCCTACGGCTACGGCTTCAAAGTTGGCGATCGAGTTCTAGTGCATTGTTCACATAATATATAGAGTTCACTGCCAAAATTTTGTGTATATATTCCGACTTGGATAACTAACAATGCTCTTAACAGCATTTTAGCTATAGGTATACGTAGTAAGGTGACTAAGGTCAAAGGTATTCCTAACAAACGATTCTGAATGGCTAATCATGCAATTATTACAAACTTTCGTGAGAAGTTTAATTCTTTTTCATGCATTATAACCGGACCCTGTTTTAAGTTATATTTGAAAATTCGCATCAATCTTCCCTATAGGCCACATTAACCCGGAAATGAGCTTAAAATAGATTTTTATTTCTTTAAAGAGATCCAAATGCAGGTACAATTACGTTACCGATTGTGGTCGACAACGTGGACAGCCTACCAACATGGCCTCGATATAGCGTTGGTAAAGAAGAATATCTAGATATGGATAGTTTTTCCCAGATGACGGTTCGAACAAAATTGCGTGAAATGCATTGTGATTTTTTTATGGATCCTGAAGGTTTCCTAAAAAGACAAGTAACCAGCAGTTCCACAAGATATTTCCTGTCTGCATGGTTTTCTGTGGCTGTGATTTCTGCTATGTTTAACTGGGTGACAAACTGAAAAGTGTAGTTGTAGCTGACGACGATGGGCAATGCGTTGGCATTGCCAGTTTACTCTTGAACTTTGCAAAAGAATTTGCATGGTGTAAGTACGGGATGGAGACACTTATTTTTTTAATTTACTTTTAAACGGGATTCTACATAGCATAATAAACATAAGATATACTCAAAATTTAGCAAATTTGTCAAACATCAGAACAGCGGAATATACTTGGCGATTTGATGAGATAATAAATTTGTTTCTGCTTTGACTATTGCGATTTTCTCTTCTTATATACTTATACTTTCGTGTTCTAAAAACGAGCTATAGTTGCAAGATGCAGAAATGAAAGGCAGAAATCAATCCATTCACAGCATCAGCAGTAAAATAGCGATGCTACTCAAATCATACCGAATTGTAATTTAAAGTCATTCACGGTTATTGGTAGAGAGCAGTAGTGAGTTCAGGCCGCACCTTCTTGGCAATTTGTTCTAACGAGTAACGACGTTCTGGCGCATCCTTTCAGCTACATTAGGGAGATTTAGCATCAGGGCGTGAACGTCAAAGACGATGTGAAAATGACGAATAAATATTTGGCGTGCGTAGACAGCACTCTCTTCTATCGATTAAAGGCCGGCGCACACTAGAGCTACGTGCTTAGCAAAACGTCATTCGTGGCTATTGGCGTAAGGCAGTTGCACTCGTGTGTGGGCGACTTTTCCGGCGACTTTGGTCATTCGTGCCACTTACGGCAAATATCTAGCATGTTTGATAATTTCTGGCTCGCGTGCCGAAATCTTTCCGTGTGCGGCAAAATAAAAGCTATCTGCTCTATCCATAATTGCGGTGCCCGCGCCAAGTTTGGCACCGCATTATATTCTGCCTGTGAGTTTGTTTGTTCGCATCAATACGTTTCCTTAATCGCCTAGTAAAAATTCCTTGCACATGCTTGGAATTTTTTCCTAATTATTACTATTAATCTTGTTGTACGTTTGCCAAATGCCTTTTTTAAAGGAACGTTCTTTTTTTTAATTTCAATCTCAAACTCTGATAATTGCGTGTATCTCTGCTTTTATGCACCCAAGAAGGACAAAAATACCACCATTCGATTCAGCGTAAGAAATTATACTTGAGGTCTTAAATATATTACTAAACAAGAGTATTCGCAGCGATTTATGACGTTTGAAAGACAAACGAAATTGAATTGTTGACAAATCGCTCAAAATTACTATGCTATACTTTACTAGTAATAGTAAGTTTGGTCTTTGATATCTTTCATATCGTTGGTTTTCTCTTTTAATTTTCGTCCTTAAATAAGTGGATCGGTCTTACATTACGATTTACTTTATAGTATTTTGAGCCAAATATATTCTATTTCGAAGGTTTTAAAGTATAGTTTCAATAAGCGAACTTTATGACAAATCGCTCAAAATTATTAAACAAATTAAAAATGCAGTACGCTTAATCCTTGACTTCTGTATCGTTGCTTTTCTAGTTCCCGGCTCTACACCAGTTTATTCGTCTCACGTTTCTCTTCATTTTGATAGTATTTTTAGATAGTATTTTTAGCCTAAATATTTTATTACTGAAGATTTTAAAACGGCGCAATTTTGACCTTAATGTACCAACCAACCAGGCTGCGGCCGACAGGAGAATGTAAGTTGGTGATGTCGTTAGAAATGAGCGGACGTTTTATTTCTAGGCAAGCATTGCGGGCACCGCATTTTAGTACTGTGTCTGGTTTTGTTTTTGCAATCTGTTCGCCATCTTAGATGTTTACTTTCGTATATTACGCATGCGCTGTTAAGACAATCCATAAGCAGATAGCTTTCAGTTTGCCGCGCACGGAAAGATTTTGGCGCGCGAGCCAGAAATTATCAAACATGCTAGATATTTGCCGTGAGTGGCACGAATGACCACGAATGACCAAAGTCGCCGGAAAAGTCGCGCGCAAACGAGAGCAATTGCCTTGCGCCAGTGGCCACGAATGACTTTTTGCTACGCACATAGCTCTAGTGTGCGCCGGCCTTAAGAATATTTACCGCATAACAGACAAGACAAATAAACCACAGATAAATGCAGGTAAGTATTAATAACACCCTTTAATATGTTGTAATATAACTCTTTTAACAATGATTAACTGAAAAAGCGAATTATGTTTACTATACATTTATATTTATATTACTGTATACTATATAATTCCAGTTTGTGGCATCGCGTTACAAAGGGCACAGGTGTCAAACACTAGTTCGTGAATACCATCACAGAAAAGAGCATAGCAAACAGAAGTTTACTGGAAAAAACACTTACAGGCAAACTACCGGCGCGAACTTCCTTCAGGACTTTGGAATTAGGGTTTTCGCTAGAATTGAACCAAAATTTCATACAATTATTTCCATCCTCTTTCACATACTTATACGAATTTCCCCACATGTGGTTACAAAGACTTTCGCCACTTCCGTACATTACAGTGTAGTTAACACAACTGTTGTTGCTAGGCCCAGGACATTTGTTTTTATACTCCATGGTACGTTCATAATCTTCAATGACGTTTTTCACACATATGAGATCGCTTTTACATGCATCAAACCAAGCGTCGCATTCACTGGCACATATTGGAACACCTAAAACAACATCTATAGCAATTAGGTCGAGTACATTTAAAAGAGATGTAATCCATTGCATGTAACCTGCAACGCATTTTCAGACAATTGTCTAATAAAAATAGAGTATGGAAATATCTTATTGCTCTCATTTGCTTTTCCGATCGGAATTTCCGATCCCATAGCGTACGGGGGCGGGGGCTGGGAAAGACCGTAACCCGGACCCTAACCCCAGTCACAGAATACCTAACAGAAGTAGTACTCTATACTATTTTTTCGTAAGTGTGATTCGTCATGATTCGTCACTTAGCAAGTGCATTTTTTTGAGGTAGTCACCCCCCTGCCAATGTCTAAAATCAGGCCATATTTAGTACTGGCAGGGGGGTGACTGCCTCAAAAAGATGCACTTGCTAAGTGACGAATCATGACGAATCACACTTACGAAAAAAGTACAGGAGTTCCACTTCTGTTAGGTATTCTGTGCCCCAGTCCTCTGTTTAGTGTGCACATTTCGACCTTTTGATAAAACCTTCCCGTATAAAGGAAAGCACCAAGCGCGTTTTTCACAAGCAAAATGCACGCTTGTCCCCTGGAAGAAACTTTTTGACAACAATCAACGTAAACACATTGCATTATTTGTGCATGTACAATGTCTTTTAGTAATTAGTAGGAAAACTTAATCTGTGCTATATAATAGTTTGCCAACGTGATACGATATAAAATTTTCATTGTATGAATTATGATCCTCGAAATTTCAAGGACATTCTCATTTCGGGAAAAAAAGAGTACTGTACCATTTAGAGCATCTTTAACCTTGCTGTCCTTCCATTGGTAAGCATATGGTGAGCATTGATAAAAGCATTCCTACAAGAAAAACGGTGGCTTAATTTTTGTATCTGCTACATAGAGGATGTATTTTGTTTTGCTTAATTGCTTCTTTTGAATGGATCGAAAGCCATAAATTTAATAGGTATGCACAGTTTAGGCTTGTTTAGGCGGCCCAAAATTGGGCGATATTTTTTCGGCAATTTGTCAATATATATTATACATTACATTGACAAATTGCCAAAAAATTTTTCGCACGAAAAAATATTGCCAAATTTTGGGCCGCCTATGGTCTGTCCTGACCATTGTCTTGATAAATGAAATTGGGAGTCAATAAGAAGGGCAACAAGGAGAGCCATGAAGATGGTCATAAAGTGACCTCTTGAAATTGGTGCGAAAAGTTTCTCACAAGCCGAGTCAAACAAAAAATATCATCGTAAGACTTGGATACAATGAAAGAGGTTTATTTGCTTTAACTACAATAAATGTCAAGTCATGGTGCCTGGTGGGACATGCAAATCAATGAGGCAAATTTCTGTTATTGATAGCCTCAGGTTGATTTTTGGTGCATTTAAAGAGCTGCTTGGTATGGTTAGAAAATTAGAGTCTAGTTGGGATAACTCAGTTATCCAGCATCATAAACATTCACAATATACATATGGTATTAAATTCAAAAACATGGAGGCATGCAGTCATGCACACAAGCATACATAGATCTTAATGCCATTATGCTCATTATCAAAACTGAAATATTTCTACTGTCAAAACATAACAGGTGAACAATGGACCAATGAACATGCATAAATATATACAAGTAAAAAGCCACAATATTCATGCTGTAGCTGCACTCGTCACTTGCTCAGGTTTGACACTGACCTAGCTGTGAATTTAGTGTTTGATAAGGGGCGGTCTGAGGTCTCCCAACAAAGTTGCAATTCATATTTATACGTTATTTACCAGATTTGAGGTCCGTATAGGGAAATATTTACCAAGGTCTAAAAACAGGCAGAGGCTGAAGGCCGAGGGACAAGGCTGAAGGCCGAGGGATGAGGCTGAAGGCCGAGGGACGTTTTTGAGACCAAGGGAAATATTTCCCTATACATACATACAGACCAATTAAACTGGTAAATAATAGATTTTTTTTGCCGTCCGAATTCATATTTTAGCGTTGGCTGTGTGCTTTTAAATCTCGCCCGGTCCGTACAGCCTCATACGGACCCGCTCGTGTAGCCAATCAGATTGCAGGAAACGCTAAAATATGAATTCGGACTGCAAGAAAAAAAATAAAATGCCATTAAGTAACACTCCTTTGAGAATATTAAGTCAGCTGCAAAGTGAGAGTTGTTTTACAGAAGCGTAATAGGCATTAGAGTCTTTAGGCATAACTGGAGTGCGTGTGCTATAGCTGCTCTTACAATACGATAATACGACCAGCTTGGCCTTGCCATGATTCACCAGTTCTATATAAAGTAATACAGTAGACCTAGATTTATGTGACCAAGGCTTTGTCGAAGTCCAGTTAGTCCACAAACACCACAAGAATTAAGCACAAAGGTCAAAGCCAAATCTAGGCAAGGCCCAGAGCTGTAATCGCACGCCGCTTATTATTACTTTAGCCAAGGGAATAAAGGCAGCAGATCAGTCAAATTCTCGTGGCGTATCTTAGGTTTGGCGATTGTAAAGACCCTACTGTCACAGCTAAGAACCTAATGCGCAAAACGGTAATCGAAACGATATATACCTGGCGTTTCCAATGTTTCAAGCATTCTGTTGAAAGGTTCCCACACAAATGCCAAGTATCGTTGTACAATTTCGGGGCATTGCCCTGATCTATTTCGTTGTCCAACCGCACCGTACAACACGTAAGGTTTTTCCAAGGTGTGCAAAATTTGTATTCTTGGCTTTCTTCGAGGGGTGTTTTCCTGTGATATGGACCTTCAAGACACTGCTCGGTGTTGCAAAAGCTCGGCACAATACACCACGTGCTCAGAGTAAGAGACAGCAATGCCACGAAAGGTAAATATTGTTTCTCGTACAACATTTCTGTAGGATATTACTACCTCGAAAAGCTGACTTTTAGGACGTTTAGAATTTTTTGCACCTGCAATATTCGTTTCAATGACAGCGAATCTTTGCGTTTCTTCGACTTTATATAAACACCAACCGAAGATATGTATGATATCGATATGTGTAAAATTTCACAATTCAAAAATCAAAATATCAATTAGGGTCACATGGCTACTACCCACGTGACCCTAATTGATATTTTGGGGCCGCGGAAGGCTAGGGCCTAGGGCATATAATTATTATATTTTATAATTATTATTAATTTTATTATATAAACAATTCTTGTTTGTTTAGTTTAAAAAATACAGGTTAAACTGCCAAACAAACAGCGTCAAAAACATTTAGCGTGATATTTACTTCATACAAACTCTTGTGCTTCTAAATGCAGGTCCAGCCTTAACGTAATTCTCTAAAGCTATTTCTGCTGCGTTAAACACATTATTGCTGTAGTGAACAATGTCTTTAGTGCCATTCGGATAGGAGGCGGTTAATGGAAACACGTCTAAAACTTCAATGCCAGCCCTACACATTGCCCACATGGCGTAGGTGTCGAATAACCTTACACGCTGGAAAATAGAAACGTTACAATCAGGCGATCAGCCACCATTATAGTATGCGAACATGCTCTGCGAGTCAAATTTGATGCACTATAAAGGCAATTTTCCATTGCAGTGCTTTGCCCGCGCGGGAGAAACGTGCTTTGTTTTTAAGGCCGGTCACGGTCGCATGTGCACATTTCAAAACCCGCTTAGCCCGCGCGGGTGAAGCGGACTGTAATGGAAATCGCCCGTTCCCGTAACAGAAACACGAGGTCTTCGGAGTGATAAAATGCGAGACTATCTTACTGGTTCGGTGAAAAATCTCCACTGTGTCGCATTTCTTGGTGGTTTAGTTTTCTCTTTTCGCAACGAAGTTGTGGTTTTCCAAATAACCCTCGCATTACTCCCCAGTTCGTTTTCACGCACGTTCAATATTTGTATGACGTCATCAATCAACTTTTGATATGTCGTGAAATTCAAGGATACTGGGTAATGTAGCCCTAGGTTCAAAACCAATAAACTGTATCGGGTTTTCATGCTCGTATCACGTAGAACATCTCTGATTGAGTCAAGTATTATAGTTGGTTGAAAATCAAGGTTATTATACTTTGATTTTGAGAGCACTTCGTTCTCACCAGGAAATGGGTACAACCAGTTATAACTGTGCCTGCATTGCTCGAATATTCGCCTGCACAGCGGTTTAGTTGAAAGTGAAAAATGAAATCGCACTCCTAATGAGTCCCCGAAGATCCACAGTGTTCCCCTTGGAGGCGGTGACTTCTCTAGTGTAGGAAGATGGCTTACTATGAAAATTTAAAGAATAGTTCGTTCACACTTAGTAGACTGAGACATGAGGTTAGTTTATTCATTCTCAGTTAGGTTCATCAATAAAGGATCATGTATGATCAGTACCTAAGATAAAAGGAGTTCAGAACATACTAGTATACGGCATGCCAATTATACCAACGAATTAGCTAATGCTATAAAATAGATTCAGTCAAGTTTGATTTACCAGGAAGATATGGCAACCAAGCATTGTTTTTCCACCGTCCAAAGCCATTCCAAAGAGAACGGCAAGATTGCGCGCAAGTTAGGCTGGGTAATCCTGTAGGATTAAATTCACGAAAGAATGGTACAGTTTCTACCAAAATAGTTCAGTTGATGATTGATGAACCGCAAATGTAACTAACTCACCGTTTTTTACTCCTCTCGTTTCATTTGATGAGACTTCGAAGGTTATGATTTCACCTCCTGACAAGGGTTCATAAATAAAGTCATTAAGAAAACCAAGTATTCCTTCAGGCTGTCGTTTTCCTTGTTTATTCCCTAGAGAAGAATATAAATATTAATATTCATATATAGTATAGAGATATACGGTATAAATTATGTACAAAGTATGAACTTTAACAGGTTACATGGTATACATTACATATCATATACTGACAGTCTGACACAATATTCTGTCTCAGTGTCACGTAACTGACATTTCGGATTTGGAAACTCACCAATTCGGAACCAGTTTTCCGGAGGATCTCTCAGGCCATCACACAAACTATAATCAAGATATGCACGAACGGTATAGTTTCCAGGATCCAAAAGCAGCGCGGTGGTTTCGTACGTACCATTTTCATAGTCAAATACAGAAGCTGCAACATTTGCTGGTCCTGTGAAGAACACTCGCCAATAATCGCCACCGATAGCCTTATCCTGCCCACTAGCTGTACGCGTTTGAATAAATATACTAGAAAACTGCCCAGAATTTCGAATATTCATGTAAGTCACGTAACTTCTGCTTGCAGAAGTTTTGTTGACCCTACCCCAGCCAGATTTTAAGGTTCCCCAAGCCAACTGATCCGAGCACGGTTTTAACATAGCCTGCCAGTCTATTCTAGCCTTTTGCATCCTTAACCAATCGTGGCCAGAATCACTTTTTGATCGCTGTATTTTCTTACGTGGTACAACTGTTTCCCAAGCTTGTTGTGCCCTATATACGAGTTTAATTGCAATATTGAATTCAAAATATTGAAAGCCAATGATTACAGTGAAAACCACGATGAATGTAAGAAAAGCCACACTCCAGCATTTGTAGCGACAAACTGATTTGAACAACAAACGAGAACGTTCCATTTGGACTGCAATAAAAGTAATAAATTTGATTTGACAAATGGTAAAGTGCAACCAAATAAATTAAGAGCAAGAAGTAGTTAGAAACGCTAATTTGCAAATCTAGGTAATTTGCAAATCCTTAGTTTAATGAAACCACACAAACAAAAGGATTGATTACAATAGGTGGTTATGTTCCCTAGCAATTTTATTCACGCTAAAAAATGTTTAACTGATTACTGTGTTGTGATAATAATTTAGCCGGATGCGTAGTCCCAGAGATTTTTTTATCACTAAATATATTTGGGGTCGGTTGTTCGAATGAGTTTAGCTTTAACGGCAAAAACACTCTCATATACAACTTGTGAATGCCTGAACTTGCACTTCCATTGAAAACTAAAGTGTTTCAGTTCAGTTGTTCTATAAATATATAGTTCTGTTTTCTATTTGAATTTATCAGCTGCAGTTTGATTATAGTTAAACCCCTTTCGAACAACCGGCGGCTGAATGATAAACAAAAAAAACTCTTGTTTATGCTCAATTTATGCTGTGTCAGCTGTGAGTCTACTAACCTAGTAACCCGTACCCAGGGTCTTTTTACCTCCGCTCCACGACCCACAGCGTGCGGTCATTGCCCCTAAAACACAGAAAAATTACGCTGGGTACGAGGTTGGGAGTTTACCTGAAATTCGAGATTTCGGACTGTTTAATATCGCATGCTATTGCCCGCCATCCTACTGCTAATTGCATGTATAAAACTATGTACTATATATCATCAAAAAGCTCATAAAAATTTTATTTTGTTCCCATATTTTAAATACTTACCTCGATAATATACTTTCAAACATAATCATAAACTAAAGCTTTCGCTTGAGATTTTTCTTCATGCTGCAATTAAATGCTTTGTTACTCCAGTGAGCTTTTGTGGATGTCAATCATTTTGAAATTAAAGTTTTTCCATTCTACCATTCAGCCAAACTTGTTGATCTGGGTTGTATTACAAATCAGTAATTTGGCTACCTGTCCGGGCCAACCCTTTTGAAATGATTCATGATTAGATATGCCGCGTATTCCGGTATTTTCCAGCATGGTCGAGTATACCATATTCCAGTATATTCGACCATGGTCGAGGATGCCATATTCCGATATATTCGACCATGGTCGAAATCCGCGGCACCATATTTTTGGTATATTTGACCATGCATACCATGGTCGGGCTTACCGTATTCCGGTCTATTCGACAATGGTCGAGTATACCGTATGCTGGTATATTTGACCATGGTTGAGTTACTCGAGTATACCATATTCCGGTATATTCGACCATGGTCGAGTATACCATATTCCAGTATATTCGACCATGGTCGAGTATACCATATTGCGGTGTATTGTCAAAAGCTGGGATGCAATCACTTCAAGAACGTCGAATTGCGATGTGCATTGATCAGTAATTTGGCTACCTGTCCCAACCCTTTTGAAAATGATTGTCGTCGAGCAATTCACGCAATGCGCAGCGTCAGAGCGGAAACGGCACGTACAAATTTGGTACAAATCTGCTATCTGCTTTCTCTCTGGAAAATTTTTCTTAACAATTGACAGGGTGGAAGCACGTCCTCTTGACAATCCAAAATGGATGCCGTTCGAAGGCACTATAAACGTCGTGTTCAACAAGATGTAAACTCTGCAGGTCTGTCAATAAATCGCCCGAACAGAGTCCCTTATTATCAATCGTTATTTCAGGTATTTATGGTTATAAAGTTGTGTATGTATTTGTACATATTACCCATTTTGACACGCCAGTCGCCAGCCTTGACACTATTTCAACACCACTTCAGCTGAAGTTTCAATAGCGTTTGGCGAGTTCCATTTAGTGCCCGTAAAGCGCTGACAACCAATCTATATTTTGTCCAACGGTCTCTATATACCTTTCCTCCTTATGGTCGGAAGTTCTTTCGTAGATTAGCAAAGTATCGTGAGGAATATTGTTTAATAGTCAAATACTCAAATAATTTGTCAAAACATCACATTTTCATAATTCATATATGTATTTGTTCTGATACCAAATAGCAGTATATCGTTCTATTTTCGGGAAAAAGTAGTAAAATGTATTGAAAACAATTTCCCGATAACAAATAAATCCATTTATTTACTCATTTATCTCTGTTTACAGAAACCCACCGGTTTGCCAGTATATTTATTAGGTCCAAATGACAGGTTCATCTACAGGTTGGATATATTTTTTATTTATTAGGGAGGTATTTGAAAATGTCAAAATTGCACATTATTATGCAGAATTAATTGAGTACTGTATTTTTGAATGGGTGTAATTTTTCTCTATTTTGTATGATCGAGATGCAGGCTAATTTAGTGTTGAGGCCTATGTAAAATGAGAACTATGTGCATATAAACACCACAGAAGAATAGAGTCCTCTCTAACAACAGCCTCTTTACAAGGATTTTTAGTTCACTTGTTTACTTCTCTAGTATATAGTTTTCTTAGTTCTTTTTTTCTATTTACATAATTTACATTTCTCTCAAACCCTCAAACATTTACTTGTAGGTCATGCATGATTGCATCTGCTGCAGGAATTGGTATTTGCTTGGCATCCATATACATGATGGCCAGTGGCAACTTGAAGAAAAAGCAAACATAAACTTGATAGAAATATCATGTTGACACTTTTAAAGAAGTTAGAGGCAGCATAATGAAATGTTGTATATTATTTACAAGTGCATTTAAAATTGTTAAATAAAATGGGCAAGTTTTGCCAAAACCTAGATAATATTAATCACATTTTTTTGGTTTTGCCTATTGTTTTTTAAAATTCTTCTTTTTTATTCATTTGAGCATCAGTAAACGTAAATTCTTTTTACACAATTATTACTGCATTATTACTACAGGTGAATTGCGATGCAATCTTTTAAACTTAATGGAAATCTCTCTAGCCTCTAAATTGTAAGAAGAGCAAATGTGATTACCTGCTGTTTCCCACAGTTCTGGCATCCCTATAGTGGCTAGTGCAGCTGCTTTCACTCCGTTTCTTGTTATTTGAATAGGTTATATTAAAGCAAAAACCAAATTTAGGATCTTAGTTCGCAAACCAAAACAATTACATATTTTTTTCGATTTTTTTTTGTCTAATTTTCATCTTCCGGCCTTAATTTTTAGTATAATTGTATAATCAAAGGGAAAGGGAAATTAAGGCTGAGTTATATATCTAAAACAAAATATACTTCTATTTTAGTAAAGCTCGTTTTTATGTCAATTCATCCGTGTTGTTCCAGGATCCATTGAAGGTGATCAATGAAGAAGTTAGAAGTGATCAATGATTTTATTTATCAATAGCAACGGATATTGCTGGTGAGGTTTATTGTGATGTGTTAAATGTTTCTTATTGTATTTTCTTAATTGTCACTCTACGTATAACCTTTTATAAGCTCAGAAATTGAAGCATTGACTATTGAGTATTGTTTATTTCTAAATAACACTAAGCCAAACGCATTACTGGCATTTACCGCGTGGTGTATTCGTATGGACATGGATGGGCATTACACTTGACATCGTTAGACGTTAAACGTCAGAGTATATTTTAGTTTACACTGCATGATCTTCATAAACATTAAAATTTAAACACTGAGCCAACTGCGTAATCTCTCGTACACAGACGGCGGACCATTTGTAACTGGTGGATCATCGCCCGTTAACATATCAAGGTGTTTCTTTTCTAGGAAAATAATGTTAAAAATTTCCCGTAATTTACTAAAATTAGTTTAAAAAATCACATGGGGCCGAGTATAAATTTTTGGATAAATTTCACAGTTGCAAAAATTGAAGTCATTTTCGCTTGAAGCCCATAGGCAAACAAATCTTTGCTAGATGCAACCAGTAAACTCTGTATATAGAGAGAGTTCACTGGATGCAACCATGAAATTTGAACCCTCGGTACTAGATTTTTGTCTATTCTTTTTCTATTCAACATCAGTTGTCTTACAGATAGCTATATAGTGCACTATACCTGCGCCGAATTCAACAACATTCTCTCTCGTTTCCTTATTCCCGTGTTCGTCTGTTTTTTGCGTTATTGTATATTCCTTATCACCACTTCTTCTTGTGATAGTGACCTAAAACATTGTGACCGAAACTGTTTAAATCATGCTCCATTTTTTCACAACAATTCAATGTTCAGCGAATCCTGAAACAACAAATTTAATCCTTGATATTTAATAGCATGGATAATAAAATAGTCTTTTAGTATTTAACTATCAGATATTAAGTGATGATCAGAGTTGGGATTAGGTCTTAGATTCGGTTTATGGTTGACTAGGATTAACTCTAATCCTAAATTAAACTCCAATCCTGGCCTAATCTGAAGGATTATATCCGTCTTTAAAATTTACTGAACATGGAAGTATCACCATTATTTCAGATGAAATAGATCACCGGATAAAATGAAGGCAAATGTTGCACATATTTATGCGCATTTATTATGTCACCTCCTCGTTCCCTCTTGAATCTCTTATTGTTTTCTTACTTTCCACAACCTAAACAGAACAGTTATGTTAAGTGTGTTATTTCCTATAATGCCAACATACCTATTTTCACTCATCATAAAATCCGTCACAAATTATTGCTAATTACAAACCCACTTACGCCATTGCTATTGCGGGTAACTGATGATGAAGTAAACGAGCCGAAAAAGGTTCTTGGCGGCTCCGGTTGGGCACTCCCGCGAGGAATAATATCATCAAGACTCTTGCCCCCCGCCTCCAAGTCTTCGTCGAGATCTTAAAGTAAATCATATTAAGTTAACAAAATATCTACAACTCAACATAATTTGATTTGAGACGGAGTCATCTACTTTTGAAAATTACAGGAATGACAAACTTAGATGCAAGCATTGCCATTGGATTTATGTGACGGTATGTAAGCCTGCGTCCAAAATTAAAGCCAGTTGCTTTACTTACTTTTGTCCTCCTTTGGAAGATTAAAACGACCCGGCCTTTCGACCGGTCTTCGTAAACCTTCACCCAAAAATGGGGGCTACAAAAACAAAAAAACTGAAATCAGAAATTTTGACAACACATGCACGGACATGTCCCTTTGGCGTTGTACAGGTTTTTAGTACTGCGTATTCGATAACTGATCTACATAGGATAATTTGGATGATGATTCAGTTGACGCAGATGGAAAGGGCATCGTAAAGTTAGTAACCGTCGTGGCGTTGGTTGCAAAAGGCGGAAAAAAACATAAGATAGTATGCTGTACCCGCATTGACCAGGCTGCCTATGAAATAATGTAGCTAAAAGTCTGCGTATCAGTTTACTGCTCATTACAGATCGAAATATACAAAATTCGGAAATTCGCATTCACACCAAGTTTAATTCATTTTGCGATGCTCTTTCTAGCTAAAAGCACAACATCTGGGGGGATTTGTTAAATACGCAATAGGCAGACATTGACAGATTAACCTGCCAGGTACGCTAATTCATTGCAATTGTAATATAAATATCATGCCTTTTTTCTTCCTAACTTTTTTAGCCACACACCGTTTGACATATATATAGTACCTGTGCAGGAGAACGGCGGTTTCGTGTCACAGGATTCCTGTCATTCAACATCTTTTCCTGCAGCGTCGTATTACTCTCGTGCGTATCCTCGTTTCCCGGTAGTGACGGAATCTCGTTTTCTTAAATAAACAGAAAACTCTCCAGTGCCAGTGGCAGCCGGCAGGTGCACCAGCCATAAATGCTTGGGAAACAATTGATATAATTCAAAGTTTTCTTATTAAGTTATTTTCTTCGCTATTTATAGATTTCATAGGTTGTTGATCATCTGAGGAAGGCTGGCGCTATAGGAAGTAGCGCCAGTGGGTTTTTCAATCACTCTGAAATTGTCTGTGTGGGTTTTTCAAACACTCTAAAATTGCCTGTGTTTTTGTACAAATTGAATTGAACCTTCCTATTCTTGAAGTAATATTTTTATTATTAAATGTACTTCTTTTTTAAGCAATGCATTTCTGGTGGATAGCAGATAGCACTATGCAGCCTTCATACAACCTGCCCTTCCTGTCCTGTGGAATAAGTTGAATTTTAATTTTTGGCTTTCCCTAGCAGAGTTCTGTAGTGCCATCCTACAACGGATCCAGAAAAGGAAGCGACACTTGCCCTGTTTTTGTACACACACTAATATCATTGTATTGCATATAGGTATGTGAGTATACTTCATAAATGATAAAGCAAGTGATTTTGATGTGGAATTGAGAAAACCTTGTTCATTGAAAAGAAAACAGCCAATTGCAGTTTTTCATTAACAGTAGAAATTATTTTGTTGTTATAATTGGTTAACTCCACATCTTCTGTAGCTTATTTGGCTCTCAGGAAGTGTTGGTAGAATTAAGAGTTAGATACTGTACCATTAGGTAGTGGGAAAGCCATGACTGGAAATCCTTTGAAGAAATTATTGAACATTTCTTCAAATTCTGACATAAAATCCATTGGGTTATAAAAAAAAGTACCATGTCTGTTGGGATTACATTCATGATATTCCTGCCTCTGACTTTCATCCAAATTACCATGATCATATAAATCATTCAGAATATCTCTAACAAAAAATGAGACCAAAATTTAATAAATCATGTTAATCATCACCGACATCACTCTCTTGAAGCAAAACAAGCAAGATCTGTTTATAATTTTGAAGAGAACTTGTTCCTATAAGCAACGTTAGGCTGGGTTTGAGTTGATGTGATACAATCACCTTTAATTAAGTGACTTTTCCATGAAGATATATAGATGGAAAGGGAGCAGGTCTGCCCAGTTAATTTAGATAGCCCCATAATAGTGACTAGTCACTAGTCAGTGATTGCAACTATCAGTGTTAATGCAGTATTAATGCAACATAATGCTACAATTACATCAGCATCGAAAGATGTCTCGAAAAGTCTGCAAAAGATTTGTTGCAAAGATCAATAGTAACTTTCCTCCATGATAATACGTCGTATCAAGAGAACTTTTCTGATTGTGGACCATTTGTGGTAACCCTTATTCATCGATTATAGGCAGATTTACAAAAGCAAGACTAATAGGGTGACTGTGTAATTACGTCATAAACAATAAAAAACACTAATATTTCGAAAAAGAATAAGATTTCTTTAAATTATAAAATACCCACTGTGGTATATCCATTGGAACACGATATTCTGAACGCCTACGAAGCTGTTCGAAGAAATCTCCAAAGATGCTCATTATGACGATTTTCAATGAGATAGAAGCAGCACGATAATTTTCAAAACATCACGCCATGTTGAGTAGTGATCAAGTAATGTTTACAACGTCCTTAAATTGGATACACCGCAATGCTATTTTCTAAATGTAACACGATGCAATTTTTCTTTCAAGTTTCAACTTAAAACGCATTTCAAGTTCTTCACGTCACGTGAACATATTTCATATTTCATCTACAAACTAAATCTATATTGTTAAAGTTCGTCTATTTTGGTTTAAGTAATTAATTAAGTACGTGCCAGGATCGAGTTTATAAACTAAGAAAAAAATGTTAGTTACAAATATAGACAGTGATGACTGTGATGAGAAATTGATTCGACTTAGTATATCTACCTCGAAATCTGACAATATCAAACAACATTCTTCTAAACCTACTCGATAAAAACCCCTGTCCCCATCGGCACATTCCAGTTCATTCCAGCACCTTTTTTGTACTCTACACTCTTCCTGGTGTATCTATTTTAACCAGGCGTCATAGACGCCTTGGCGCTTTCTTCTTTAGCATGTTTTGTGCCAAAATATAATCGATGTCAGTACGTTCTTAAAAATTTACTACGTTTTCTAAACAACAGCAGGTCTGACCTAGCAGTTCTATAATTCTCTCGTCTTCATGTGCTTTCTATAAATATTCGCTAAGATCGTCTGTTGATTTTAATACATATAAACGGTCTAAAAATTATTGAATCATGGTGAAGGAAATGGTCGGTGGTTGTTGTGTATGTTCGGATGAACGAGGATGGGACGAAAATCCACTGGTGTATTGCGACGGACATGGATGTAATGTCGCGGTACATCAAGGTAGATTACATGTAGATATCATGCATTACTGTGTTTATGTTTATGTCAAATAAAAGGATGGGGGTAGAGCAGTAAACAATTACATTTCTACAGTACTTACATCTAGCTAGTGTACACTTAAAACTCAATAGTGGTAGAAACTTACGTAGTGTACCTACAAGCTAAACTACCTAATTATGTCACCATTCAAACATATTATTAGTGTACACTTGTTCACTTCAAACAATAAAAATTCTGAGTGCTGCCACTAAATTGAATTATATACTTCTCGTGATAGCTTGTTATGGAATTGTACAAGTGCCAAAAGGGCCCTGGTTCTGTCGAAAATGTGAATCTCAAGAGAGAATTGCTCGAGTGGTAAGTTATATATGCCAGTTCCCAATGCAATTCTCTGTGTGCAGAGCTATATAGTTTTGATCTTCACAATTGTACAGTATGTTGGGCATAGTGAGCTGATACAATTAAAGCCCTTTGCAAATACTTTGCACAAATACATATTGGAGTTTTGTTACAGTTGTGTTATGTTACCTTTCAACACAATAATTAGTTTTCAAAAAATTCTTTTGACATGCTCACCATTTTTACTAGGAATATAATGCTATCGACAAAAATGAATAATATCAACAAAACTTTTGAAGAGGAATCTTGAAATTTTTATGCCATAATAATACATGTATTATTCACCCTTTTTAGAAATGTGAACTGTGTCCCATGAAAGAAGGAGCTTTGAAACGAACTGACACTGGAGGTAAATTGTGACTAGTCATATTTTGAACAAGGCCATAGCAACAGGTGGTCAGATTAACAAGATCTGATTAACAAAAGCACAAAAATCCAAAACTCACTTGAATCACCTTATCTCAAAGTGACACATTACAAACAGTTGAGAAGAGCAGTACAACTTTTGGCCAGCATTAAAATGCCATTCTGCTTTCAATCAGTATTTGATTAATATCATGTGACAGCATTTAGTCAATTGTTTGTCATACCTAACAGTTCTATCTGTCTTTAGGCTGGGCTCATGTACTCTGTGCTCTGTATATTCCTGAAGTGAGATTTGGCAATGTTAGCACAATGGAACCTATTATACTGTCATCTGTACCCCATGAAAAGTTTCAAAAGGTCTACCGATCAGTGTATATACTACAGGGTGTAAAGAAGAACACAGGCATTAAATATTCATGATATACTCTTTCTATTCAGTCCCAAAATATTTGAATATTCATGAATATTTAGTGTGTGCATATGCATTTTTTATACACCCTGTATATCATATGTTCAATGCTCTTGATGATTTTTACAAAAAAAAGACAAGTGTATGAATAAAGGTAACATATTTTTGTTTACCATGTAACAGACATGCTATTTGTGTGAAGAACATGGTCGGGAAAGCAAGACGTCTGGTGGTGCTTGTATGCAATGTAATAAGATTGGTTGTCGGCAAGCATTTCATGTCACATGGTGAGCTTTAATATTTGGGTAGCTTGGTATTTATCATAATGATAGTTATTAATTTTGTCTTAATAAGATGAATGTATTTTTTCATCAGAAATTCTGCCAAAGACTGCAAACATTCAATTTATGCATTTAAAAACTGAGTTTTCTTTGTGTGTTGATTTTACTTCATATTACCCTAATTTAGTGCCCAGGCTGCTAAACTTCTATGCGAAGAACAACAGGGTGTATCTGCGAACACTGTCAAATATGTTGGGTATTGTTCTTATCATTGGAATAAGAAGGTATCTATATAAGCATATGTGCACACAGCATGATGTACGGTATTTATTGTTCATGTGTGTATTCATATTTCAAATTCTTATCTCAAATACAAAAAATCACAATTCTTTTTTGCCATTCTTTCTAATCTTGTTCATGTTCTCGAAATATTTGAACATAATAACACACTAATTTCCATCCTATAATAATAAATAATAGACTGAGTAGACTTGCGTACATGCGCGAGCACCAGGAGAACGAAAACATTTCTGGGTGTGATGATTGAAGCAGAGAGTTTACATATGTCAAAATATCATGAGTAAAATGAAAATTAGAAGAAATTGTGGTTGTACATAATGGTGTCCGTAAAGGCGCTAATTTTGGCCCACTTTTTTGTTTGCTCCTAAATAGTTTTCCAAATTACTTTTTTATTTACAAACTGACTTTACGTGTAGTTTTAGGTGATTATATATGCAGATTATAATATATTTTTACTTATCTTTAAGTCTCTAATTTTCTCCGTAGAATTCGTATCTTTGCAAGTAGAAAAATCTAAATAAAGCACTGAGAGTTTATTATTAATTGAGCAAAATAACATATTAGTGGATAAAAAATCTGAGAAACAGAAAGAAATTGCAATTACATACTGGTGAATCAGAAGACTCTATATATTTGTCCCACTCCACATTTTTCTGCGGCCAAATAGACACTTCCCGAGTGTGCACACAAGTGCACACAAAACTATATCTTGGAAGCGAGGCGGGCAATCAATTTCGGGTTTTCATTGCCCGAGAGAGAACAAATTCGGGAAGTGTGTATAATATTCCAATATTTAGTCATGCCTTAAAATACGAAACCTCACTCTTAAGAAAGTCTCTGAAAGATGAAGAGCAAAACGTAATCAAAATATCAATCAACTCGTCAAAAAACCGAAACAAGTATTAAATGAAATACCGGACATGCGTTAACATTGGCAAATAATAACGAGATTAAAAGTCAAAAGTACAATGTTAATTGTGAAACCGTAATCAGTTACATCTTAATCAATCCATATATCACACATTGCAATCTAGTATACTGCGAATCGCGAATTTACAATTTAACGAATACCGTATCCGACAGAAAAATAGTTTCCGATCAGTCAGGCTTTTGCGAGTTGCCGCGCTGACCAAGAAATCTCGATAACTAAAGTATGTACGAAACAAGTCTATTCATGTTTCATAGCTTGATAAGACGTCGACATTTTGAAAAAAATTCAAAGTAATTATACAAAAAATGATATCTGATCTGAAGAAATTAAAAATACAATTTCTTTATAATAACTTAAATTGTAAATTTGTAGTTTCTAGTCCATGTAAATGTAGATCATTCTCGAGCATTTTCTGCTTGTACAGTGTGTACATGCATGTATGATTTGCCAAACCCTTTTTAGCTGTTGTGATTTTTCCCCTCTTCTTGCTAAATATAAAGAACTAGTGAAATGCAAATTGGCAATGAACACTTGATCCCCATGATTTTGTGAACAATTATAGGACATTTTATTTTATCCTCCATAGGGCAAGGGCGTGGTGATCCCTCGACCGAACGAAAGGGCAAGGTCGAAAGCCGAAGCAAGAAGCCAAATTCATAAGCCGGATATTAGTAAACGGCCCTCAGTGATCGGTACCACGAAGCCATCGGAATCCATCTCGCCACCGATTCCAACAAAACCGAAAAACAGAAAACCGTCATCCAAGTCATCGGATACCAACATTCCAGAGCCGTTGTCAGCCACGGACAATCCACTTTTGCCGGGCTCCCAACACCTCATGAAGACTCAAAAAATCACATCGCCGTTGAACACTCCATCAGTCCGCGATCAGCTTCTTTCCAACTACCCGAGCGTCGTTTCGACCCATTTTCCTTTTCAGCCCACCATTCCAAAACCTGATACGGGTAATATACCTTTTGCATTATTGTCTACTTTTTGATCTATGCATGGAAGGAAATGCAATCAAATCACCACAGCTGAAAAGAGCGTACTAAAATTAGTAGAAATGCCAAGTTTGGTTGCGAAATGTTGTAAAATGCGGAAAATATAGCCTTGCAAAGTTTGCACATTTGTATATACTTTTTTACAACAAAGGGGAATTGTTATACCACATTCGGGCCAAAAATGGTGACAATTTTCGGTTTGATTGCATTTCCTAGCAAAGTTCAAAAAGTAGTCTATAATGCAAAAGGCCTATTATAGTATAGTAATTATAATGTATATAGCTGCATGCTGACTGCGTTTTTACGCAATCTGATTGGCTACTCACTGTAGCTATATCAGTTTATTGACGGCGAGTAGTGAAAACGACCAATAATATACAATGGAAAATCTTAGTGAGAATTTATTTGCACATTATCATTATAAAGTTTGACTTTGGTCTATATTACAAAATTATTATACCATTCGCTGTCGTCATATATGGCTATACGACTCAAGCACACCTTAGCAAACGTTGGCATGACGACAATGGCCGTTTTCACATTAGAGACGCGCGTATAATCAATGTGTCTTCAATATTTTATCTGGTTATCTATAGTCTGGTTATTCGTCTTCAGTATAATAGTCTCTAGTGTGAAAACGACCATTGTCAGCTACTGAGACTATTTGGTTGTTTCAACCAGGTCTTTAGTTGTTTTGACCAATAAAATATTAGTGCAGTAAATATAAGTCTGAGGTAACCAACTTGCTTATTTTACCGTTTGTACAGCGTATACCGGTATTTGCTTAGTATTCTCATTAGCGATATACTTCTGTTCGCTAACAGGTGTCGGTCTTCAAGCACCGAGGAATGGAATGCCAAATCCTGTGTTACCCCAAGTTAGCGTGCCCGTCACGGCATCTTCCAAGGAAATCTGGAAGTCGCCTTCTGCACCATCGACCGCGAAGAAAACTTCGAAAAACGAAGAAACGGCGAACAGCACCAAGACTGTGTCTAGCGCCGAAGCGAAGGCCAGTGGCAAGAGCAGTTCTAGCATACAAAAGAAACGAAAGTACAACAAGGCCGGCAGTACGGAAGAAGATGGAAAGAAAAAACAAAAGACCACCACCAGCCACGAGAAGAAAAGTTCACATTCCCTCGGTGCCGTAGGAAAAGGGAAGATGCCGATATTACCTCCCTCTCCATTCACCCCAAAGTCCAGATCGAGTGAGAGTATTCGTGAAATGTAAGTTCAAATAGCTTGTTTTTTCTGAAAAATTGTATGATAGAATTCACCAGATCATCGCACGCCGCTATTTCTTATATCTCAGATCAGTGAGGCATAGTAGCTATACATGCTCTACTTTCCTGAATGGATTGGCGTGTATGTGGTATATATAAATTGGAAATATGTAATTGAATATGCGCATGGTCCTACCTATACTGCCGTGCTATTATGCAACAGTTCTAATTCAACATCCTTATTCCAGATTTCCTGTGGCGAGTTTGGGGTATAACGAAATTAAATCACTACGACCTAAAATCGCAATCGCATTGGTAGATTTTTATGTATAAAAATTCTCTTTAGAAACTATACTTTGTATTTAATTACTTTGAATTTGAAAGTAAGCCGTGTAATTTTTTGTGCTTAACCCTGGATTCGCCACATTTTTTTTTCTAATTTATTGTCATATTTTGTTTTGTTAAATACTACTACTAATAATACTACTATGAAATACTACTGAAAAGAATGTCAACTTTACTTATAGATAAACGCAATAACCCAAATTTCAAAAACGATTTTAGTCTAAATAACCTTTAGTAGAGGAAATTTCTTTCACAAAAGATACGAAAGAATAATTTTGCTATATATCTTGCAAAAAAAAAGGAAAGACACTAACATGTAATGCTTAAATTTTTATTCCAGGGAAATCCCTACGAAGTTGGAGGATTTTCTCGAATTCCAATGGAAGCAAGGAGTGGAGTTTCTTAGTCACCAAACTGGATACTTAGATGGTAAGTTATTAATGTCCGCTTTCTTTGCAAGCCTTATTTCAGTAAATACTTCCAACATAGGATGTCCTAGAGTATGCATTTATGCATGCAGATTCGAAAATTTTGTTGAGTTATTATCGAATGTCGGTGTTGAACTCTGCCTGGAATGGCCGTATTGTTCAACCAGGTTGATTTCTTAGTTTGGAGAGAGGTTTTGGGTGGTACTTTGCCTGTCCGTTCCCACGGACGTTGACAAATAGAAATGTCCACTGATCTATATGCATATAGCATGCGCGCCCAAGTTTGCCATCATGAAGTGTTCATCAAGTTGTTCTTGAAATCGCGAGGTTTTTGTTTTGTGCGCACATTTGAAAAGAAATGTATAAGAAAATACAGAATTGTTAGTAGTCGAACATGATTGATGTTCAAATGGCTGTCTTGTTGAGTGACACCGACGAGGTGGCAAACATGACAGGACCCTAGAAGTACAAATTACTTTACTCTAAATATCTTGAACCAAGATTTATATCACTGTCCACTATATAACTTTTTATCTTCTGTTTCTTTTATCCTTTCCCTGTTTTGGAAACCATTTTTTACTGTATTTTGCTCCATGCATGCAGAGGTGATCTGAACCACGCATTACGGTTCCACGGTTTTGCTCCACGGTTTTTGCTACAGCATTTTAGATTTTTTTATCGTAAGTTCTTTAAGACCACCCTAGCCTCGTTCCTTAAAGTTGGATTTCGCCAGAAGAAGGCGAGCGAATTTATCGACAGCGACACGAGAGCCAAAGTTTTGCTCCACGGTTCAAGAAACACCGTTACAAAAATACTTGGCTCAAGTGACCGCATCACAGCGAAGGGAATATAACATATTACCATACAAGCAACTGCGACCGCACAACGCCTTGTCATTCGTAGGTTCTGCAACTTCTTGGCGTGGTTTCTATTCGCGACCATGGGGTTGTGCGCAGTCTTGCATATTGCAAGGCCTATTAACGTGTATATGATCACAGTACTGAGAGTTACGAAAGCAATTATGAAGCTTGTATACAACCGCGCGAGTCGGCCGAAAAATGGGTAACTAAGCGTTAACATCACACCTTGGAGACACGGAGCTGCTGTAATTTTCAGTAATCTGTTCTTTGTTATCTTTGTACGGTGAAATATGGGATGCACGATGCTCAGATATCGCTCGATATTAAGAGAGTGTAAAGTCGCATACGATATACCACCTATGAAAAAAGTCAGAATTTCATGTGCGATGTATATTTTGCAATTTGGACTTCCATCTATTGTTAAAGCCAAGTTTATTACAAAGATGGTGTGACCAACTGCTGCCGAAGCGAGGTCAATTACCGACAATAGCATTATTAGAAAATACGATATCTTGCTTCTAAGTCGAGCTGATCTCCAGTAAACGAGGATTGTAAATGAATTCAGAACTGTTGCCACTATAATGAGGACGACATAACATACCAAACATGTCACATAGTTGATGAAATGGATACGCGATGTCAAACTCACGACCATTACATATTCAGCATTATAAAACGAACAGATTTTCCATATTTTGTTGTAGTCGGTGTCTGTGCCGTTTATGCCTGCCATCCTCGTGCAATTCATGTTGTACTCATGTGAGAATAATATTGTAGGCCTACGAATGTGTGTGAAATACTTGTGACTACGTCAATAAAAACGTGACATATTTGGATGTAAGCGATATAATTAAAAGAGTTTTTTATTACTTTTTCAATGCAATGAAATATATTTTAAAGACGACAGCAATATTTAATGTGGGAAATATAGCTCAAAATTATTTTCTAAAAAAACTAACATATGCTGCATACTGTAATTGACACTTCTTCAAAAAACCTCACATCGAAATTCAATTTCTGTCTAACCTTTGACAAAAACATAAAATTGCGAAAAAATAATACACGCGCGACTGTAGTTTTTCATTAAAGACAAGTCTATAGGTTAATTTTTTGTTGCGAAATATCTTGACATTCTAAAGGCCGCTGTTTTTAACGTGATTATGATGAGTTAAAAAATGTCAATCACCACGGTTGCAAATATAGCAATAATGATAGAGATGGCGTGCAGCTGTCGATTTAAAAACAATTAATCGAGTTCAAAATCGGTTTATTACAAGTTTAGATTGTTGGATATATGTCTTGTCAATTTACCTAGCTATATTCTGTAAAAAATTATTCAAATAAATAATTTGATTTTGGTTGTTGTCTCTGTAAGTTAGGTAATGTAACTTATCCTAAAGTAGGAATGCAACTTCTATCACAATATCGAGCGTGCATGCACATGGAGGCCGGGTTTCTATGACTGTAGGCATCATGACACATGCATGGATTTACATTCGTATTTGAAAAAACCATGAATAATTCAATTACCGCTTAAGTTGCAGTATCGCCGTTTTTCTGAAAACACCTATTTCATTCTACTACTGATCAGCTATATAGTTTTTCCACCAATGACAGAATTTGGTAAAAAGAATTATTGCACTTATTTTCAGGAATTTTTTTTGGAACACCACGTATATTTAGTATCTTCAATTATACGTCGTGTTCCAACAAACTGATATTAATAATTTTAAATAAAAATAACATTATACAATTACTTTCTTTTCATTTATATTAAGTTGCCTCGCTGTTGTCCTGTCTCCACCAACTAAAACACGACAACGTCAAGTTGGAAACACGGCTATCCGAACTCGTGAAACGTCGTGATCATTTGTTGTTGGTGAATTCCCGCCTGTCCAAACCTTCAAACCTTCCTGCAACGAATTCTCATTCCTCAACTCAAGATGTAAAAAGAAGTGATATCGCTTCACCGAACGTCGAAAATGGGAAGAATACCACCAGTTCGGAAAGAACTAACCAACCTTCGTTTGGCAAATCCCCTTCTGAGAGCTTCCCTCCCGAGGTGGACATGTTGACGAAAACAGGACAGGAATCGCAACCGAAAAAGCAACAAGATCCAAAGAGTCAAGCACAAACGAAAGAACAATCGACGACGAAGAAGGAGCAACCGCAACGTCAACGGCCGCATTCAGAAGTCCAACAACCGCAAACAGGAAAGGAGATCTCGCAGCAGACACTCGAGAAGAAAAGCCCTGTCAAAGGAGACACGCCGCCAAACGTCGACGAGAGGATAAGAGAAGCGGCATCGAGCCCACCACGAGGGAACAAAACTACAACAGAAGGAAAGGCGTCGGCCGTCTCGCTATCCAGCATCGCTGGAGAACGTCCTTCTAGCCGACAGTCACCAAAGAGTCGGAAATCGCCTCAAGCCGGTGGAAGCAAGAATACAAAAATGAAGGCTCAAGAACAACTCATGCAACAGGAACATCAGAAAATATTACAGCAACAGCATCAACAGTTAAAGCAACAACAATTGAACCGACAAAAATTTCCGCAATCTCATTTATTACCGGTAAGTTTAATAACGTACTTCCGAAAACCACGCAAATGAGTTCGTTCTCCAGTATGAACAAAACCCTGATATACAGCATTGTTACTGGTCAACACGCAGGTTTTTGCGATGAATGGAAATGGGCCCTTAATGAGCACTCTTTGAATGAAGCTCTCTTTTGGAAATGTTAACTTTTATAAGCTCGCTAATACACATTGTGAAACATCTTGGCCTGTTTAGTCGTCGTCAAGAAACAATTATGCATTATAAAAAATTATAAACAACCGGAAATGAAGGTATCGGATCAATATTTCATATATCCTAGGTTCAGCAAGGCAACCAGCACTTCCCGCATCAAAATTCTCAACTTGCATTTTTTAAACTCCCGGGTTACAATGGCTCAGAGCAGCATCCGATGCACCAGGCGAAACAAGGACAGGTTTCGATGAACGGCAGCCCACAGCAATACAACAGTCAAGCAATTCCTAGGCAATTTCCTAATTTTGTCCCGTACATCGAACCTGGCAGTATGCACAATGTTCGCATGCAGGGATATATGCCTGTTTATCCTGTGGAGAAACCGCTAAACAAAGTAAGTAAACGAATTAATGTTTACCTTTGCAATACATAACCCACCTTCATAATTTCCAGTATAACCAGAGAGCGGCGTAGCAGCGTCTTCAAACAACTTAGCATCAAATGTGGTATAACAACTGCCTAAAGTAGACAAAACACTTCTCAAAAGAGAAGCGTTTTGTCTATTTTAGGCAGCTGTTATACCACATTTGATGCCACCTAATTCATAATATTCATTGTTTGCATGATGTCCAACATCGTCCCCAACACTCTCTGTGTGATCTTAGGTATCTTCTTCATAATTGTATGTCCAATATCGTTTTGCATGTTGTATCAAGGCTCGTTTACACTTGCGATTTTCCTCTTTTGATAGATGTAAACGAGTAAAAAACATATAGGTCAAAGGATAGAAAGGCTTTTAGCCCACAGTGCTAAAGCCCAATATATATAGTATTCAGAATCGTTATATTTTCGTGCGGTATACATTCCAATTTTTCTAGCAGCACATTCTGTGCTGGCATATTTTAAAGCTGATTCGTTTGTCCTTATATACAAAATTTATACTAACATACTGTTTCTATAGCTTTGATTTTCATTCTTTTTCCTTAGAATAAAATTTAGTCGACAGCTGTCCATTAATTGTTTTTTTATCGCAGAAATTTCGAAATATTTCTTCCCGAATCGCATAATTATATTTCGACCTTCCAAGTTTGTTCTTATCACAAGTTTATAGACGTTTAATGCTCAGTTCTGAATTTCTGTTATAATTCAGGTGATGGAGGAGAAGATTGAGAGCTCTTCAGGAATGGAAAAGTCAGAAAGGAGAAATTAACGTAACAAATTTTCGTACAGTACATTTTAAGGTTTTACCTCTCCTATGACATGTTGCATTCAAACTAGTCAGTACCGATGTGGTCTAATACAAGATCAACGTACTTTTAAAAGTAATCTTGAACGCGAAGCATGCATGCTTGGATGTTCACCCCGCTAAAAATACATTTACTTCTAGCTTTGCGGTTCGTTAAAGAGCATGCGCCTGCTTAACGTATTTACCGCGGTTATCATTGGCGTTGCCTGAACAATTCGGGAAAATTTAAATGTAGTTATAGCTCATATACAGCAAGAAAATACAAATAAACCATAGCGTATTGCTCATCGAGTAAAAGCAATATTTTTTTAAAACAGCGACGAGTTTTAAAATGTATTTTGTAATGAAGTATTGCGATTCACAAATACTGAAATACATGCAGTAATGTTTTACCTTTTTAAACTAAGTAGGGGAAATGACTCCAGGTCAAAGAACTCTATAATTGGTCATTGTTAAAGAATTATTTTACGATTTGTGTTAGCGATCCTGCATGTACATCGAGTACTTAATAAAACGTACGAAGGAGCCAAGCATATGGTTATCTGTCTTTCTGTGTATTCTGACCAAAGTGTGCAACGAAATTTAAAATTTTATTTATTAAAACACTTTAGATAACTTTTTTGGTAATTTTGTTTGAAGGACTTTAGATATTCTGTCTATTTTTTTTACGAGGTGATATTATGATATTATAATAACGAATTTTATATCGCTGAATAAAAACCGAGACGAAGTTTTATAGTATAGTTATATTTTTTTAAAAAAAGCGAATCTGTTGAAAACGGACGTTTTACAAACCTATAAACAAATATCTGGACATGCACTTTTAGAGCAATTCGAATAAAACAATGTTTTCTGAAAAGAAAGTTGAAAAGCGTTCTACCAGGTAGTTTTTACTTTGAAACAATTGTAGGCCTATTTTTTCAACCTCTTCTGTGCTTTCATTTTTGTTAAAACGTCCTTCTGCATGTGTCACTTTGACAAAAACAATTTTTGAAAAATACTTAGTCTTAGGTGATTATCGCGTAATAATCTGAGGTAGATCCTGCATGCATGGGTATAAATTGATCAATCAGGAACCGGCCGGAATTTTCAATAATCTCTTTTGTAATTATACTAGCTATAATCATATAATTAATTCCAATTAATTTTAGCAGGCTTTCCCTGTATATATAAGAAATGTATAGGACGAATTCTATTAATTTTCCCTGCATATGAAGTGGAAATGCATGTTTTTTATTGTGTGGCAAGGGTAAGGTTTGTTGGATGTTTGTGTTTTGTATTTTTTTTTGTAAAATCTTTTTGCATTTCTATTGATATATTTATTTAGTTTGTAATCGAACTATTGCCACTGCACGTCATATTATAATTATCACGATTTTTGCTATATATACATGCATGGATTATCCATTTATATGGCTCTGCCGTTTTGCTTCCACGCAGGATTCATGAACTTTGTTATCTCGAGCTCCTTAAGATTATCCAAGCCTCGTTCCTTAAAATTGGATTTCGCCAGAAGAAGAGGAGTGAATTTATTGACAGCCTCATGAGAATCAACATTTTGCTCCATAATTCTAAGAACACCGTTACAAAAATACTCGGCTCAAGCGAATGCATTACAGCGAAAGGCAGGTAACATATTGCCATACAGCTAACAGCGATCGCACAAGACTTTGTCATTTTCAGATTCTGCAGCTTATTTCCTGGATTTCCATTGGCATTGGCGAGCAGAGAATTGTTCGCTGCCTTTCGCATTTCAAGGTAAATTAATGTGTATATAAACACGGCATTTAAGAGTACGAAAGCAATTGTAAAAATTATTAACGAACGCGCAGCTCGGCCGAAAAGTGGACGGCTAAGCGTTAACATGACAGAATAGGACCACTGAGCAGCTGCTAGTTTCAGTAATCTAACCTTTGTCATCTTTGTGCGGTGAAAGATCGGATAAACTACGCTCAGATATCGATCGATGTTTTGACAATGTAAAGTTCCAAACGACAGACAACCTGTGAAAAACGTCAGAATTTCATGTGCGATATATATTTTGCAACTTGCATTTCCATTAACTGTCGAAGCCAAATGTAACACGTAGACTGTATGACCAAAGACTGCCGAAGCGAGGTCAATTATGGACAACAGCATTATTAGAAAGAACGAAGTCTTGCTTCTGAGTCGAGCTGATCTCCAGTAAACGAGGATTGTAAATGAATTAAGAACTGTTGCCACTATAATGAGGACGACACAACATACCAAACATATCACATAGTTGATGAAATGGATACGCGATGTCAAACTCACGACCATTACATATTCAGCATTATAAAACGAACAGATTTTCAAAAGTTTGTTGGAGGCAGTTTCTGTACCGTTTATGCCTGCCATCCTCGTGTAATTCAATGTGATATACTCTCTGAAAATATAATAATACACGACTGTGTATTGGGTGACTCTATATATACTTAATATACGTGTAACATAATGTGACATTTATATATAACGAGTGATTTGAGTATTTTTTATTACTTTTTGAATGTAATTAAATATCCAAAAGCGATAACATTAAACTGCATGCTATAATTCATTGGCGTCTAGTCTGAAAATACAAAATTTATTTTCATAAGAGACCCGACATAAAATCGCGAAAAATCACACCCTTCAACAAATTCAACGACGTACGTTTTGATGCGGTTTTAAGGATTGCGCGAAAGAACGGGCAGGTGAAATTCGCAGGTAGCGGATGCGAAAGGAATTGAAAGCTTATTTCAATAATTCATCATAAAATTGATGCAGTTTATATTTAGACGATTGATTTAAAAAATTCATCATTTCTCAAAGGAGTAGGCAGCGTCGATAATCATGCATGTTAGTGAGCTTAAGCAAGTGACGTCTTTGACAACACGTACGTTGACCGGAAGTAAAGTTGTTTTTCACCAATCACAATCCTTGACCCAGTCTTTTCACGTTACTCATGCCGTTTGTGTTGTCAAAAACGTCACATGCTTAAGCTCACTATTGTGTGGTTATGCCCAACCTCGTTCCCAGGGCCGATTTCTGTGAGGTTGGGTTTCCCGAAGGCCCAGAAGTTACGCTTCTATTTTTTGAGTTTACACACGCTTTTTGCCGGGTTTTTTTGTACTGTTGCCTAAAATTCCAACATTTTAGTATTTGTTTTGATTCGATTTTACTAAATAAATCGCATTACAAATTGAAAAAAGCAAATTCGTATGTATAAAGGTCATCCTCAAAAAAAGGTTGGCACGTTCAGAATTATGTCGCCAATCTTTGGCAACCAGCTCGTAGACCAAACGCCTGTAACAAACGCTACTCTTCCATTTTTATCTCTAAGGCCAAATCTTTAAACTTAAACAATGACAACCCTGTGATACTCATTTTTCGTTGTCAAATTTCTTCACTCCATTTTGGAACGAGCCTGTTATATTGCCAACTAGTATAAAGCTCATTATCCAACATATTGAACCAAATTATATATGTCAGAAATGTCAACTACTGTTGTAAATAGCAGTGACACAAAAGATGGCCTGCAGCTGTTGATCTTTGTCGATCAAAATCAAACAACTCTTTGCAAACAATCATAAAATACGTACGTATAAGCAGGTTGAAGGACGCCGAGACGATACAAGGGCATGCATATCGGGAGGGGGGGGGCAGATTTTTGTCAAGGGCATAAAGAATCAAAAACATCGTTTTCTCAAAGTATTGTTCACGGTCAAGGGGTTGAAAGAAAATTGAGAATATCTTTTGCACAGACATGCCTCTTTGAAATTATGGCTTTGCTAATCCATGCAATGCAGAAGTAAGTGAATTCAAATAATATTTATATATATAGTAACTAGCTATAAGCTTGTTTACTGATGATGTGCTATTGTAAACTTGATTGTTAACTTCTGAGCTCTCGCGTGTTCAAATTGATCGATTATGGATATTCTCGGTTTTACTTCTTTTAAAGAATTCGTTGTATGATTTGTGCCGATTACTTTAAGTTATTTAACTCGCGCTATTTCATCTGTTTAGTAATAGCCATGCATGGAGGCACGCACGCTTTCGTAAGCAAAACCACCGTTAATGGCAAAACTGCAAACGATCTATTCACAGTGGCGTAGCCAGAATGATAATTGGGGGGGCCAATATTCATATATTCGTGATACGCAGGTTTAATTTCTTTTCAAATCAATTGTCTTTACAGACTGTTAACATGAATATATGAATATGGGCCCCCCCAATTATCGATGCTGGCTACGCCACTGTCTATTCATTATGGTTCAATGCGGTCTCATGGCTGGTTTTCATATGACATAATTCGTCGTAATTCACATCTCGGTATAATTCGTTGTAATTCGTTGTCATGCGAAATCCGACGCATGAAAACTGACTACAGCAAATTGCAACGAACTGATTTATACGACTTATGAATTATGACCAATTATATTGTAAACCATGTCTTATGAGGGCCACACACGAGAGCCATATGCTGAGCTAAAAATCATGCACTTGTGAACATTAGCGTAAGCAAGTTCCGCCAGTGTTCGGTGACTTTTCATATAAATTTTCGATAACCATCATACATATTTAAATTTACAACTCAATCACCATGCATGACCTTCAACATGTGCTTCTTTTCTAGAAAAGTTTAAATTTTGTAGGTCGACTTAGCATTTTATTAGTTGCGTTAATCCCCATGCAGGCCAATGGCATACAGTGGCGTAGCCAGGCTGACGATCTTGTCCCGCTATGTAAATTTCGAGTTAATATAATTATTCATGTCTTTAGAAATATTAGCACACACTTTAGAACACTAAAATATTAGCATAGCAGGACAAATCGACAGACTGGCTACGCTACTGATGGCATAAATTCGCAAACAGGTCATTCAAATTTTAACAAGAGGGTTGTTGGGACACCTTTATACAGGGTGAGTCAAAAAAAACTGACACCTTTGAAATTCAAATTAACACATAGCGGCTGTAATGTGACAGAAGTTGCCTAAAATATCTCATTGGTATACGAAGCATATCACATTAATTAACCTAAAACATAAAGTTTGTTCCCTTTGGGAGTTAAAATGCATTCTAAGCCCTGTAAATACAAAAGAACAGTTTTATCAAATCGTTTTTGTTAATTGTACATGGGAATTGTCATATTTCAGCCATAAGTTCGCAGCTAATTTGAATTTCAAAGGTGTCAGTTTTTTTTTACTCACCCTGTACAGCGTGCATGTCCCCAAAAAAGTGACACAAAAGAAATGATCCTATTGTAATAATTTGAATGCCTGAGCGCTATGCTAAACCCACTGCAGTTGCACGCGTAGACATCAGCTTCTTGAGCTTTAAACAATTTCTATTACCATAAAATTCGACTGACAAGGAAATCATGGATACGATTCAACTGAGTACAGAACAAAGAGTATTTGCTGTAACTCAATGTACCCTAATACCAAATGTAACCGCAGTGCAAAACGCATTTTCATAAAGACGAATTTTCATTCCGACTATTGCTCACCGGTAAAAATGACATATTCACGACAATTACGACTAAATGGAAACCAGGCTTAGAAGGTCCTCGTCTTAAAAGGGTCTGTAGAAATTTGGGTGACCGTTGGGACTTAAGCAAGACTAGGGTACGTCATCATAATCTCACTCCTTTCCAGTCCTCGAATACCCTTGAAACTATGCGATTGTCGCCGATTAACTCGAAATAAATCACACTGCATTTAATGGATCATGAAGTTGTACTGCACCCCGATGCACTTATTCCCACGATCTACTTATTTATTTTTCTGGCTGTTAAGCTCACCTCCCCATATAGCTTGGTCCCACATATTTGTCATACAATTATTAGTCGTACTGTTCGAAACGTACTAACATAGCCGCATTCTCGTAGTCAATTAAAATAGCAAAATGTATTTTGATAGCTTATGTATGAATGTATAATATTACTTTAATTATCGTGGGATATTTGCGCACAAATGCGACCTGACAATTAACATCACAAAATTGAACACCGCATGATTATTTGTTACGTGTCGTGGCATCATAATTATATGCCAGCGGTGGAATATGTTTGCTTGAAACTATATCCCAACTTTTGCTTTAAAGTTGATTGCATGCATATATACGCTATAACTTCGCGATTTCATAATGTACAACGTTTCCTTCTATAAACATTAAAATATCTGTTAGACATCCTTATAATGTTATACTCCTTATTTCTGTTAATTCCACACGTTACACAACCCCCTTTGAAAATCCGTATAATAACAAGAACCAATATTCATCGTGCTCCAATATTATATCCTCCATCAGTGAAGTTTTCGAAAGGCTACCCTAGCTTCGTTGCGTAAGATTGGATTTCTCCAAAAGAACACAATCGAATTTACCGAAAGAGAAGCGAGAGTGAAAGTCTTACTCCACTGTTCGATAAACATAGTTACAAAGATACTGGTTTCTAGGGAGCGTATTACACCGTAAGGGAGATAACATATTACCATACAGGCAACTACTATTACACAAGACTTAACCATCCGTATGTTTTGTGTTCTCTCCAAACGGCCTGCATTAGCAAGCACAGGATCATTTGCCGCCTTTCATATTGTCCGAAATATTGAGGTATAGATAAACACCGTAGTAACAATTCGGAAAGAAATTGCATAACTCGTTAGCGGCCGCGCAACTTGACCAAAAATCGGGTAGGCGATTGCTAATGCGAAAATTTCCAACGACATAATCGCTGCCAGACTAAATAGTCGGAGCTTTGTTATCTTTGTGCGATGAAACATGGGATAAACGATGCTCAAATATCGCTCGATGTTTAGACAATGTAAAGTTTCAAAAGACATACCACCTGCACAGAATGTTAATATTTCATGCAGAACATATATCGTGCAATTTGGTTTCCCCATTATTGCTAAAGCCATGCCTAGCACAAAGACGGAATAACCGAAGACTGCAGCAGAAAGGTCGATCCCAGATAACACCGTTATCAGAAAGTATGAGATCTTGTTTCTAAGTCGAGCTGATTTCCAGTAGGTGAGAATTGTCAGCGAATTGAGGGCAACTGCCACTATAATGAGGACGATATTACACGTTATGCACGCAATATAGTTGATCTGATAACTTCGGGATGGCAGACTCGTAACCATGATATATTCAGCGTTGTAAAGTAAGCAACTTTGCCATAACATCTCGTATGAATTGGTTTCATTCATATCTGTGGAACTTTTTAGAACAAATTGTTTCGCAAACACTCGCAAATTGTTTTGGTCAACTGTTTGACTGACGTTTTAGGGATTATGAACATAAAATTGATTTTCGACGAAATAATGAATAAATAAATACTAAAAAATAATATATTAAAAGTAATTTCCGAAGTATTGACAGCGAGCAAAAATTAAATCGTAAAAACTCTGTGTTGGCGGAATATTGATTTATCTAATAACTTCTTATTAACCGAACCGAGATCTTTTTTGCACAGACCGAGCCCGCAAAGAGGGAGGTTGGCAATGACTATAAGCAAGCGAGGCTAATAAATAGTTATATATAATAATTATAAAATAATTATAATAATCATATTGTAGAGGGCATAAGATAGTTGTCTACGAATCATGATGCCATCTAAGTTTAAAAAGTGTGTCAATTAAACAACTGATAAAGCAGTGTCACATGCAAGGGCCTTTTTCTAGACAATCGTTTTGTAAATACTCGCGGGCGGGTTTTTGCTCACTTCAGCTGACCGTCGTAAACAATTCGAAGTTGTCCGTGAGAAAACCTCTTGTCTGCTGTCACTGATAATTTAATCATATCAGTCCTGCAATAAATCAGGCTGATGATTGGGCAGGTGATTTAACGAACTAAAATCAACTGCTGGCTATCTATAATATATTCCAGATGAGCGGAGCTTCTGTAAGCTAGGGAATTGATTAAGTTTTCTTCGAAATGTCTATTTAACATTTACTGACGGGACCTACTAAAAAACACATTATTGTGATGTAGCTGGGGCTTCCTGATTAAAAATTGCTTCCCTGATTGATTGATTAAATATTATACAGTCTTTTCTTAACATAATCCAAAAAAACGTGTATTTATAAAGGTTTATTTAGAGTAAATTAGCAGCATGCATATTGCACAATACCACATTCTAATCTTTTCAGGAGTGCATGTACATTAGTTATATTAATCAAACTTCCTGAATTATTCGTCATGCATGCTATGGTTGGTTCAGATATACAGGGCGTCCCAAAAAAGTCCCCTCTATTGAGATCAAGCCTTTGTTAGAATCTGATTGCCTTAATATTATGATTATTGTGATATTGTACAATTGAAAGCAAGAAGCTTTATTTGAATACCTCAACCTAATATAACTGCACTTTACACCCAACTGCATGCTTCGATCATGCATGCATTCAAATTCCAACAAAAGCTTTATTTCAATATAGGGGGGGGAGGGTTTGGGACACCCTGTATAGTCTATAGGTATGCATCATAAAGATATTGAATGTCTCAATAATTAATAATTAACAATTCCAAGCAACACAAAACTCCCCACGTGCTAGGTTCAGGCATTATAACAGTCAAAATACTAATCACGCAATAATCGCTCTGCCTATTACTAATCCCTAACATGACCCCCAATAATCGCTCTGCGTTTTGTTGTCTTTATCTTCCCAACCGCTTTCGTACCATTAGTCTACGTCAATTGGATGGTCGCATATTGCCTGACTACCAGTGTCTGAATTGCAATTTGGAAATAGTTTTCCGACAATATTTCCACCATACTTTCGCTTAACGTCTTCACAAATCGCATTAAACTGCAAACCAAACTTCACCAGTGAACACCGTCTGCCCTCCATAGGTGGACGAACGTTTCCTTCAGATCAAAGACAGGAGAGTCACTGGCACCACAAAATAGAGTTGTATCAAAGGGATGCCACTCGTTAATTGTATCTCTCAGTTGCATCAAGAAGTTCATGTGTACGCCATGCAGTGTGAATTTTTTAAATCTTGCTTGGTTTCAAGTAACAAAATAGCCTTTACTGAGGTCAGAGAAGCTACAATACGCATTATTGTATTCTTTGTATGCGCATTATTGTATTCTTTTGTATTCTATTCTATTGTATTCTTTCTGAGTAAACCAGATTCGCTACAAAGCGAAATTATTATATTCTACGAGTACGAGATTAAAGAAATACATGTATTTGAGTATATTTGTCCAATCTAATGTAGGTCAGGGGTAAAATATTTCATGAAAATGCACAAAACGCATGCATATTTGTAATTTGACTTTCTCACGACGACGTTTTTGCGGTAATTTAAATTTTCAAAAAAAGTTAGAACCACATGAAAAGCAATTTTTTTAGAATGAACAGACCATTTGAAGAGTAAGTTCAGCCGAAAAATAAAGATAGTCGCCGTTACGAAGTCTTATCTTGGTTTCGAAAAAAAGTGCCCCAAAATTGGCGGCATATTCGTCATCGTGAGAAAGGCTAATTGCAAAGTATTTCCTTGTTCAATCCTAAAAATATTAGTACTATTTCAAACGTCGACTGTTTCTACATGATAATTTTAAATTATACGCAACTGGCGCTGCGAAAACCTTACTTAATTTTATGATAAGCGTTCGATTGAACCAAAAATTCCAGTCCTAATATATAGTACAGTTATTCTACATCCATTGGCTGATTCATGTTATAATTGGGGAAAAGCTCGTGGACATTAATATTGCTTTCATTTGCTTCATATTTTTGCTTTATATCTTTACATACCGCACTAAATTGCACACCAAACTCCATCAGCGAACAGCGCGTTTGTTCTGCCGTCCTCAGTGTGTATCCCTGCGTGTGCATCGCGACGATCTTTCCATCAAAATCGAAAACTGGGGAACCACTGGAACCCGAAAATAGGCTTGTGTCGTAAGGAAGACAATCCTCATATCGTTGAGTTGCTTCAAGCAGTTCTGTATTGGTCATGTGTACACCAGTTTGAACACCATGCCTTACATTAAGTTTTTCACGCCAAGAATGATTGCTAACAACGACGCATGCTTCTTCCTGCATTTCCTTACCGCCCGGATGACCAATGATGATAACTCGCCCTCTTGTAATGGGTAACTTCGGACAATGGGACCAAGAAAAAGACGATCACTGAGAACTTGGTTTTCTTTCAAACGAAAGAATTTATAATCTAAGTGCGGACTCTCAAGCATAGGATCTTGTTCTTCATCAACTTCCACCATAACACTCTGTTCTACTTGGTTAGGATAGAGGAAATCAAACAAAACGTTTATTGGTAATTTGCAATTCTGACAATCATCTATTTCCATGTCTTCCGTATCTTCTGTTTCCTTATTTTGCGTGTCTTCTGTTGCCATGCCTTGAGTGTTTTCTGTTTGTTTATTTTGAGCATCTTTTTGTTTCTTACTCAATTGAGAAATCACTCTTTGTGTATTGAATTGCATATAAACATGAAAGTTGGTAATAACAAGCCTGTTCGAAACAAGCCAACACGTTCCCACAGCATTTTCACAAGAAATGCGAGCGATGGATTTTATATAAGTTGCTAAAGAAGCGAGAAGTCTTGCGGGCATTTTAGTTGAAACATTTTTGTAGACATCATCTCTCGCAAAGTTTACAATTACTTGATTCTCATAGAAAAAGTTTCCGTCATTAGTGTGATTATCATGATTTAACAAATCATTGTAAGCTGCCGACTTGACATTCTCTGTCATTGATTTACGAATTTTCTCTGTTAGAGGTTCTTTTCTTGACGCCCGATGAGTATACACGTATTTAGCAGGAAATTCTTTGATGTATTTCTCCAGACAAACCAGGTCGTCACTCCGTAGTCTTTCTGTCCTGCTTGGGTTGCATATTTCCTCCGTTACCAAGTTCACCCATTCTAAAAATATTTTTGGAAAAAAACCAAAAACCTAGATATATTAATTTCATGTAATGTATCTAGATATATTAATTTCAAGAAAATAATTGATTCACCGCAATTACACCGAAAAAAATTTAATTAATTCAATTTCATACAGTTCCCAAACGTTCACCATCACGAATTGACAATTGTTGAGTAGCCAATCAGAATGTAAGATTTGTAATAGACAATAGTCTGGGGGTATACTAATTAACAATTGGACAACGAGTCCGATATGAGCGAATAGTCAACGAAGGCGGCGAAGTCTGAGTTGACTATTCACTTATAGACAACGAAGGCGAGTTGTCTAATTGTTTTAGTATACACCCTGTACTTAGATATATTAATTTCGAGAAAATAATCGATACACCGCAATTACACCGAAAAATAATTCAATTTTATAGGGTCGCGCGAGCGAAATTTTCCCAAGCGTGCACCATCACGAATAGACAATGGTTGAGTAGCCAATCAGAATATAGGATGTGTAATAGACAATAGTCGGGTGTATACTTAAACTGTATAGAAAGACAGGAAAAAATGTTTTCCATTTCTTCTATAATATAACTCAATAAAAAGATTTGGTACAAATATTATAATTCGATTCAATTACAAATTCTCATTACATTACTTCGCTTGTCAAGTTCGGCGAGAAAATTCCGTGTTTCTATACAGTTTTAGTATACACCCGACTATTGTCTATTATACAAATCCTACGTTCTGATTGGCTACTCAACCATTGTCTATTCGTGATGGTGAACGTTTGGAAAAAATTCGCTCGCGCGACCGTATAAAATTGAATTAATTAAATTATTTTTCGGTGTAATTGCGGTGTATCGATTATTTCTCGATTAATATATCTAGGTACAGGGTGTATACTAAAACAATTAGACAACTCGCCTTCGTTGTCTAATTGTTAAATAAAAACGCGCTTTTCGACCAATCGGCACGCGCGTACTAAAAATGTTAAAATATAAAAAAATAGAATACATCTAATGGTTCAAATTACCTGTAACTGGTTGTGCTTCCTACGGTGGCCCACAGCTGCCACGGCAAAAAAATGAGGAAACAAGGCGCAGAATTTTTTTATGGCGGCCCAGAAGGGCCACGGTAAAACTTTCAGGAAACATCACGCCATGTATTTTGGGAGAACACAAAAAAGTTTTTTAGTTAAAAGTTCGTCACAAACTTTTGTTTGAAAAACATTTTCCATGCGCATTGTTCCCAATCCATGGAACTTGAAAAAAGGCGGAAAGCAAGTGCATTATCCTTTTCATAGTTAATGTAAGCAAATATATTCATTTCAACGCATCGCTTCTTGCTTGACGCATAATCGGAACGCTAAATTACGTTGGATCAGTTTGCCTGCATGGCGGGCATTAAACTGAGAATGTATGGCTATATATATGTAAATTACCTGCAATAGGATTTGTTGCTTGCGATGGTTCGGCTTCCTTTGAAATCTCTTCTTTTGCGGGCGAGTCTATTTTAGAGAACGGCGAAAAAAATATGCATAAATAATTATGTTGAAATTTTATTATGAATTTAATATTCCTCCGTCATCATTATCCAATGTCTCCTACAGTTCTTTAAAGGACCACGACAGAAAAAACTTATGCATGCATCTATTGAATTCTCAAGAGAGTCTTTCATAATTCACTTTGCAAATATAGTTTTTTAGAAAAACCAAACAAACAAATTTAACTCCTGCAAATACTATGCGATTTCTGACCGGTCATGTAATTACTGTAAGCTGATACGTAAATCCAGCCAATCAGATTGCGATTCCGCCTGAAATGCAAAAGTGCGGGAAATTTTGTACTGAAAATTTATTTGGATATGGCTTCTGCTCGTTTAATTTAATATATTGAAAACATAACCCAACATTACATAATGTAATCCGAATATTTAAAACAATATTCAGCTATAGATTGTGCAAATATAGCCTATATTTGTCCTTCTGTTCCGCCGATTTTTTCCTCGATTTTGCTCAGTATAGTTTAGCTATTCACGGAAAAACAAAACATCGTAAAGTAATTACCTGCTTCCTCCTCTACGTGGTTTGCAAGTTCTCGAGCTTTTTCAATTAATTCCATCGCTTTTCTAGTGTTTCCAAGACTGAACCAAGAAACAGCTAAACCAGCAAGGGCTTTTTCTTGCAGGATGTGATCTTTATGTTCTGAATAAAAAATATGTCGTGCCCTTTCATAGAATTGAACTGCCTTCTCATCCTCACCAGCTTTACAACATGCACCCGCAAAGTTTAGACAAGATAGTCCTTCGCGATGTTTATCGTCAAGTTCTATAGCAACCTTGATCGCTTCGTTGTAATATTCCTTCGCATGATTATAATTCCCAGTTTTACATAAAATATGTCCAATGGCTTCGTTTGAACGATATTCTTGATTCTTTTCTCCGGCGCTTTTTGCGATTTCTTTTACCCGCTCGTAAAATATTTTTGCCTCTTTTTCAGAGCCTTCCACGAAACGGCAGCAATATCCACACCATTCATTTAAAATTCCCTCTAAAGCTTCCTCACCACGACCAGAAAAAACTTTTAGAGCCTTCCGAAAATACTCCAGGGCCTTTTCCAATCTTCCAAGATTAACATAACATTTTCCCAATCTTTTCAGACGTAAAGCTTGCTCGTATCCCTGGTCGTCAGAGTCATCTGTCAATTTCACAGAATAATTCGAGTCAAATTTAAAGTAGGAGTTAAAAGCCGTGAGAAGATCTGAGACAGAATTGTGGTATTCTTCGCGGAGATTTTTCAAGTAAATTTTTCTTAAAAGAGTGCATGCACTTATTAGAAAGGATATTCGATAATCCCGATTGGCACACATGCATGCAGGGAGTCCCGTGGCTAGAACCTTAATTGAAGAGAGAAAATATTTATGTATTTTTCGTATGCCTGACTGATTTCTTTATATACGAATATATATCCTTATATATGAAAGGCCGTAGCTAGAAGCTTAAATGGGGTGGGGGCGTTCAACCCTGAAAGGTTGAACGGAATACCGCTGTGCGCACAGCAGATATAAATGTGAAAAATGTTCATTCGTGAAAAAAATTGAGTTCTGATGGGCGTCAATCTCAGGATTTAATCATCCTCAATCTCGTTCCCCGAACCTGCCATTTCCATGGCGAGGAAACAAAGGCTCTGGGATAATCCAAATCGGAAGCCAGAATTCCTCATTTCCAGTTTTATTGGGTTTGAATTGTATTACAATATTCAAACGGTGTGAACGACCAAACAGAATCATCCCTGATTTCGATTATCCCCAGAGTCTTTGTTTTTCGCCCGAGGAAATCGCAAACTCAGGGAACAAAATTGATCATCCAAAGAAACGACCATATATGCACGGGACGAAGAGGTACATATTGAAAAATTGCGATCATATGTGGAGACACACACACATAATATTTCAGGAATGCCTGCATGTCATATATATACGATGGAAAATATGAAAAAAGGGAAAGCTGTAGGAAAAATAAAAAATTCAGGACAAATCATTTTTTTGCAGAGCTTATAGAATTGGGTCAATCTATAAGCCTAGAGATAAATCTGTAGCTATCTCCTGTAAACCATGCAGACATGTTCCATGCTATTAAATGTTATGGCCTAGTATACAGTACTTTTGTCCCTTTGAACTCTCATTTCAGCGTCAACTGATCAATTGCACTTTCACTTCTAGCCCCAGGATATGCGCGGGTTTTTACTCCCTCTATCTTCGTGGCAATTGCAATTTTTTAAAACATTTCATCCCTGACCCTGTTTAATAGTTTCATGAATAAACATCCTCAACTTATTTTGATTCAATGTCCTGTAAATAGCATAACTCAATTGACCTTTTCCATAATATAACTACCAACGTTTCATTTTGGCTTGAAAAAGTGAAAAAAATGTGGCCAACTCTGTCTCAGTGTGTTCTGCGAACATACCTGACGAAAGCTCAGTTTCCTGAGATGTTACAGCTCTCTTCAAATTCGATTCCTCTGTAAACGAATCTGTAAAGCAAAGAATTTAACGGACTTATCAATTTTAATTTTGCTATTTTAATATGATATTACACAAAATTCGATTCGATGACGGTCCCATCAATCTGATAAAAAAGTACTTTACTAAAAAAGTAAAGGTCCAGGCAAAATGAATTTTTTTCAGCACCCTTCATTGCAAAATATAGCTACTTTACTGAATTAAAGTCTGCAATTACCAAAATTTTGCATGCAAAAAGTACCTGCAAATGACAATTCTTGAGCTACGTTTTCCGCCAACTTATCACGATAGGCGCATCCTTTTTCAGTTGCAATTTTCTCATAACATTCAATCGCACGTTCAATCTGATTGTTTACAACATAAATATCCCCTAAACGAAAATAGGCACGTATAGCATAATCTCTATTTTCACGCTGCTTTGAAATTTCCAGTGATTTTTTATAGTACTCAATTGCCGTTGAAAACTGATTGCTCAATCTATAAACATCCCCCAGCCGAAGATATGCATATATCTCACTGTCTCTATCTTTTCGTCCCCGTGAAATTCCTAATAATTTCACATAGTGTTCAATTGCCGTTTTACACTGATTGTTCAAACTATACCCATCTCCAAACCCAAGATATGCTCCTGCTTCATTCTCTCTATCTTCTCGTTCCTGTGAAATTTTCAATGATTTTTCGTGGTACTCAATTGCCGTTTGAATCTGATTGTTCAATCCATAAGCATGTCCTAACCCAAGATATGCAACTGTTTCGCTCTCTCTATCTTCTCGTTCCTGTGCAATTTTCAATGATTTTTCAAAGTACTCAATTGCCGTTTGTATCTGATTGTTCAATCTATAAGCATGTCCTAACTCAAGATATGCAACTGTTTCGCTCTCTCTATCTTCTCGTTCCCGTGCAATTTTCAATGATTTTCCAAAGTACTCAATTGCCGTTTGAATCTGATTGTTCAATCTATAAGCATATCCTAACCTAAGATATGCACGTGTTTCATTCTCTCTATTTTCTCGCTCTTGTGCAATTTTCAATGATTTTTCAAAGTACTCAATTGCTGTTTGAATCTGATTGCTCAATCTATAAGCATGTCCCAACCCAAGATATGCAAGTGTTTCGCCCTCTGTATCTTCTCGTTCCTGTGCAATTTTCAATGATTTTTCGTAGTACTCAAATGCCGTTTGAATCTGATTGTTCAATCTATAAGCATGTCCTAACCCAAGATATGCACGTGTTTCATTCTCTCTATCTTCTCGTTCCTGTGCAATTTTCAATGATTCTTCGTAGTACTCAATTGCCGTTTGAATCTGATTGTTCAATCTATAAGCATGTCCTAACCCAAGATATGCACGTGTTTCATTCTCTCTATCTTCTCGTTCCTGTGCAATTTTCAATGCTTTTACGTAGTACTCAATTGCCGTTTGAATCTGATTCTTCATTCTATAAGCATCTCCTAACCCAAGATATGCAACTGTTTCATCCTTTCTGTCTCCTCGTTCCTGTGCAATTTTCAATGATTTTTCGTAGTACTCAATTGCCGTTTGAATCTGATTGTTCAATCTATAAGCTTGTCCTAACTCAAGATATGCACGTGTTTCATTCTCTTTATCTTCTCGTTCCTGTGCAATTTTCAATGATTTTCCAAAGTACTTAATTGCCGTTTGAATCTGATTGTTCAATCTATAAGCATATCCTAACCTAAGATATGCACGTGTTTCATTCTCTCTATTTTCTCGCTCCTCTGCAATTTTCAATGATTTTTCAAAGTACTCAATTGCTGTTTGAATCTGATTGCTCAATCTATAAGCATGTCCCAACCCAAGATATGCAAGTGTTTCGCCCTCTGTATCTTCTCGTTCCTGTGCAATTTTCAATGATTTTTCGTAGTACTCAAATGCCGTTTGAATCTGATTGTTCAATCTATAAGCATGTCCTAACCCAAGATATGCACGTGTTTCATTCTCTCTATCTTCTCGTTCCTGTGCAATTTTCAATGATTCTTCGTAGTACTCAATTGCCGTTTGAATCTGATTGTTCAATCTATAAGCATGTCCTAACCCAAGATATGCACGTGTTTCATTCTCTCTATCTTCTCGTTCCTGTGCAATTTTCAATGCTTTTACGTAGTACTCAATTGCCGTTTGAATCTGATTCTTCATTCTATAAGCATCTCCTAACCCAAGATATGCAACTGTTTCATCCTTTCTGTCTCCTCGTTCCTGTGCAATTTTCAATGATTTTTCGTAGTACTCAATTGCCGTTTGAATCTGATTGTTCAATCTATAAGCTTGTCCTAACTCAATATATGCACGTGTTTCATTCTCTTTATCTTCTCGTTCCTGTGCAATTTTCAATGATTTTTCGTAGTACTCAATTGCCGTTTGAATCTGATTGTTAAATATATTAGCATGTCCTAACTCAAGATATGCACCTGTTTCATTCTCTTTATCTTCTCGCTTCTGTGCAATTTTCAATGATTTTTCAAAGTACTCAATTGCCGTTTGAATCTGATTGTTCAATCTATAAGCATGTCCCAACCCAAGATATGCAATTGTTTCGCTTTCTCTATCTTCTCGTTCCTGTGAAATTTTCAATGATTTTTCAAAGTAATCAATTGCCGTTTGAATCTGATTTTTCAATCTATAAGCATCTCCTAACCCAAGATATGAAACTGTTTCGCCCACTGATCTTCTCGTTCCTGTGCAATTTTCAATGAATTTTCAAAGTACTCAATTGCCGTCTGAATCTGATTGTTCAATCTATAAGCATGTCCTAACCCAAGATATGCACGTGTTTCATTCTCTCTATCTTCTCGTTCCTGTGCAATTTTCAATGATTTTTCGTAGAACTCAATTGCCGTTTGAATCTGATTGTTCAATCTATAAGCATGTCCTAACCCAAGAAATGCACGTGTTTCATTCTCTCTATCTTCTCGTTTCTGCGCGATTCTCAATGATTTTTCGTAGTACTCAATTGCCGTTTGAATCTGATTGTTCAATCTATAAGCATTTCCTAAGTTAAGATATGCAAGTGTTTCATTCTCTCTATCTTCTCTTTTCTGTGCAATTTCCATTGATTTTTCGTAGTAATCAATTGCCGTTTGAATCTGATTGTTCAATCTATAAGCATGTCCTAACCCAAGATATGCAATTGTTTCATTCTCTCTATCTCCTCTTTTCTGTACAATTTTCAATGATTTTTCATAGTACTCAATTGCCTTTTGAAACTGATTGTTTAATCTATAAGCATCTCCTAACCCAAGATATGCAATTGTTTTGTTCCCTTTTTTCCCTATTTGTATTGGAAATTTTAATGATTTTTCATAGCATTTAATTGCCTTTCTAATCTGCATTTTTGACAAATAATCATCCCCTGATCTAATGTATGCCATAGCCATTTTGTATTTGGCATGAAGTATTTTTTAAATTTTCAATCGTTGCTGAAGAATATCGTCGTTGAACTAGCTAGCAGCTAGGTGTCTGGAAGGTGCTTCTGTGCATCGCTTTCCTCCGTTCACATTAGTTCAGAACTCTTTTGTAGTGCTGAATACTTTTAATTGCTGAATGGAAGGAAAATAAGACTTACGTCACGGGGAGGGCAGGCTGTGGCGAAGAAGTCAGGTGGAGGGAAGGGTACATGTTTTATTGATCAAGCTTTATTATGAGAATGTGCAACCTTTCCATGGGCGACTAGGACAACCTTTTAACAAAAATTTCAAAGCAACTTAATTTCTCCGCTCCATCTGCGGGTATTTTCGATTTTAATATATACACTGGTCAATAAACACTTTCCGAATTTGTTCTAGGGCAATGAAAATGACTCCACTCAACTCGTTTTCAAGCTACTGTTTTGTGTGCAGTCGAGCAACTTCGGAAAATGCGAAGTGCTCGCTTCTGCAATTTTTCAAAATCGTCAGATAAATACGAATAAGCGGGAATTATGGGATACTGGGCAAGCGTATTGTGTCAAAAGACGGACACAGGTTGAATAAAATAGTCGTAGCTCGTGAACTCAAAGACCTGCATACGTTCTAATTCTTTTAGCACGTATAGTCTAGATGACATAGTATAGTATTATTAGTACTCTAGTATTACTATGGAAAACAAACTTTCAAATTGTAATTTGGAAGCCGCTAGATTTATTTGGAAACAAATTAATTTTAGTAGCTGACTATATACCCCGCGGTTTTATCGGATTAGAAAATAAATTTATTTATGATATTTCTTTATAATATTCTGCTCTCAATTGTGATTGATTTTCGGTTGTTGTGTCTCTAAGTTTTCTCTCAAAGCAAGAAGGCCTCGACGGGATCGTATACAATATAGGGTTGGGTGTGTTCGGTACTAGTAATCAAACCACAAAGGTGGGATGAGCAAATATCGAAGCAATTTTAAGGTCTTGATATAAGCTGTTGTTTGTTTTGGTGATTGGGAACGTGATTAATGGAACTTTATGGACCGATTATGTTTAGGAACTACAAGCATTCGTTCCTTTACGTAAAAAAACTTCCATAAAAAAACAATAAGTTCCTAATGTATTAAGGAACGTTTACAATGAGAACATATAGATCGCTTTTGTAAAGGAACTGCAAAAATTTGTTCCTTATTTTTAGGAACTTCATTTTAGGAAGAATTTGTTCCCTTATATAATAAGGAACCATATAAATGAGAACTTATAGTTCGCTTTTAAGTGAAGAAACAACAGCAACCGTTACGTTTGTTCATTAATTTTCTTTACTCTATGATCGGAACTAATGCATGAATGGTTCCTTATGCATTAATTAAGGAACGTTTGAATACATCATTTACTTTATGGTCGCCTTTCTATGCAAACGTCTGAAAAGGATTAAATATTGCAATAAGGGACGCTATTCATGTCAGTGGCTCATGATGGTCCTGCATGGCAGTTCCTTCTTTACTCTTATATTGAACGCCCGAATAAGAAAGCATAAATGATAGGGGAAGCAAATTTAATCGTTGCAAAATGTTTGGGATCGGTTGAAAGAAAACAATATACACTTGTAGCTTAATCATTTATAATTATAATATAGCAGTTTATTTTAATAATAATAATATGAAGTCAATATTTTAAAGTAATTTTAGCCTTATTGCTCTCATTCTTAATGTATTTGGTATTGTGCATTCTTGAAATTTGTAGGGAGGGCACTTCAAAATGCAAGTCCAGCGCATGCCAAACTTTTCCAGTCCAACTTTTCTCAGATAAGAATTATCTTCCTCTTGCGTAAATCGAATTGCTCCCCTCGTATCTGTACTTGTTTTTTCTTTCGCACGAATTGGCGTTGCACTCGCAGGGTTCGGCAAGGTATATCATTGTGTTCAATAGCTGTTTCCATATCTTTGACTTAATGACAAGGAACGTTGGACTCGCTGTGTCTCAGTTGTTGAACGCACATGTCCATAACTTTTCCATTTGGACCGCGCAACTTTTCCATGCAGGATCGTCCTCTCTATAGTTGTCGCCGCAATAATCTCTCGTTTTTTCTGACGCTTCCGAAAGAGCTTATGCTGCTGTCGTATATCTTAGGTCCGTACATGCTAATGGTACTGTCGAAATCGAGATTATTGCGGCGACAACTAGAGTAGCACCGCTACATAAACAATCCATTCCGCGTTTGGAGCTATTGGGGGCATTAATCTTATCGCGATTCGTCAACTCAATATTACAAGCTCTGAAAACATTGAGAATCGACGCTGTTTTCTTATGGACGGATTCACTTACTACGCTATGTTGGATCCAAAACGACAAGAATTGGAAGAAATATATTCAGAATCGAGTCCAAGAAATACGTGAACTAACGGACAGAGATACTGAGATATATAGTTGGAGACATTGCCCTGGCAATTTAAATCCCGCCGACTTGCCCTCTCGCGGATGTTCTGGAAAAGATCTAGTTCACAACGAGAGTTGGTGGTCGGTCCTTATTTTCTTAAATTATTAAGTGATGAATGGCCGACAACACCGTCAAGGACACTCAATGATGAATTAGCCTATGACGAGGTTATCAAGCATCCTCCTAATCTGATTCACACTCTTACAAGCAACGCAAACACTACCGTTTTATCAGTACAAGTGGAGAAGATTTTTGATGTCACGCATTACAGTTCGAAGGACAGGTTGCTGCGTGTTACAGCAAGGGTGCTTCGCTTTGTTAAGAGATCTCAAAAGCATCGTTGTCCATGTACGAGAGAGTTGCAAGCCGAGGAATTACGCGAAGCCGAAAAACTTTGGTTTAGATCTGTTCAGAACGAATCATTTGTAGAACAACTTTTATGTCTGAAAGATGGTCGATTTAACAAGTTGGTTAAGCAACTGCGACTTTTCATCGACAAAGACCAAATTATACGATGCGAAGGGAGATTATCGAACTCAAAACTCTCAGATGATTCAAAAACACCAATACTTATGCCCACGAAACATCATTTCACTGAGTTACTTGTACGAGAGTGCCACGAAAGGGTCCGATACGATGGTATACGCGAAACATTGAGCTGCATTCGTGAGAGAATTTGGGTACTTCGTGGTCGAGAAACTGTAGCCCCGTTTACACTACACTCGATTTATTGGCACGGCACGGCTAAAATGGGTACCCGTGCCCATTTCATCCGTGCCCGGCCTTTGTTTTGGTAGCCTGAGCACTAGTAAAATTGGGCACAGGTACCCATTTTAGTCGTGCCGTGCCGATAAATTGACTGTAGTGTAAATGGGGAGTAGGTAACCCCCCCCCATATAGCGGCAAAATCACGCAACGCGTGATCTCCACGCGGGCCGTCGAAAACTGTCGGATTTTCCCGAAGTTATGCGTGGTCTCCACGCAGGGTGAGAGTGTGACGTTATTAAACCGTAATTAAGTACACAGTAAGGATTTGCGAGAAAAATATTTTATTTGTCAGGTAATACACATTTAGTATGTCAACATTTTAAAAGTATGTTTCTTTCCATAGCATTAGGACAGTTTATTTTATTACATGATATTATGAGAATGTTTCTTTCAATCCTACTAGGACTGTTCGTTCATTTTAAGAGTTCATTTCTTAAATAATCTGAAGGGAACAGGTTTTTTATTTTTGTTTGTGATTACATTTGTCTCTCTCCAGCCATGCATAACCCGTACGCTTCTACTTCAACTTTAGGACAATGTTGATATGCGTCGGCTGCCAAATGCTTCCCGCAGGTCTCCAGCCATACTAGATTTTTTATCAGTATTTGCGCTTTCGGGCATCCAAAACACTCCAAATTGATGGAGGGAATGTTCAGATTTGCGAGGAGATCCTTCTCGTATCAAACATATTGTTTACAAAAGGTAATTTGTGAGCGCTACGGTGTGCGCTACTCCCACGCGTGATGATGTGCGCACAAGCATTTGTTTACAAAAGGTCATTTGTGAGCGCTACGGTGTGCGCTACACCCACGCGTAATTATGCGTGCGCTACGGAAATAATTACCGTTACACAGAGTATTTGTTTTCATATGACTACCGTATTATGATGCAAGAGTAACGATATAAGGCAGAGCCACGAGTAATTTTTCGGTATTACCTGAGAGATCACGGTTTCGCTCTTGCTACTGTGACACATGTTATTTGTTAATATGAATATAATTGAAAAAATTGAGGAAGCCCGAACTGTGGCTGAGCTTACGGACTTGGAATGTCGCTATAATTTGACTGATATGGAAAGAGATCTTCTGTTTGAGAAGAAGATAGAAATTATGAGTCGTTTACTTCGATGGGAAATGGAGAATGAACGATATGGTATTGCTGCGAACCTGACAGATTCTTGGACCCCTGAACAACGCCAAAGTTTCATGAAGGACTGGCGAAATGATGAGTTATTCAACGATAAAGGGGAGCTTGCTTCGGAGCTTGCTTCGGGGCTTGCTGATACTTGGACGCCTGAGCAACGAAGAAATTTTTTAACCGATTGGAAAAATGACGGATTTATGTCACAGCTTGGTCATGGACAGAAAAGATCCGTCGACGAAGTGAACGAGGGTGCAAGCACATCCAACGAGGTTAGCGATAGTAATTATTTTACCATGAGAAATGTAAAGCAAGTTAAAGTTAAAAAGTTTAAAACTACCGGAGTGGATTACACTGTTCAATTTATGGACACGTTAGCCAATTTGGAACTCTATCAATTCCACAATCAACTGCATGAAATATTTGGGAGTTTGCTAAGGACAATAACTCATGATATTCCAGAGCGCGATCAGGTCCGTTTTGTGTTGCAATCGCCTCAGCTCGAGACTCCTATCTCTCTTCCATTCATGCCTCTTTCTCGTCTTACGACCGAGCGTGTTTTAGCCGAATTTGAGCGGGTCGTTCAATCTAATCGTGATTTTCGTTTGAATGATAGTGTTAATGTTAATTTAATTCATGTTGAAATGCCAAACGGGGGTACTGGGACAAAAAGGAGCGAAATCAACTTAGAAAAGCATTTAACTATGAAGAGGGCAATTGTTCGAATTCAAAACGCCGACGAAATTTGTTTAGCAAGAGCACTAGTTGTTTCTATCGCGAAAATCGAGAATGATGATCGCTATAAAAATATAGTTGATCATCGGAGACCAGTTCAAACACAATTGGCATACGAGTTACATGAAAAAGCTAGGGTTCCAATCGGTTTTTGTGGGTTAGACGAGGTTAAGCAATTTCAAACCCATTTGTCGGATTATCAAATCAATATCGTATCGAAAGAACATCAAAACACCATAATTTATTCCGGTCCCGAGAAAGACAAACGGATATATTTGTTTTTGCATGATAACCATTACGACGTTATCACAAGCATGCCGGCCTTTTTTGCTCGTAAAAAGTATTGTCACACCTGTAAAAAAGGATACGATAAAATGACTGATCATTCCTGCCCCGATTCGTGTAAATTATGCTATTTTTCAAATTTTCCAATTGTTTCATGGTTTCCTTGTGCCTGTTGCATGCGTGTTTTTAAAAGTAAAGAGTGTTTCGATCGCCATAAACAGTCTCTGGGCAATGCAAAATCCATCTGTAGTTCATTGATCAAATGTCTTCATTGCAATCTTGTTGTGAAACGGAGTAGACTGAGGCGTGATTTGCATCACTGCGGTGAAACTCGTTGCTCTACGTGCGATACCTATGTGCAAACTGAGAATCATCAATGCTATATGCAACCCGTAAGAGCGAGAAACACCAGAGACATAAACGAGGCAGCGAGCCTTCTCGATACAGAGGCAAGCGATGAAGACAACTCGCCTCAAAGCGGGTACAATGAACTTTTATTCTTTGACTTTGAGTGTCGACAAGAAAATGGAAACCACGAACCCAACTTATGCGTAGTACAAAACGAGGCGGGCGACGAATGCATATTTAAAGGGGATAATACAAGAAATGAGTTTTGCGAATGGTTATTTACCAAGGAACATGCAAACTGTATTGTGATGGCCCATAATTTTCAAGGTTACGATGGTTATTTCATTCAACAATTTCTACACGAGAACGGTGTGATTTTTGATATCATCATGCGTGGTGCCAAAATTCTTACATTAAGTGTCCCAATGTTCAAGATTAAATTTATCGACTCTTTGAGTTTCATACCCATGAGACTTGCTGATTTCCCGAAAACATTTGGTATCAATGAGCTTGCAAAAGGTTATTTTCCACATCTTTTCAACAAAAAGGAGAGTGAGAATTACGTTGGACCTATTCCACCAAGTCCATTTTACCATCCTGATGGAATGAGTCCTGATGAAAAAGAAAAGTTTCTGGAATGGCACAGCAATTTGAAAGAAAGCGATTATGTGTTCAATTTCCAACAAGAGATTCTGACGTACTGTCGTTCGGATGTTGATATTCTACGTCGTTGTTGCCTTGAATTTCGCGAACTGTTTCGTGATGTCACAGATATCGATCCGTTTGAGAAATGTCTTACCATTGCATCAGCCTGCAATTTGGTGTTTCGAAAGAATTTTTTGAAAGAGAACACCATTGCCATCATCCCTCCTCACGGTTATTGCCCGAAAGACAAGCAGTCAATTCTAGCTCTAAAATGGCTGACCTTTACTGCTGAAAAGAACGACATTTACATCCAACATGCCCGCAACGCTGGTGAGAGACGTGTTGGCAATTATTTGTTGGACGGTTATCACGAAAAGACGAACACAGCTTACGAAATCAATGGTTGCTTTTGGCATGGTAAGTTTTTAAACATTTCTCCTTTTTTTTTTTTTTTTTTTTTTTCAATGGTATTGTTTAATATTTGACTTTTTATTCCATTTTCCTAGGGTGCTTGAAATGCTATGCCAGAGATACGGTGAACAGTGTTTGTGGTAAAACTATGCATGACCTGCATCAAGCTACAATGGAGAAGACGTGTTACCTCAGAGATCAGGGGTTCAAAGTTGTCGAAGTGTGGGAGTGTGACATCAAGCGAGAATTAGAATGCAACGAAAATATGAGGAATTACTTTGAAAGTTACGACCTAGTTGATCCTTTGGAACCTCGTGATGCCTTCTTTGGCGGTCGAACCAACGCTGCAAAATTATTTCACAACTGCAAAGATGGTGAAAAGATAAGGTAAAGTGTCAATCTTAAAGTGAGGTACAGCATTATCATATAATTAATTATGATGTCATTTCTATTGTGACGTCATAGGTATGTAGATTTCACTAGCCTATATCCCTGGGCAAATAAGATGACGCGAACAGTTGTTGGCCACCCTCATATCATCACAGAAAATTTCGACGAAGACATCTTAAACTACTTTGGGTTGATCAAGTGTAAGGTTCTGCCACCTCGAGGGCTCTTCCACCCTGTCCTACCTTATCGTACACAGGGAAAGTTGATGTTTCCCTTATGTAAATCGTGTGCTGATACGTGTAACCAAACCCCATGTACCCATTCCGACTCCGAAAGAGCCATTCAAGGAACATGGTGCAGTGTAGAGCTGGAAAAAGCGTTGCAGAAAGGTTATGTAATCCAGAAGGTTCACGAAGTGTGGCATTTTCCACAACAATCTGATGAGTTGTTTAAAGATTACATCAATACGTTTCTGAAAATCAAACAGGAAACGAGTGGTTACCCAAAGAATTGCAGGACAGAGGAGCAGAAACTCGGCTACGTCGAGGAGTACTTCGAACGAGAAGGAATCCGTTTGGATCCAGGCAAAATCGAGCATAATCCAGGGCTGCGTGCATTGTCAAAATTGATGTTGAATTCATTTTGGGGTAAGTGTAGAGCTATAAACATGAAAGTTATTTTATTTTGACCCATTTTCATGTCTTTTCATGTCTTTTGCGCAACGTCCTAATATGACCAAAGTGGAATTGATCAAAGACCCACAAGTTTACTTTGACTACTTAACTTCAGATGAAATCAATGTTCTCAACGTTAATTTCGTGAGTGATGAAGTGATTGAAATTCACTATGAAAACAATGAGAATTTCACTGCGCAAAACTCTAAAACGAACGTGGTCATTGCTGCTTTCACCACAGCTTACGCTCGCCTCAAACTCTACGATGTTCTGGATCAACTTCAAGAAAGAGCGTTGTATTACGACACTGATTCGGTGATCTTCGTTAGTAAACCTGGTGATCCAGAGCCCCCTACAGGTCCGTACCTCGGCGAACTGACGGATGAGTTAAAGGGAGACTACATCACCACATTTATCTCGGGTGGACCAAAGAATTACTGTTACCGCACAAATTCGAACAAAGTTGAGACAAAGATACGAGGTATCACGTTGAATTGCACCGCTAGGCAAAACGTTAACTTTGAGGTGATTCGTGCTTTGGTATACCTTCATGCAAAATGTAATGTCGCAGGGCGGGTATATCCGTAGATATCCCATTCAAATTACTCGCAACACCAAAACAAAGGACATAGAAACCAAACGCATGAAAAAGGACTATCGTATTGTTTATGACAAACGTGTTATTATTGATGAATACAAAACACTTCCATACGGATTCTAAATGCATATACTCTATAGTTGTCTTTATGTATTATATGTTTATACGTTTCTTGTAAATATATGTTTTCATAATATGTTGTATGTTTCTCTTTGAAAAGCCCTTCACACATCCAGAGCTTTAGGGACTAAAAAAGTCCCGCGAGGGACAAACAGTCCCGCTATATGTTTCTCTTTGAAAAGCCCTTCATACATCCAGAGCTTTAGGGACTAAAAAAGTCCCGCGAGGGACAAACAGTCCCGCTATATGTTTCTCTCTGAAACGTCCTTCAAACATCCAGAGCTTTAGGGACTAAAAAAGTCCCGCGAGGGACAAACAGTCCCGCTATATGTTTCTCTTTGAAAACCCCTTCACACATCCAGAGCTTTAGGGACAAAACACGTCCAGGGAGGGACACTTTTATAAGCGAAGTAGTTCGAGACGTATTCAGTTGGCGCATCTCGGGAAGAACCCGATCCTAGCTTTTCCGGGACACCAGGGACAAAAAAAGTCCCTGAAGGGACACTTTTAATCTTCCAGGGACACCAGGGACAAAAAAAGTCCCTGAAGGGACACTTTTAATCTTCCAGGGACACCAGGGACAAAAAAAGTCCCTGAAGGGACACTTTTAATCTTCCAGGGACACCAGGGACAAAAAAAAGTCCCTGAAGGGACACTTATAAGCGAAGTAGTTCGAGACGTATTCAGTTGCCATCATGCCTCGAGCGCGTAAAGACTGTCCGATTTGTGGTAAGAAAAATTTATTGAAATTATCTAACCACTTAGCAGGTGTTCATAACCTTTCCTCTACGCAAAGGCAGCCTTATCTTATACGTGCAAAAAGCGCACCTTTGGACTTGGATTTAGTTTTAACGGAATTGCATAGAATCATTAGGAGAATGGTATAAATCGTCTGACACGTTGTTACAAGTCTCATTTTCATCATGTACTCCATACAGTTAACACACCCGTTTGGCCTCTTAGTTTCTGGAAGTACCAAGTCGGGAAAAACTACATTTGTGAAAAAACTTTTGAGCTATGTCAACGTCATGATAGATAAACCCCAGAAAATATTGTGTACTATTACGCTGAGTACCAAGATACGTTGGAGAAATACAAAATTTAATGCCTAGAATAAAATTCATACAAGGCCTGCCAGATGATATACTAGACAGTATTAATCCTGAAACACGTAATTTATATGTCATTGACGACATGATGGGTGAAAAGGACGGAGTTATTCAAAATATTTACGAAAAAATCACATCATGGTAACCTTAGTGTCATATACATTGTACAAAACCTATTTCATCACAGCAAAGATCACCGTACCATATCCTTAAATGCAAGTTATTTGTGTCTAACGAAAAACGTTCGCGACGCAAGTCAAATTATTCATCTAGCTAAACAGTTATATCCTAGTCACACGAAATTTTCCAACAAGCCTACCAGTTGGCAACGAAACAGCCTTATTCCTATTTGTTTGTGGACCTTACGCCAGCGTGTCCCGATGAAATTCGAGTTAGATCTTGTATCTTTCCAACAGATAAACATTACGTTTACCAACCAAGAGTATAAGTAAGGCATGACTTCTGCAAAACAATCATTTGACCATGTCTGCTTGCATGAAAAGGAACTCCGAACTTCTGAAAGTATTAGCCAAGTGTAAACCCGAACTGAGAAAAAAAAGCAACCGAAGACGATCTACTGGAAGCTATAAGACAGTGTCTTTTGAACGTCTGGTTTGATACAATTAAACTGAAACCAAAAACAGCGAAAAAGATTGCACCACACTCCAAACATATAAAGTTTGCAGCTGACAAACGAAATTGCAAAAAGAAGAGCACGTCTTGTCCAGAAAGGAGGGACCGCTTCTACTCACTTCAGTTTTGGGACAATTGGCTAACTTTCTATAAATGGAACACGTCAAAAGATTGGTCCTTGTACCCGAACATATGGCTGAACAACGAAAGAAACCTTTCGTACCACCTTTGACTGCACAAGTAGGTGAAATTGACTCCGAGATGCAAGGCTACTTCAACGCCAAGACATGCCCGTTGATGAGAGGGCGAAATGTACGACCAGTCCCTACAGCGATACTTAAATTTTTACGACAAACGTATGAGTAAACCTATTAGAGTGACTAACGTCGAACCTTCTGTGACTGAAGATAAAGAAGAAAAAATTCCAGAGATAAAGGATGATGACGAGATTGAATCAGACATACTGGATAGTGTTCCAGCTACAATGAAATCTAGAGCACGTCAGTTGGTGAAGAAACTTAAAGCAAAAAAGATGTCGTTGGATGGAATGAACAAGGTCAATGATGTTCAAAGGAAGATCAGTACCCGGAACAAATATCGTCGATTTGGTCAACGATTCATTGCGTCAGAGGAAAAACTTTAATCCACAAGGTTGGGAGTTATTTTCGAAGGCGTGGGACATTTAAACGTACCCGAAGGCGTTATCAGAAACGAAAATCGCTTAGGACTTGTTCGCGAATATAAAACTAAAGGACTTTCTGATAATGTCCCCAGCCCTCACCCGAACCACATCTTACCCGATGCAGCAAAAACGAAAAAAACAGCGTAAAGTCATAAACAGTAGTCCATATAAATGGTTAAAATAATTTATTTCTTTGTAAATATATGTTTTTTACAATAAATGTATTTTTAAACTAACATTATTTGTATTTATTCACACCACTTTTGTATAAAGTCACGTACAAGCATGTCGTTCCATTCTTTGCTCTCCGTAAACATGTTTGCAATGGTTGACATTGGAATATGCCTACAGCGATGCAAAGCAAAGAATAACGTATACTGTCCACACACGTCCGAGTTGGGTGCTTGCAAAACCCTCGTGTTCCAACTAAATGTACTGCAATGTTTCTCCAAAAACCGTGTAAAGTGTTGACTGTAGAATCCTGGCGCTTTCGCGTACGAGTCCCAAAACTCTCCTCTCCCATCTTCTGTGACAAACAGGGCACACCAGTGACTTCCGGGTTTGTTACTTGGATCAGTGTTGACTACAAAACCTTTTGGTCTTTTTCTTACTAGCCCAGGTAAACGATCTGATGGTAAAACGTCTGTAAATACAGTCTTTGTAAACGAGTCGCTTTTTAATATATTCAAAATCTGCAGCGTATTCATGTTCAGTTAGTGAAGTCACACAGCACGTTCCTGTTCGCGTCAATTTCGATAAGACTTTGAAATTCACCAAGCACCACAATATTTATAGCCGCCTCCAAGGCCGTTCCAAACTGGCATTCGATCGAGACATTTCCGTTTCTAATTGGTTGTGCATGATCACCAAGGCACAGGTCTGGAGTGAGATCGAACACAAACAGTGTAAAACCGTCTGCATATTCTTCACGAGTTATACCATTGCCCTGATTTTCAAACATTTTATGTGTCCCAGCGTACAGTGTTTGGAACGCTGAAATGTAGTTACTTCCTCTTGCACTCGCAAATTTTAGTTGAAATGGTTTTCCAGGTAGGTTTTCACCGTTTACATTCAGCCCAAAATTTGTGATGTCGTAGTTCTTGAAGTTGAACGGGTTCTTTGCATAATTACCATTGAACGCATCTGCATCGACCATACCAACAACGATACGATTTGGTAGAATACCTTGAAATATATTGGGTTGATTTCCCGACATGTTTCCTCGGGGGGCAGTGACAACTTTACATTCGACGCGATTGATCGGATATTTGGCCGTCGTATGTTGTAGGGCTTGGGAATGGTTTATTATTACACTTGGCGATACGTTGACGCGTCGCACGCGAAATACACATTCCTCAATAACTACTTTGAAACTTGGGTCCTCAGCAGATGAGACTAGACAAAAAGGGTTTCGTGATCTAACCAGTTTAATCTTTATTGGAACAGCCCCGAGAATATAGCGCTCTTGTGCGAATAGATCCGAATGTAGCCTGCCTTCCATAGCAACAGATCTACTCCCACGAGTATGTGTATGACGTTCTTTTAGACCTGTATTCACATCTGCTTGAAGAGCTAGCGGGTTTACATTGTCCATTTTTCCCGCACTATCTTTGTAAAATAAAGCAGAGGTGAGATGAGAATCCTTGGCATCCTTGCTAAAGTTCAGGATAGTTTCCATATAAGCTCGGTAAGGATAGGCCGTGCTGGATGGTGTTACCAATTTATTGTTTAGGAACACTTCTACTTGTGAGAACAGTGCATGCATCCATAGGTTCACAGGACCGACCTGGACATCTTGAGCAACGTTTGCACCATCTGGCATTGTAATCTTTGCTTTAACGTGTAGGTAACTGTTTGCTAAATCGATATAAACTCCGGAGTTTGCTGCGCAAAGGAATTCAATTGTGTCAGAGGCTGTTATGCTTGTGACAGGATCAATATCCTCCCAAAATCCTTTTTCCATTTCTACTTGCGTCGGTGGTACAGAAAATAGTTCAAGTTCAGATTTGGAACACATACACGAATCTTTATGAATTGTTTCAACGACTTGAGCCATGCCACTTTGGTTTATAGTTATCAAGAGATGTTTTCTGCTTCTTGGTTCGAGAAGAAATGGTGGGTTTATCTTGTGCTGATCTTTTTATACCTTTTTTCTGTCCACTACCAGTCATCAATTTCTTGACAGCTTTATCGGCGACATCAGTGACAGCTTGTTTCCCACGGGCTTTTATTGACTTCGAAATATTCTTTCCTTGAAGTACATCCTGACCTACTTCTGTCGCCGCTTGTAGTGCCCTTTTACCCACCGCTTTTGCTCCTTGCTTAAAAAGCGGAATAGCAAACCTCGCAATGCTCTTGAAAATTCCACCAATACCATAACCCCTCTGCATGCGTGCACCACGAAATCCCGCAATATTACCACCTCGTTGATTATTTAAATAATGTTCTTTTAGTAGTTTTTGATCAACAACTAGTCTTCCCCGCATCTTCAAATAAAGTACTGTGATCGCTTTTGTCTAAAGTGAAGTGTCACAATCGACTTTCCAAACTCAAATGAGACATATTCGTTGCGGTCGTTCTTTATATTGACTTCAATCGTTTCGAAAGAGTTCACTTTCACAGGAACGTATTGTAAATTCCGAAAACTGGCGTGAACGGTCTTTCCATAATCGCCTTCGATATTTACAATTCTTAAAAGTGGAACTTTAACATCGCCTGCAAACTGCGCATCTACAATGTCCGTATAGATATACATTGAAGAAAATCCGGCATTTATATCAGCTACAAAAGGGCTTGTCGTTTTCTTTTTGATCACGATGTCTGCGCCAAACCCTAACGTCGCAGCTATGTCACCAGTCATCCACACCCAAGCGCCGTGTTTAACATCAACGCTTACTTTGCGAGTGTTACGATTATAAGTGAATTTTATTTTTGTTTGACCTTCCTTAGTCATGGATGCATTCATCGCTTTAACAAGGTCTGCAACAGTTGCAAAATGGGTGTCTTTTAACAAACCAGTTTCATGCTTGTCCACATGATAAATAAATGACTGTTGCACTCCCTGTCTTAGTGTACTCCATGTGTGTGGGTAATGAAGTCCGACCAGCGCGACCTCCCACTGCCCGGGTAGAACGATCATTTCAGCTAATTTTACCCGAAAATTTGCAATGGTATTATTTGGAAAATACCTCATAGAACTATTACTCGGCAAGGTGAGATAAAACTGTGTTGTCATGATGAACACTTAGACACAAATGATGTTGAGTTCAATGATAATTTATTTATATATCTTTTACACTTTCTGCTGCCACCCATGAATTAAACTTCTCTGGGTATCCTAACCATTTTACATAATATTCTTTACGTTTATTACGTATGCGTGATCTAAGTATTTGTTCCACTCTATAAAAATCACTGTCTGTCTTGTTGACTTTCTGCAATTCTTGTTCGTAGAATGTTCCGTGTAACTCATCGTTATCGTAGTCAGCAATTCTGTAGACAGGTGGTCGTCGAGGTATGCGTTTCGTTACAGTAAATACTTCTTCAGTCCAATTTGGTAGGTAGCCTTTCTTGAATGTTCTTCTTGCCTTGCTGATCCGAACCTGATCGCCAACATCAAACTTAAAACGAATGGGTTTTTCGGGTTCTTCCCCGTAAAGTTTTTGCCATACAGCGCTTTCGTTAGTTTCGTTCACGTCTACTGGTCTCATGCCAATACTGCGATGCCTCGAGTGATTATAGGACTTAACCAATTTCTGGAGAACGTCCACGTACTTTAATGTGTTATTTGCTGTAAAGTATTTCCACATTTTCCCCTTAAGTGTACGGTTGAATCTCTCTACGATTGATGTTAGAGACGTGAAAATTAATGGTAGATTCAAGCGTGACTAATGATAATATGCAAATTTATAATGGCTGTATATAACCTTTTGATCAAAATATGTTTTAGTGTGTGTGTGAGTATGAGATAGGCGGGAACGCTATGCTTTAAGGTTTTGTAAACACTAGTAGGGAAAACAGTAAAGTTCCTTAGCGAACATAATGGTCCTTCGAACCGGATAGCAGTACTGAAACTCAAATAATCAAATGTCTACAACGGAAAGACTGGTCGAAGGTGACGAAAGTAAAAGGCGAACGGTGGTTCCACCAGAAAGAGATGCCGAAGAAATCATCGAGCAGAAAATCCAATCCACAAAGGCGTCCCGCGCAGGGAAACTTTCTGCCCTAACCAGAAAGATAAACGAAGTGAAAGAGCTCATGAAAGAAAAGAGCAACCAAATCGAAGTAAATATAATACGAAATGCAATAACCGAGCGTTTATTTCCGAATATTAGAACAATTAACGAAGCGTTGACAAACCTATTAGTACTGGAAACCGACAAACGAGAAGCAGAAGAATGGTTCGCAAACGCATGCGAAGCTAAAGAATTATGTCTAGAGGAAATCGAGAGCTATCTAACAAAACAGGAATCTGAAATAATCTCGCCATCAAACGTTAACATGAGTCAGTCAAAAATCGATACTTCGCGCGATGAAACGGAACATGCTTCATTACCGCCGTGTTCATTACCTATGACAAATAAACCCATTAAACCAAGCTCAAAGAGATCATCAACAAGCAAATCATTAGCATTATCAGACCTTGCTAAACAATTTGAGCGTAAAGCACGCATTGATGCGATGAAAGCAGCTCAAGCCCAAGAAACCGCAAAACGAGAGCTAAGCTTGGAGAAAGAAATTCTGAACAATAAGATGCGACAATTGCAGTTTGAAGCGGAGATAAAGGCTTCACGGACCAAAGAACAAGTAATCGCTGCGGCTAACCAAGCTGAATTGAGTCTACTGGAATCGCAATTGTTTCAACGTGATCTTGAAAGCATGCGTGACGCGCACCTTGAAGAAAGGCTAAAAGAGTTCGACGAAGTAGATTCAGAAGTGCCTTTTTTCCAACGTGATTCTGAATCGTCCAAATCAAGTCCTTCAAAAGTTGAAAGGCCACAACCTCCTGAAGACGCCTCCAATGAAATTCATTCTGTGAAAGTTACACAGAACAAACCACATCGTTCACAATCAACAAAACCTGAAGTGCCAGTTCAAGGGTCACCTCAGTTCCCAGTGGGATTTGATATCAAAAAATTTCAAAATGCCAATGGCACCAACGCGCCCCCATTAGTACAACATTCAGATCAGCAGTTACCCACATTATCGGATACACGTCAAAGAGCAACAATCCCTCATGCTGAACCAATGTCCCCAATCTCCACAGTTTCGTCTGAATCCTTCCAACCATTACCACGTTTGCGTCTCCCTACCCCAACTCCAACACCTAGTTTTCCGAGCCTTCATCCTCCAGTTCAAACGAATTTTCCAATAGCTTCTTCATCAACCAAAGTTGATAGCGTGACTGAACAGCATGAAAGTCTGGATAGCTGGATCGATAAACTAATCCCATACCAGGAAACGGTTATTCCATACGAGCGTCGACATGGTATGACATTAGAAGAATCCCTGTTACGTCTGGAGTATAATAGAGATGTCCCAAAGATTGAGCTTCTTCGGTTCAATGGTGAGCCAATTCAGTGGCCAAGATTTGTCGAGCGATTTTACGAACACGTTCATAACAAACCATACTCCACGGATACTCGCAGAATGACCCAACTTCAAATGCATTTAGATGGACAAGCCAAGTTGTTAGTCCAAGGTCTTGGTTGCGATGGAAAAGCGTATGCCGTAGCCTTAAAGTGGTTGAAGAAGCGTTTTGGTCATCCAGTGATAGTGGCTCGAGCAGTGATTGAAAAGTTTGCGATGCTTCTTAAGAACTTTCGCAAACGCGCTGACAAAATTTTCACCCGTCTTTGTTTTTATCGGTTCAACCCACGCATACTTGCTAAGTACATCTATCACGGTTAAAATGTACTTGTAGTTATTATTGTACTTTGCTAATGAGTCCATAATAACTAAATCTGCCTCCCACTCTTCGTCCATAGCTGCTACTATAACACGATTACGCTTGAAACGAAATCGAACTGGCTTGTGAAGAGTGTACGTATCTTGAGTTCTCAACCATGCTCGTATTTTATTCCGTGATATTTGATACTTGCCATCGTCTCTAACAGCACGATAAAGGGCGTCTACGCCACCAAAACTTGCTGGACTTTCTGGGCTGTAATATAGGTTGCTCAGATATTTTTCGGCCATCAACGTCAGAGGCCTGAATTACAATACTGCCCCCGCAACAGGCGGAAATGCAACGTATTTTGCGAAAGAAATTTCTGATTGAGATTTCAGGGAGCGCTTTACCACAGCAAGTCATCCTCTCGCTACAAAGGTTTCAGCGAAGTGAATGTCCTGAGGTTTGCAAACTGATATATAAAGCTAATAACGTACATGAAAATGTTAAAACAATCGCCCATTTTTTGCTTGGTTGTGCTTTTGGAACGCTTATATTTCCGAAAGACGGAATACAATACCTAACATTGCGTCGTATACACTTCTCGCTTTTACAGTTTAAGTATACGCAAGCTAAATAGGCACAAAGTCGACCAAAGTTTGAAACATTTATTTCTTTGTACAGCTGTTCGTAACCACGACAATCACTTTGCAATATACCCCCATGGTTTAAAAGCATGGTGTTTACATGAAACTTTAAAGTTTCTTTATCGATTTGAAAATGATTTTGCTGCAGCTCGTCAACAATCACGTCGAAGCCATTCATTGTGCACGACCAAGATCCAAATGAATACAGACAAGCAAGCAGCGTGATATTTACGCAATGCATTTATTGAACTCAAAAATTGTACAGACGGCTGCGAAATTAAGGAAAAACGTTTATCTATATACACACATAGTTTCACTCTACACTATGCATTATGTTATGCAATCTATTAAATGTTATGTTCAGGATTACTTAATAACAGTCTGTTTGTGCCTTCGTTGTCATCGGCAATTCCCCCATGTATTCAGCGTATGCGTCGTGAGGATTTTCCCGTGCGCTGGAAAAGGTAAGACCTGTTTCGGATACCATATACGTGTACAGGGCTGGATTACTTTGCAATAGGCCAACTCTCTGAATGTGCGGAAAGTGATCTTGGTTAAAAGGATTCTCTGGTACGATTTTCCATTCGAAAAAGCCACAAGATTTTTCTCGGTCGTTTGGGCATCGTTACTCTTGCATCATAATACGGTAGTCATATGAAAACAAATACTCTGTGTAACGGTAATTATTTCCGTAGCGCACGCATAATTACGCGTGGGTGTAGCGCACACCGTAGCGCTCACAAATGACCTTTTGTAAACAAATGCTTGTGCGCACATCATCACGCGTGGGAGTAGCGCACACCGTAGCGCTCACAAATTACCTTTTGTAAACAATATGTTTGATACGAGAAGGATCTCCTCGCAAATCTGAACATTCCCTCCATCAATTTGGAGTGTTTTGGATGCCCGAAAGCGCAAATACTGATAAAAAATCTAGTATGGCTGGAGA